GTTTTCTTATTAAGTGTGTGGATAGATTTTCTTACACAGAACCTTTTTGGGGTTTTTGTTTGTTTTCAGGTACACTAATAACAATCCAAGGCAGAATCTTCACTGACGTCTATGGAAGTAATATTGCACTAAGCTCAAATGGGAAAAATGTTAGGATTTTGAGGTAATCTTGATTTGGAAATACACTCTTATAAATGAGATATAATATTCCAGAAATAATGGGCCAATGATATTAAATCCCATTACAATGTGGTAGAACTAACCAGTGTGTTTTCAGCCATATTATAGAAAGTAAAACAGACTGTTGGAAGATACATTGACAAGAAAGCAATGGTCGATATGTCTTTCTTTATTGGTCTGATGTAATTTCTTATTGTTTTGTGATGGATTTATTAATAGAAGAAACTCACAGACAAGTCCAACAGTAATTGAATTATAGTCATACAAATTTATTACTAAAGGCCTTTATTACTTAATCTAACTGCCTCATTTTGTGTATAAAAACACCTGAGGCCTAGAGGTCACATAGCTTAGTCAGGGTCAGGAGTAGAACACAAGTCTCGTGACACAGTATTTGACACTTTTTCTACTGCTTCATGATATACTGGCAAGTGCTGAAACCAAATATTGTCAATAACTCATTAACAGGCCAAGCTTTGAATCCTGTTTTTTCCATTTGCCAACTGTGAACTAGACAGTAACTTTGGCTAGTTAGCTAATGTCAAAAAAAAAAATTGTCCACATTTTGGACTGAAAACTAGCATTGTCACTAGAGTTTCTTCCTGTAGCATAGATGGTATTATTTCCATCCTGCCTTTAAAGACTGAAAGCCCTATTTATTTCCTATAGAAAAAAAGTATAGACTCACAATTATGGCTTTCAAGATTTTATGTTTATCGAATTCATGCATAAAACAGGTAAACGGATAAGTTAAACAATTCAGATAGCAACTCAACAATTAGAGAATTTTTTGAATGCTATAAAGGTGAGGTATACACACACACACACAAATATATAATTTTGTAAAACAAGCAATTTAAAAGATTTTAATAAGTGAAATAAAGATTTATCTGGCATTGTATAGAACAGAACCTTTAATTAAATCACATTTGTATGCATCTATAATTTCTGAAAATGTTCATACTAATTCCTTATATGTAATAAAAGAACTTCCAAGTAGGGATATTTAACATTTTATATATACTGATTAGTAGAAGTAAAAATTTTGTCTGCTTCTCATAGCTGAGTGTTATGAATGGTTTTTATTCTAATTCTTAGACAGGGTTTTCTAAGTCATCCTTTCCCATAATAAGGCCAGGAAATAGAAAGTTTAACTTTCAAAAAGAGTTTCCTTTTTTCCTCCACTGAAACTGGAATTTATTTCTGCTTAATATAAGGGTTTGGATGGAAATCATTCCATGAAATCACAGAATTGCAGTGAGAGGGAACCTTAGAGGTCAGGCTACCTAATCCTTACACTCTGGAAATCCTGAGCTATTATATGTAAATTCAGATTTTTTTTTCACACATCTATTAATGTGTGGGCAAGAAAGTCTTGGAGCTGAATTTATCTCATTTCTACCATGTTAATTATGATACCAGGGCTCCCGAGGCAATTTATTATGCCTGGATTCTGTTAGTAGGGAGGGAGTTGAGAGCAATAGGCTGTGTTCTGGGCAGGAATTCAGGAGACCTGCTTCTCACAAATCTTGTTCATTCAACTAAATCTCCAAATTCAGACCAGGTAGAAATTATAGAGGACATGCAAATGGAAAGAGGGATTAGTGCTTACTAAGGAGCTTTTGTTCTAAAAAATCAGGTAAAAAGAATTCTAAAAAATATGTATTTAAGACCAAATAGGGTGGTTTTCCTCTAGGTACACATACCCAGACCACTGTGTGGATTACCAACTGTGGTTAAAAACACTGACTGCAGCCAAACTGAGTTTGAATCCCTGCTCTACCCCTCATTGTCTGCGGGCTTGGGCAAGCTGCTTAAGCTTTCTGTTTCAGTTTTTTCATGTGCAAAATTGAAGGATAATAGTAACTAACTCATAAGATGTTTGTAAGGATTAAACGTCGTAGGAACCTATTCCAAGTGTTAGCTGCTAAATTTATTATTTAGCTAGAATGAGGCAGGAGATTAGAAGGAGAATTTAAATCCATGAATATGTGTAATGGGTACAACAATTCAGTTTACCTGCTTATACAATCCTAATGTAATAATCAAATGAATGGACTTATGCATAAAAGTATATTAAAAAATTCAAAATTTTCTGCAAACAAAAGTCCTTATTTTTTATAGTTCAAGTTTGTATCTGGCCTTTTTTTGAGTCTGGGATTTGCTGTCACAAAAGCTGATGGTTTATTCTGGTGTTGCAAAGAATCCAATACCAGTCAGTCACCTGCCAGCCTCCAACAGCATCAGGTACTATCAGCCCCAAAGTAATAGGTCAGACCCGATCACCTGGGGAAATACAGAGGCAGATGCTTTCCCTGCAGCTGAACTCTGGCTGTGCTCTGCTTCTTATTTTCATTCATGTGTCACTGATGCTGTTACACATCCTCTTTCTCCTGTTAACTTTGTGATGGCTGTGCTGTTTACCTTAATTCCTATAGTATAAAACCTACTACAAAATTCTTTTTATTTGAGATGATTTAACTTCAGATGGATGAGTTTATTATCTGTTTCTATGTTGTCTTTTCTTGTAGTACTTAACACCTCTAACACATTAAATATGTTATGATTATAATGTTTTATTCGTCTTTCCCAGTTAAAATGTCAGTTCCACGAGGGTAACAAAGGGATCTTTGTTTCGTTCACTGATGTGTCCCAGTACCTACAGCAGGGACTGCCACATAATAGAGGTTCAGTAGATGTTTTATTGAGTGAATGAGTGGTGGATAATAATAAGTGATTGAGAAAAAAAAATTAAGGGAGTCAGTGAGGTTGATGGGAGGAGCGCATTTTTGAAACAATTTGTTAAACATAACTTGATCTTTTCTAATAAAAATATTTGTACAGAGTTTACATTGGAGGAATGCCCTGTGAACTTCTCATACCAAAATCTGATAAGTTGTAAGTATTTCAAATTATTTTCTTTATAAAAACAAATAGCAGATATAAGCAAACTGAATTTAAATAGTAATAGCTACCAATACTGCATAGCTAAATGCTTTATAATACAGTATAAATTATAATATCCCAAAACAAATTAGCAATCATTTTTACAGTTAGGTGCTACCTTATATCCTACTCAGTCTTCAAGATAGTATAATATGAACTATTTAGATTTTTATGAGAAAAGATGTTTTGAGCAATATCTTTATCAAGGAATTATTTCATTTGGCAGTATCTCAAACTCTTTTAAAGGAATATTAAAGGGCATAGCCAAAATTATAAAATATTTTTTGTTATATAAAATTTTATTCAAACATCTCCAATGAAGTCTAGGAAATGATTTTATTTTACAGAAATTTTGGTTGTTGCAACAATTTCTGTCCTGATTCATATTCTGAAATTAATGAGTTGTTTTTAAGGGAAATACAATATTCTAAAATTTTAGTGTCAATATAAACTTTGACATTAACGTTTTTTATTAGGTATGGTCTAAAACTGGATCATCCAAATGGAGATATGGGTTCCATGGTTTGTAAGACGACTGGAACTTTTATTGGCAAGTGTTGGTCATCTTTCTTCATAATGCTTACAGATGCCTTATTCTATTTCCCTGTTTTGTACTCTCCTAGATATCCCTCCTCTGCCTTTTGCATCAGTTTTTTTTTTTAAGTATTTTCTCTTTTCCTTGGCTTCTTTTCACTTTCATGCCAGCATGTATGAATTAGTCTTTTCTTATGGTTTATATATAAGGTAAACTTCTTCAGGTTTCTTTTTTTCTTCTTTTTCCCTTCAGCATTCCATGTCTAATTTGGCTGTTTTGCCTGTTGCCTTAATTTTGCTCTGTTCTTTTCTTCTTGACCTACGTCCTCCAGACACATAGATTGTGTGTGTGTGTGTGTGTGTGTGTGTGTGTGTGTGTGTGTGTGTTACAGAGTCTCGCTCTGTTGCCCAGTCTGGGGTGCAGTGCTGCAATCTCAGCTCACTGCAACCTCTGCCTCCCGTCTTCAAGCAATTATTGTGCCTCAACCTCCCTAGTGGCAGGGATTACAGGCACGCAACACCACGCGTGGCTAATTTTTGTATGCTTAGTAGAGATGGGGTTTCGTCATGTTTGCCAGGCTGGTCTCAAACTCCTGATTTCAGGTGATCCTCCAGCCTCAGCCTCCCAAAGTGCTGGGATTACAGGGGTGAGCCAATGCACCTGGCCTTCTTTTAAATCTTGAATGGGCTTCCCTCCCTTCTGTCTCAGGCCCTTTGCAATCTTCCTATCCTAAACGTTTCAGATAAAATGTCATGTTCTCAAAAAGGCCTAGGTCATCACCTGTCTTACATTTTCAAAGCTCATTCTACTTTTTTTTTTTTTAACAGCCTTATGACAATTTTTAGTTCTCTGTGTCATTGCTCTTGGCTAACTGTTCCCTCCACTAGACATTGTGTTCTGTTAGAAGAAGGACAAGCTGTGTGCTCACCCTACATCTGCTCTCTCAGCCTCTAGTACAGTGTCTGAACAATTAAATAGCTGTTAAATAAATAAAAGAAATTTCAGGGCAATATGGTTACATATCTGTTCTTTTATTATTCTTCATTCATGATCATATTTTGCTAGGTGTTTCTAGTTATAACTTCAAGACACCTCATTGTGTATATTTTTATATAGTGGCTGCTTTAAGACAGTTCAATTTTTATTTCTTTGATGATGAATAGAAAATTGGATAAGCACAATTTTGATTTTGTACTTTTTCTCTGCTTTTAAATCAGCTTTGTAATATAGAGTTATTGTTCTTCTGTGATTGGGAATTTGATGGTGTATTTTCATTAATTCCAGGTCATCACAATGTCAGTTTCATCTTAGATAACGATTATGGAAGGTAGGCTATTTTGTAAATAATAATTTTTATAATTTATTCAACTGGGTAAATAAGATAAAATGTATATTTACTTTGTGCCATAGATGCAGAGGTTTAAAAACTTAACTACTTTATTTCCCCAAATTAATAGTTAAAGAGTCTGTGATTTCTTTTCTCTCATAATTTAGGCTTCATACATAACCTTTCTGTTGTAGGGAAATCTAGCATTAACTAAAATAACATAAAAATCTTCACTTGTGTTATAGAAAAGTATTATTTTATGTACTGCAGCTTTTCTGATTTAACTGTAACTTTTTAAATAACTAAAGCAATTAAATTCAAATTTAAACTAATGGGAGAATAAATAAAACCTCATGGTTAATATTACCTGATAAAGATTTTCTTTGAAGTTATCAAGACATAAGGAGTTATGAAAGATGGTAGTTATATCTTTCAATTGTGCATCTTAACAGCAATATTAGTAACTCATATTTATGACTTTTAATAAAACTAGAACTCATTTCCAGATGTTCTACATTCTAATTTCAGTAAGAAAGATCATCATACTTTTATAGAAATATCAGAGTATGCAAATCTCAATGCATGTTGAAACCCCATATTATAGATAATAATAGTGAACATTTAGCAGCAGGCATGGTGTTAAGCACTTTACATACATTATCGAGTTTAATCCTCCTAAAGAAGCTCCCAAGGATAAATTAAGTGTTATCATCCACCCTATGTTATCCACTGGGAAAGTGAGACTTAGAAACATTAAATAATTTGCCTAGGGATATTCAGCTAGTAGGAAGCAGCATTAGTGTGCAAACTCATGCCATCTAACTCTAGGACCTGAGCATTTTATTCCAGTGCTTTGCCATGACTGATGGAGTGATTCAGCAACCAGTACTATATTTCATCACTACTTACGATACTGATCCAGGATTCCATACCATAGCAGGATTTCCCTACTCTTGGGAGCATTTGCAAATGTGTAGAGAATCCCCTGACTGTCACAGTAACTGGGTATGTTAATGGCCTTTAGTGGGCAGTATCATGATGTGCCAAACCCAAATCAATTGTTCTGCCCAAAATGTCACAGTGTTTCCTATTGAGAAAGTGAGTTGACAGAAATCCAAATAAATTGCATTAACACTCAATCCTAATATAGCTATAGTAGATCAATAATAGGAAAGATCTGTTAATTTATTTTTTGTCTCTGAACAATGATCAGAGGTCTGAAAAAATGGCAATATTACAATCAAAGTAGATATTATTCCTGGCAGCACTCACAGACTACAAGTGAAGGATGAGATTTTGTCCCTTCATGTATGGAACTGCAATTGGTTAGTGAACTCAAGTGCACTAGCATTGTATTTAGAGACCATCTACTTCTAGACATCTAGAGGCAATAGGTGTCATTATAACAAAATGATGCCTGACTGGACACTTTATTATAGACCAATATAGGCTAGACCAAAACTAAGAGTAAATCAGAGTGGAAGATATATAAACAATGCTATAATACAACTTTGTGATTTACATGGGACACATGACAGGGTCCCATAACTTAACAATTATTCTCTTCAGGGATGACCTACTTATATACGACTTGATAAGACAGGGCAACAGGATTTTGTTGAACATATTAGAAAACCATATTAGGGACAATAATTATTGAGTTTTAAATGATTTTTTGAACTATACATGATTTTTAAAAGTGCTCTTAGTAGCAACCTTCCCAAGGTGAAAGAAAAATGAATTCTTAGTTCTGAGTCTGTATGAAAAGCATTAATTGCCAAATCCATCATATGTCTCTCAGAGAAATAATTATCCAAAAATAGAAGATTTGAGTGATCAACGTTGAATGTGATTGATAAGTACTCATAAATCAATATGCTGCATTAACATGCCCAGAAACTTTCAATTTAGAAATGCCAGCAAATTCACATATAATAGAAGCAAAAATACTGCATTAAATTGTTGATTCTATGGACTCAATTTATAATTCCACCCCCTACCCAATTTTAAAGCCAATGCCTGTTCCTTTGTACAAATGCCTTAGAATTGAGGAAATTTGTGTTTCTGTATAAAATATTCTTATGAATTTAAGATAACTGTTAGAAAGATGACATTTATGATTTTAAAGCCTAGTTTTAAGATTACATGGTATTTTTTGAATGTTAAATCATTCATTAACTTATAAAGCTGATATTTCACAAATTTCATGAGCATTGTTGAATATCAAATGAACCAATTAAAGGCCTTTCTGTGGCATCTATTCTGTATTTCTTTTAATAGCCAACCTTCTCTTCTCTATTACCCCAAGTTCAAACAACAGCTGTTCCAAACTGATAAGGTTCAGACGACGCTGCCTTAATTGAGAAATGCCTAGTCATTATCAATGAATTAGTGAAAACAACCTCAGTGTCATCCAAAATAAATTACATTCAAATTTTATTTCAGGAGGCAATTTCCCCACTAACTTAAGAAGCAGAGTTAATTTTTGAGATGCAGGATCTGACCAGATGCAATATCGTTGGAGCTAGCAAGGTTTCAGATCTTTGGGAAATCAGCCAAAAGGCTTCTGACATAAAAATATGAAATCTAGCATGAACTTCTTAAGTAGCTAATCTAGCATAAAATATTTCCAGAGACTCTTTAGTCTTGCAAATAAACATGGTAATGCCTGGGTTAGATTTGTAGGAGTGTTAATTATTGGTCTCAATGACAAGATTTACATTATTCTTTTAGATTCTAATTCAGTATAACTATGATGAATAAGATATGAGTCTTAATATTTGAATTTCTTAACTTTTCTAATGGAGAATGTCTTGAACATAATTAAAGTAACAGCATTTAATTTCCAGAATTATTTTCCTTCTTAATTCTTTAGGTTTATAGAAGTATAAGTGCGTATCTATGAATAATAGGCACTGTGTTTATTAAGGACAGTTTTAACCCGGTCAATTATTGCTAATTTGCTGTCATCCACTTGCAGTGTCACACAGATTAGTGGGCGGAGGAGGAGTACTGTGTAATACACAGGTGAGGAGGAGCCACAGCTCTGGACTCAAACTGCCTGGGTCCAGTTCTGTGTCTGCCACTTACTTACTGTGTGATCTTAAGTTAATTCTCTGAAATTCACCTACCTCATGTGGTTGATGTAAAGATCAAACGGCATAATCAATTGAAAGGTCCTAGCGTGATCCCTCATCTTAGAACAAAAAAGAGGTTCTAAAAGAAGACAGACTGGCATGGTCAGCAGAATATCCCAGCCTTTATAAAGGGTAATCCTCCTGTATGCTTTTTTATGTCAATATAATTTCTTAAAATAAACTTTAGGGCCAGACGCAGGGTCTCACACCTGTAATCCCAGCACTTTGGGAGGCCAAGGAGGACGGATCACGGGGTCAAAGGATAGAGACCATCCTGGCCAACATGGTGAAACCCCAACTCTACTAAAAATAAAAGAAAATTAGCTGGGCGTGGTGGCATGCACATGTAGTCCCAGCTACTTGGGAGGCTGAGGCAGGAGAATCCCTTGAATCCGGGAGGCAGAGGTTGCAATGAGCCGGGATTGCACCACTGCACTCCATCCTGGCAACAGAGCGAGACTCCATCAAAAAAAAAAAAAAAAAAAGAAAGAAAGAAAAAGAAATCAACTTTATTGAGATATAGATTGCAATTCAGTACCAAATGTATATATGTATGTCACCAACAACCAAATTAGAATAAAGAAAATTCTTATCCTCTTGCAAAAGTTTCATCCTGCTCTTTTGCAGATTATCACATAATTACTATCACCGAAGTTAAACAAAAAAGTTCCTAAATTAAAGATCATTTAAAGCAGAAAATTTAACCTTTTTTTAACAGGAGTTTTCCACAGAAAATGGCATATTTTGTTTCTTCTCTCAATAAAATTTCAATGTTTCAAACATATGCAGGTATGTGACTTTTCTTTCACTCTGTTGTAGGGGGGAAGACAGTGTATAATTGATTTAACCAAACCAAAGGCAATGAGTGTAAGGTGTATTATATTATTTGATGTACTGCTAGGAAAGGAAAAATGCCTAAGATGGGGAGTCTAACAGAAAGCTCCAACATTAAGCAGGACCTCCCCCACAGCAGACAATACTCTTAGTGTAAGATTGATTGAAAAATAAACTCATTACACTAACACGGACAGCAGGGAAATTTGCATGTTTCAACTTTGGCTATTGGTAGAGGGAGGGAAAAAATCTCCACTGTCAATCTTAACCAAAAACCAGTATAGATGCCTCTCAATTTACAATGGGATAACCCCATCATAAGTTGAAAATATTGTTAAATTGAAAATGCATTTAATACACTGAATGTGTATTAGCTTAGCTTAGCTTTCCTTAAACGTGCTCAGAACACTCACATTGGCTACATCATCTGACAACACAGTGCTCTGCAGGTACAAGTTGTTTACCCTCATCATTGCGTGACTGACTGGGGGCTGCTGCTGGCTGTGCTGCTCAGCATCAGGAGAGCGTATTTACTGCATATCACTAGCCTGGGAAAAGATCAAAATTCAAAATTCTAACTACTATATGGTTTCTACCAAATTCATTATTTTTGCACCATTGTAAAGTCAAAAAATCTAAAGTTTGGCTTTGGTAACTTGGAGACCACTGAAACTGTCTCAGATTTATGCTCTCAGTGTGGTCCAAAAGAATCCTCAAGAAGATCATAATTTAATTTAAAGAGGTCTCAGGTTGATAGTATCCCTTGGAGAGTATCAGAACAAACACAAATCATCCTGAAAGAATTGTACTCCACTCCAGGTCAAGAGTAATGGAAAGATACATTTAGATTTCAAAGATGTTAAAAAAGGTGGGTCTTGGAATCAATCAAATGTGATGTATCTTGGCTTTTCCTAGAAGCTTATTTAGTGTGAAATTCATATGTAAGAATACATAGGTATTTGATAGAGTTAATAAGGATAAATTTTAGTAAGAATTTGCCATATGTCATGTACTGGACTATTTTACAATATACCTACAACTTATATATGCAAAGCCACAAGAAGTTCAATCATAGTTAAATGTATTACTAGAAGAGAAAATTATAAGAGGTTGGTCCATGAACATAGGAAAGGTTCATTCTTCAAAAGCGTATGGAAGAAGAGTGGTTCTACCTGCCTTCCTGCTCAGCTCAGGTTTTCCTTACTTCTTTAATGCTCGTATTATGAATGTTGCTTTAATACCAGTCAACACCAAAGCCTGCTCCTCATGGAATGTAAGTCTCTGTCAATGCCATGTTTATTGTCTTTTTTGCAGGATTGCATCAGAGAAAGTAATGAAACACCTAATTGATGCAGTTGGTAACAAAGGTGCTATGGCTAGGTAATTTGGAAGTTTTAAAAAATCAGGCATTTGCATTTATGTGTAATATTTATGGTATTTTATTTAATGTGCTTTTACCCCAGAGGTCACTATGATTTTTCCTTCACAAGGAAGCATTCGAGGTGGCACCACGCTGACAATAAGTGGACAGTTCTTTGATCAGACAGATTTCCCCATCAGAGTTCTAGTTGGAGGTATTTCTCATGTTTTTTTGATATATTACCTTTTTACCACTAATTCTGCCTGTTCTTTAATAATTCGTAATACTAATAATAGTCTTTTCTCAACTCATGCCTTCAATTGGAATCTGAGTATTTTCACACAGTTATTTGGTTCTGGGGTTTGATACTCTTTCCATTGCAATTTTCCAGCAAGGGCCACTCCCTGAAATCTCATGTGAATAGCACCTGAGCTCTAGGGTTGGCACCAACAGGCTTTGTGTAGCAGCATTGCAGCTGCCATCCATGAATTCCTCACCACAGTTTAAGGACACACCTACCCTTAATTTAGAAGCTCTTAAATGCCCTTTTTGAATGGTTGTTATTTCTCAACGAGTTAGCTAATTGTGAGGAAATTTAAAGTAATATTTTGGGTTGTTCTCCTCATATTCTTCTCATATACTGTGCCTCATCTGGACATCAGTAATCACTGATGATATTGGCCTTGAAAAGAGCAGTAATTTCAATGAGTTGTCTATTTACAAATGCATGTAGGACTTGGTTCTGTGGTTATGCTTCACTTTTATGTGTCCTGTCCAGATCTGTTCAGAGGTAGGCAGCTATGCAGCTCAAAAGGAGTGAATGTGATCTTGGGAATCTTCCCATTCAGCCATAATGACATCACTTTTATTGCTAGTCAGGGGACAGGATGCCTGCCCATGGAACAAGGCATATGCATTTCTACGGTCCTCTTGCTCAAGTACTTTCTACCTTTTACAGAATCTGCCTGCAAGCCAGCCAAAATGTGATTTCAGAAAAAAGAGAAATGGATATTAAGCAACCTCATGTAATATTTATACAGTCTTCTTTCGTGTCTGCATGAATCCTTGCTGGTCATTGGCATACATATTAAAACCTGGGCCATAAATATTTAAAATTCATATATGTATTAATCTGACCAGATTTTATGTTTTAAACATTAAAACCCAGGCCATAATGCACTTTTAATTTATATAATATATTTTATAATCTGATCTTATGTTTATTTTGCATACGACTATGATGCTGTTGATATGAAAAGAGAACATGTTAGTTTTCTATCATCCTTCATTACCATTAATATGGCAACCAGATTCCAGATTTTGAATACTCAATAATCTATTGAAAATGTGATGTTTATGTGCCTTTCCTTTGCTTCCAATAAAATGGGTGATTGGTTTAATATACTGTTCCTATTTACTGTTTTCTGGTTCAAATTTCTTGCATCCATAAAACATTCAAAATAATGAAAGGGGCTGGGTGCAGTGGCTCATGCCTGTAATACCAGCAGTTTGGCAGGCTGAGGCAGGAAGATTACTTGAACCCAGGAGTTTGATACCTGACTAGACAACGCAGGGTGACCTGTCTTTACGGAAAAAAAAAAAAAAAAAAAAATGGCTGGCGTATTGGTGCATGCCTGTAGTTACAGCTACTTGAGAGGCTGAGATGGGAGGACTGCTTGAGCCCAGGAGGTGGAGGCTACAGTGAGCTATGATCACGCAACTGCACTCCAACCTGGGTGACAGAGCAGGACCCTGCCTCAAAAAACACAGAAACAAATAAAATAGAGAAAAGTAGTGTCAAAATTTAAAATTTCCAGGCTATCAAACAAAACTTGGCAAAAATATCTCTCTCCATTTCCGTTGTCCTCACATTTCATGGGCTGCAATTGCCATTTCAGTGACTACTTTCTGAGGCTGACCATATGTGAGGCATTGTGAGGAACACATGGAGGTTTAAAACATAGACTCTTCTCGCAAGTCTAATTGTGCTGATGTAAAAGTTATAATAGCTATCTTTGAAGCTTTTTTCCTGTTTTAGTTTCAGTTTATCTGTGAAAATGCCATTTAACAGTTATTACCCCCCCTTTTTTTTTCATTTGAAGAACTTGGACTAAACCAGCATTTTTCCTACTCAAGAGGTTTGGGGTCATCTACCTTTGCAAATTCTGAATGACACGGGTTTATTCAGCAGTTTATCTCCACGGAACAAAATAGAAGTTTTTACTTTGGATTCGGAAGTGATATCTTGTGCAAAGACATAGTATTATCAAATTATTAATCTCAGAAATTATGAAATTTTCTATCTCAGGCTTGTGATGTTCCACCAGAAAAAATGTTGGTTTCTGGAAGTATGACAATTATTGCACGAAAAGCTTTAATAGAGAATATGTAAAGGAAATAAAGAGCCCCAATTTGCCTCTTGTTTATGCAACTTTGTTTTAATTGCAAAAGTGCTTAAAGATACACTGATGTGATTGCATTCTGAAGTTTCAGTAGTAACGGTTTTGTATCTTGCTTCTCTATAGGTGAACCTTGTGATACTTTGAATGTCACGGAAAAGAGTATATGTTGCAAGACACCCCCAAAACCTCATATTCTCAAAGCTGTATATCCAGGTAAGTTACCATCAGGGAAAATGGCCATTTCTATATTTACATAAAAATAATATATTAGTAAAAATATTATTTAAACTTTTTAGAGTTTAGAATTTGTAGGAAGAATTGTAAGAAATTTCCTCCAAGTTTTAAAATTTACATTTTCCGTATTAGAAAATATTTCTATTAAAATCACTGCCACAAAGCTGCACCTGTGGAGAAAAACCCAGCCTAAATTATCAAGACACCCTACTGAAAACAGCACATCTCTACTGACAGAGCTTAATTATGCTTTTATTTCTAATTAAATTATGATAACTAACACTTGGTACAGTCTACATAGACATTTTTAAAATGCTTTTTTCTGATTAAAAAAGATAAATAGGTGAAGTTAAATATTCACTTGTCTAGAAAAATGTGGGAGTGAAAACAGGAGATGAGAGAAATGTTACTCTAAATTCTTTTCAGACTTTCACCCTGTGACCCAGTGAAATTGCTTTCCTATCTACACTAATAACATTGAAATGCTGTACACGTGTCTGCATGTGGTGTGTGTCTCATATCTTGCTTGCACAGTGAAAGTTGTTTATAATCGTGTCATTGTTTCACATTTGAAGCCAATTAAATGGTTTACCAACCTCTTACATTTCTTTGGTTTGAATATTAGGAAAAATTGAGCAGTTTAAGAAAATAATTTTGATAATTTATAATTGATGACTTTAAAGAAAATTGTATACATCATTAAACCCTGCTGTTGTAAAAGTTTGAAGTGCTCAAGCTTGTCTTCAACCAAATTCAGCTGAAGAAGAGTAGCCATTATTTTCCATGTACAGACAAGCTTAAGGCTGTTAAAGAAAGAAATAAGCCTAATTGTTGTTGCAGTTGAAGGAAAAGAAAAAGAGAGATGGCTCCTTTCTGATTAGGAAAAAAAACTTAATCACAGGGTTTATTCTGGCAAGTATAGGTACAGTTTATTGAGAGTATCCTGTTTTTGATTCTGTCCAAGAAGGAGAAGAAATCCTAGAGTAGAAGTACTTTTTTTTTAAAGTAAAACAAATATTGATAGAAACATGAAAGCCAACATTTTCTCTTCTTTGATTAATGGCTTTGTAAGCCATTAATTTACTTTTGTTAGAATAGTCAAGGCAAAGGTTTTGTATTAAAATGGCATGAATCTTGAAGTTTTGCAACATCAGCTATATCATAAGTAGAAATTACTATATATTATCTTACATAAAGCACTTTTTAAATGCTAGATGTTTTACATATGTATTATACATAATTCCTATAGCAGCTATGCAAATATTATTACTCCCATTTTACACATGTGGAAACTGAGGCTCAAATAAGTGAAGTAATAGTGAACAAATTGCAGGCTGCCCCCTGGCTACAGGTAAGTGTAGGGGAATATGTAATTGTTTTGTTTTCACACATGCTAAAAATATGAATTGATATACAGAGTCTATAACCCACACCCAAATAGAAAGCCCCTGAGACATTGCATTATGATCCTGATGAAAGACTTATTTTATTTCATCACACTTAGGAGGGAGAGGCCTGAAGCTTGAGGTATGGAATAATAGTCGTCCAATACATCTGGAAGAGATACTGGAATACGATGAAAAAACCCCCGGGTACATGGGTGCCAGTTGGGTAGATTCAGCTTCCTATATTTGGCCTATGGAACAAGACACATTTGTTGCACGCTTTACTGGATTTTTGGTGGCCCCAGATTCTGATGTTTATAGATTCTACATCAAAGGTGATGACCGTTATGCTATTTATTTTAGCCAGACTGGACTTCCAGAAGATAAGGTAGGGAAACCTCAGAATACTATTTGATACTATAAAAACATTATGATGATGTTTATATGTATCTTACTTACTTTAAATCAAAACAAATGAATGTATTAAAAATGTATGAGAAATGATGTCATGTGGTTTGGCTCTTGGCTATTATCCTGGATATGATACAAGATATAAGATGATGGAAAACCTATAGCCTACAAGAAAATTTCCCATACCTGAAAATATTTCATTATTCTACATTTACTTGGTCATGAGATAAAAGTCATTTCACTATTTTGTTTTTTTCATAAATAGAATTATACATTCAATTTCGTATGTAGTTTTTCGCATACTAGTATTAAATACTAATTTTATTAAACAATTTATATAATCACTATTTTTAATGACTAAGTACTGTTATTACATGGGTTTACCAAGCTTAGATAACCATCTCCCTACTGATAAGTTTTTATTTACTTCTGGTGTTTTATGACCACAAATAATACTACTCTATTGAACATCTATGTTCATTAAACTTTTCTGTATTTGGGATTATTTTGTTAGGACAATTTCACAAATATGAAACTAACAGATCAAATCAATTTAACATTTTATGACTCAACTTATGTGGCAAAATTGCTTCCCAAACTGGTTGTGTAAGTTTAAATTGCTACCTGTAATTTATGAATTCTAATTTTTATCATAGTTTGTACTCCAAAGCATGTGTACTCCAAAGATGGTATAATCATTCATAATGGGAAGCCCAAAGTCCTCTCACTCTAGTGTGCAGAACCATTTAGCAATCTTTGGCAATCTAATTTGGATTAAATCTCTCAAAGTTCTCCACAGAGCGAAAGAATATTTTATTTGTCAATAACTGCCTTTCTCCTGGTATGTATCTTCTTAGTTTCCACTGCAGTTCTAGTTATGGAAAAGCTATGATCTGTGTAGCATACTCGGTACAGTACTGTTGATGTGACTGAAGGGTAGAAGGAATGAAGTGAGCTTTGATAATTTAAAAAAGTATAGCATATTAGATAACAGATCTTAAAATAAAAATATAAAGTAGTTTTACATTTTTCTACTTATGAAATTTCTAAGACTGAAATAATAAATGATAAATAAATAAGTAAAGTTGAAAAGGTCTATTAATAAATTCTCCATCTCTCTGGGATTAGGTGAGGATTGCATATCATTCTGCTAATGCCAACAGTTATTTTTCCAGTCCAACGCAAAGATCAGAGGATATTCATCTGCAGAAAGGAAAAGAGTAAGGTTTTTTGTTGTCGTTAAGTTACTGTGTGGTATTTACAAACTTTATGTTTATATTTTTAAATATATATATATATTTTTTAAATTTTATTTATTTATTTATTTTTGAGACGGAATCTCCCTCTGTCGCCCAGGCTGGAGTGCTGTGGCCTGATCTCGGCTCACTGGAAGCTCTGCCTCCCGGGTTCATGCCATTCTCCTGCCTCAGCCTCCTGAGTAGCTGGGACCACAGGCGCCCGCCACCGCGACCCGCTAATTTTTTTGTACTTTTAGTAGAGACGGTGTTTCACCGTGTTAACCAGGATGGTCTCGATCTCCTGACCTTGTGATCTGCCCGCCTTGGCCTCCCAAAGTGCTGGGATTACAGGCACGAGCCATTGCGCCCGGCCTATATTTTTAAATATTTTCAATTTATTTTTATTGGTGGAAGTGGATATTAGTTTATTGGCTTAATTTATAATTGGTCATTCGCTATAATTTTATTCAAATGTGTTTCTTTATTTTCAAGAATACTGGCATTCAGCTAACCAGGGAAATTTGAAGTCTAGAATAACCCTGTTGCAAACTTACACTTTTGTGAAATTACTTGATCCTATTCTTAGTTCTTTACTTGGACCTCTCAGTCAATCCATCCATCTAATTTCTCTGTTCCTGCAGCTGAGCTCTTCAGTATTGCTAGGGAAAAATCACTAAACCACATAGATTGTTGCCACTATTAATGTATATTTGTTATTAACTGGTTTATTCCAGGCCCTGAGCCAGGTACTGGAAATTTGAGAATATTAAAATACACTGCCAGAACTGACAGAGCATATCGCTTAGTGTTGAAAGGTCAAGTCCAAGGAGCCAATGAGTGGGATTATCATCCAAATACCAGATAATCCCATTCAAAAAGCCATTCAGAATTCCTAGGAAACAGGAAGATAAAAGACATGATACATTCAAAATGGAGAAGGTGGTGGAATGGAGTTAACATGAAGAACATCAAAAGATGCACTGAGATCATATTCATCATTTGGATCTATTAGACTTTACTATATAACAAAGCACTTCAGACTGTAGCAACTTCAAACAACAAGTGTGTATTATTTTTCACAATTTTATAGTTGGCTGAGCTGTTCATTTAGTCTTGACTAGTTTAGTTGGGGATTGGTAACCTAGAATGCCTCGCTCACATGTCTGGAGCCTCAGCAGGCATGGTTGAGTCTTAGATATCTGGGGCATCCCATTGCACGTGGTCTCTCATCATCCAGGAGACAAGCCCAAGTTTCTCACATTGTGGATGTGATCCCAGCAGTAAAGAGGGGAGTCCTAATGCACACACACTCTGCAATACTCTGTCTGTGTCACATTGGCTGATATCCCATTGCCCAAAGCAAGTGACTAAGCCTAGACTCAAGGATGCAGAAATAGACTTCCCTTCTTGATGGGAGGAATGCTTTTTTCTTTATAAATTTACCTCATCACCCTTTCAGATATTGATGAAGTTATGCTCAGAGGCAGCATCATGAGGATCTTATGGAACTGGACAGGGAGGGTTGGGATCAACGGAACCTGGGAGCAAATTAATGTTCTCACACTGAATGTTCTCGCTGAGGTCTTGGTAATACTGACATGGGGAAAAAGTTTTATTCCTTTTTTCCTCCTTCTTCTACTTTCACTTCTTTATATATTAAACATTTTCTTCTATAACCATGAAAACTACTGGGCCAGGTCAGGATAAATGGAGTGCCTGATTAATCCCTACTGCAATTAAGTGTTAGTACATTTTCAGACTTTGGCTTGTTCTTGGAAAATGAATTCAGTCTACCAGCTTGGCAGGAGCACAGAGTTTGAGTGAAAGCAACTCCTAATACATCTGCTGCCTGGTGTCTGTGCTCCTGCAAAACCAGCTTGGAATTTACATACTGTGCTTACAATGATTGCTGTGAAATCTGAAATTGAGGCCACTCTAGCTGGTTTATTATAATGTGGTTTTTCAAGCCTTTCCAAAGGTAGCTCATATTGCTAAATCATTCTACTCAACTACCACAAATATAGTTTCCTCTAGTGCATATGTTTTTGGTCACCTTATTCTGTTTGGAATTCTCCCTCAGTTACTAGTTTAAAAAAATTTTGAATTCTTAAAATTCCATTAGCGTTTGTTATTCATATGGAGAAAGGAATAATATCTGTTTTATGAAACTTTTGTGACGATTAAATATAATAACGTCTGCAAAGTGCTTAGTTTATTGTCTAGTACAAAGAAAGTACCTAATTAATAGTTTAAAGCCATGAGTAAGGATGCAAAATTTTAATGGTTCTTCTTTGAATTCTGATCTTTAATTAGTGTTGATCATCTCAAGTCAGCAGAACTGATGAACAGGTTCTTATGGAAGTCAAGAGCCTGATATAATCCCCAAATATCAGTTCCATCGGGCGATGATCCAGAACCCCATCATTCTGCACATATGAAACATGATAAATTTCCCTCATTCAGACTCTTTCATGAACTGTGGATACTGATTCTCCCTATATAAGAATGTATGTTGAGTGATGTGAGACAATTTAGGGAAGCTCCCAGCTGTCCTCTCCAAAGATGTGAGCAATGGTGACATTGCTAGAGATTTAGAGGAGAAGCAGTAGTTTTGTACTCTCCTGTAACAGCTGCTCAGTGAAGGCATTACCTTGGGTACCCAGTAGGATGAGGGGCAGGAGACATCAAGAATCAGGAATTCAAAATATAAAGTGAAAATCCCATCCAGCTAGTTGGAGGTCCATAGTAAATCTGACCAGTAAAAGTTTCCTGAGGCAATATTTTATTCCCCAAGTTACAAATGGAGCCAAATTTAAGGAACATGAAAGTAGGAACTTTTATTCCTGACAAATATAACCCCTCAGGTATAAAATATATGCTATGTCTAAGCCTGACATTTTCTTGAACACATTACAATATTTAACCTCTGTATGTTGTCTCTGCTATATGCCAGGGACAGTTATCTTTCAGGATCTTGAGTATAGGAAATAGTATTGTCTTCAATAAATATTTATTGACTAAGCTGAATGAATTACTTATGAATGAGAACAACTTTCTACTAATGCAGATACCTTACATAATTCATTTTATTTTAACAAACTGCTATGAAAATTTTAACATTTGAATATTTAAAATATGAGATACTACAATATAAGTTATTTAACAGGCAGGCTTTTAAAATAATGTTGATATTTTATTCATTAAAATAATATCATGGCAAGTGTTGTGGAAAAAAGTTATATTCATTAGTTACTCTATTTTCCAGATATTATATTGAAATCTTGCTGCAGGAGTACACATTAAGTGCATTTGTTGATGTTGGACTGTACCAGTATCAAAATGTTTATACTGAACAACAAACAGGAGATGCAGTGAATGAAGAACAAGTTATCAAATCCCAGTCAACAATCATCCAGGAAGTACAGGTTTGCTATGATTATAGTTCCACTTACAGAAAGTAAATGTCCGAAGGCAGGATCTCAATTTGGTTATTAATTTTACTAGGTAAGATACTGTTTTAGGTGAAAGCAGTCATGGACAATTATTGAATTATGACTTTGAGTATCTGTATTATAAGCCGAAAAGGCTGTTACTTGTCATTTGTAGTAAAATAGAGCAATAAAGTGACATTGAATAGCTGAGTTATGATGCTTTTAAAATATATATAATTTTCATATATTAAAAATATTTTTTAATTGGAAAATAGGTTATAACATTAGAAAACTGGGAAACAACTAACGCAATTAATGAAGTTCAGAAGATCAAGGTAACCAGCCCCTGTGTGGAAGCTAATTCATGTTCACCTTACCAATACAGATTAATCTATAATATGGAAAAAACTGGTAAGTTATAAATAATAAGGGAGATACTGTTTCTGTTCATGCATAGATGTAGCCATAAAGTATTTGCTCCAGTCAAATTATACTGTCTAGAAAATATAGTTTTGATGATAGGCTAGACAAAGAAGCAGAAAAATATATTATGGTAAAAAGCCTTCAGACTGGGATAGAAAACAACATCCATACAAATAACTTTCTGGCATATACCATCATTTTCCAATAATAATGATAACTATATATCTAAATGCACATGGAATTTATATATCTGTTACTCACAGGTGTAAGTTAAGAAAATGGGAATTGTGAATAGTTAACCCAAATGCCCATCAATGATAGACTGGATAAAGAAAATGTGGTACACCATAGAATACTGTGCAGCCATAAAAAGGAACAAAATCATGTCCTTTTCAGGGACATGGATGGAGCTTAAAGCCATTTCCTCAGCAAACTAACTCGGGAACCAAACACTACATGTTCTCACTTATGAGTGGGAGCTAAACAATGAGAACACGTGGACACAGGGAGGGGAACAACACACAGTGGGGCCTGTTGCGGGGTGGGGTCGGTGCGGGGAGGGCATTAGGTTAGTTCATGCTGGGCTTAATACGTAGGTGATGATAGGTTGATAGGTGCAGCAAATCACCATGATATACGTTTACCTATGTAACAAACCTGCACATCCTGCACATTTACCCCAAAACTTAAAATAAAAATAAAAAATTTTAAAGGAATTAAATTCATCATTGCACAGAAGTAAACATGTCTTTCAATTTTTTAAATTAAATGATAAGCGTATGGAACACCAATTTTTATCAGCTAAAAAACAAAAACAACATTGCATTTCTTTTTTTTTTTTTTGAGACAGAGTCTCGCTCTGTCGCCCAGGCTGGAGTGCAGTGGCGCAATCTCGGCTCACTGCAAGCTCCGCCTCCCGGGTCCACGCCATTCTCCTGCCTCAGCCTCCCGAGTTGCTGGGACTACAGGCACCAACCACGACGTCTGGCTAATTTTTTGTATTTTTAGTAGAGATGGGATTTCACCGAGTTAGCCAGAATGGTCTTGATCTCTTGACCTTGTGATTCGCCCGCCTCGGCCTCCCAAAGTGTTGGGATTACAGGCGTGATTCACTGCGCCCGGCCGCATTTTTATATTTTATAACAAATCCTAAAATAAAACTTTCACTATTAATGTTAATTTTTTTAACCAGTAAATATTGATGATTGTTTATTCTTTGCCAAATCCAATGATTATTACTGTGGGAATATTAGGACAATAAAATATCAGCCCTGTCCTAAAAGAGATCACAAATTAAATACTCAATATTACTGAACTTGAATCAATTTCAAAATACAATTTCTCTAAGTGATAACTTACATGGTACAGAGTGTAGGTGCTTTAAAAATGTAAATACAAGACATCAGTGTTGGCTGCGGTAGCTCAGATTTCAACTTTTCTGTTTGTTTGTTTGTTTGTTTTAATCCAATCCGAAGTCTTCCTACCTGCTGATGCTTCTGAATTCATACTGCAGTCAGCCTTGAATGACCTCTGGTCTATAAAACCAGACACAGTTCAAGTAACAAGAACACAGAATCCCCAGAGCAATATCTACACGGTAACATTCATATCAACTAGAGGTAAGCATGTATTTAATTTTGCACTTGTAGGAAACAAATGTATATCCTGTGCCACTCTAAAAGTTCTATAAGATGACAGAGAAAAAGACTTAGTTTAATGTCAGCAGAAATTAAATGGTTATTTTTTTCTATGGTAATTTAAATTTTAGTTGTATTTCAAGGAATGTACAACTCCAATGCATGAGAAATGCACTATACATACTACAAATGCATTTTCCATATAATAGCCTACTTTATAAATTAGTAAAAACTAGTGAAAATATTCTTTCTGAAAATAAAATTTAGGCAAACCAATATTGTCCAGGAGACACTCATCTGATCAAATCTTGCCTACTGAAAGGATTTTGTGGTCAAATTCACATGGGAGACACTGTATACCATGGGTCTTCCTTCAAGACTGGCAGAGCTCGTTGGAATATTAAAATCCCTGAGGAGTCCTGCAGTATTAAAAAAAAAAAAAGGAAAAAGAAAAAAGTCAATTCACCTGTGTTTAATGCAAACTTATTTTTTCTCTCCATCTTTTTTTTCAAGTAGTAGCTATTAACTTCCTGTTACTGTTTTACAAAAAACACTTTTGGAAATATTGACATAGACATTCTGCCTTCAAGTCAGACTTCACAACTAACTTGGCTATTTGGTATATTTAGCCCAGAAAGTGGGTCCCCGAATGTGCGTTTATGTATGTGTGTGTGTTTACTTTTCTTTGGGTAATCATTATTTTTCAATTCATGTAAGTAAAATGTTACTTCAATATTTGTGTCTCATTTTATGAAATTGTTTAGTTTATTTGATTGTTGAGTGGAGGATAAAGAATTTGATTTTACATGAATTTAAGTTTTAAAAAGTGTACGAAAGTTAGATTGTCAAAATACTTATGAATAAACATATGAATATCCTTTCTGATGTATTTTTATATATCAGAGAGAAATTTTAAGACTTCAGCAGACACCTTAAGAAATATGTTACCCAAATCCTAACTGGGAAGATTTTAAGACTTTCCCCAACAAAAAGGGTCAAAAAGATCAGTGAGATTCCACTGGTAGAGCATCCTTTCAAAGAACAGAGACATTTGAGGACAGGCCTTATTCCTCTTGAAGTGGCAAAGTCAATGATTATCATACTAAGTGGCATGGTATGAACAAACCTCACAGGTCAGAGATTGTTTCCTGGAATTCATCTTCATGCCCTATTCATGTCTAAAGAAAACAGCAGTATTTCAGCTGAGCATTTGCACTAAAATAATGGTACTAGCACAAAACTAAAAGAATTTTTGGAATATCCTACTGCCCATTGATCTTTATCTCACGGTTCTAATACATCAGCCTGTTTATCTTACAATACTTCCTTTTGCATAGAAACAGTGCCTTAAATATATAGCACTTTGTCTGTTTTGCCATTTATGCTATGGATAAATCTGCTCAAATTTAAGGATCTACATCGTCCCCATTCTTCCTTCTTTTGTGATAATGGAGCACCAAATGAAACCAATTTGGCTACATTTGAGTGTCTATTTAATATATATATATATATTATTATATGTATATATATACATATATATACATATATATATACATATATATGTAGTTTTATATATAGGCATTTTATTAGTTAACTTCTACAAATTCTGTTTGGCACTTAATTTCAGGAGATTTTGATCTGCTTGGTTATGAAGTAGTTGAAGGGAATAACGTCACACTGGATATTACAGAACAAACCAAAGGAAAACCCAACTTGGAGACATTCACCCTGAATTGGGATGGGATCGCTTCTAAGCCACTCACTCCATGGTCATCAGAGGCTGAAGTATGCTGTAGGAATGTTTCTACCACGCATTTTCCCTGCACCCTCTCACATCATTCATGGGCCATTTGTAGACAAATGAGAAAGAGATATTACTTGAAAAAAATCACTGCAAATTATTTATCCCCTGATCGACTCACCATAATTTATATACTGTGAACACTTTTATCTGAAAGGAGACTAAGAGTCAACTTAGTGCAGCCACCCCTTTTTCCAGACAAGGCATATATCAAAGGTTCCAAACCCTTGCCCTGCCTATGTGTAGAAGCTCTGAGTCCCTCTAACCACATGGGTATTTTTCTTCACTCAAAACCCCATTTGTTATCCTGCAAAATCAGAAATTCCTTGAGAGATGTAGTGCAATAAAAGCTTAGCTATAAAGTGTTGGTTAAATATCCTATTATTTTATTAAACAGAACACCATTTAAATGTCAACCTTTTATAAAGAACACTTTAAGGAGCAGTAATACATTCTTCTATTTGGCGTGATAGGTTGGAGCCTACCCATAGTGAGGAGAGAAGGGAGGAAATATTCCAAAGACAAGAGAAGGAAAGGGGAGTTCTTAGGTCTGTGCCAACAGGGTCTAATGTACCTCTATAGGGGGCAGCTGTTCAAAAAGAAAGAATGCTTGTGAGTTACAACATTTTGACAACTTATCTGGACAATGAATTTAAGTTAACATTTGTTTGCAGATTAAAGAGTATCTATTGTCTCAAGCCCTTAATTCTAAGTGACAATTATTTCTGTGCTTTGCTGGAGAAATTGATATGGAAATTATAGGAGACTTGTGAATATGTGCTAATTTCTGCATAATCTTCAATAATTTATTATTTTTGAATAATTATAAATACAAGCTTACAGCATATGCATCTAATCTTTTTTGAGACGGAATCTCGCTTTGTCACCAGGCTGGAATGCAGTGGTGTGATCTCCACTCACTGCAACCCTCCACCTCCCAGGTTCAAGTGATTCTCCTGCCTCAGCCTCCTGAGTAGCTGGGACTACAGGTGTGCACCACCATGCCCAGCTAATTTTTGTATTTTTAAAAGAGACAGGGTTCCACCATGTTGGCCAGAATCTATTGGAGTGTATCTTTTTTTTTTTTCCAGTTACTTTTGAGTTAGTTGGAAAAATTATTTATTTGGAATCTATCTAATTGGGTACTAATTAATTTAGGTTTGCTTCATTGCTCTCTTTAAAAAGCTACTAAACAAATATGTCTGCCTTATGTAATAACTAAGTATGGCTAATATTAGCCAATTCCATGTAACTATTGTTATTCTAGAATAAAAGTTTTGAAAACTCATTGGCCACTAAAATTATCACACTCAAAATTATTTAGAAAGTTAACTCATAATCATGACTAAAGTATGGGAATTATGAAAATGTTCTATTAGAACTAATTAGTAGAATCAGGAGTAGGATTACTAGTGTTCTAACTTTTCATGAAAAGAAGTTACTAATGTTTATATTGTTAATTTAGTTTCAGGGAGCAGTGGAAGAAATGGTTAGCAGTAAGTGTCCACCACAAATTGCAAATTTTGAAGAAGGATTTGTTGTGAAATACTTCAGAGACTATGAAACTGATTTTAATCTGGTATGAAATATTTAATAAACTGTGAAACCAAATGATAATTTATATAATGGTTTGAAATTTTGTAATTTCTTTTTTGAAGTAGCATTAATAACTTAGTCATTCACAATCAAATTGCAAAAATGACTTTGTTATACATTTATTGTAAGGGCTGTTGGTAGGTGCTATTGGTAGTGCCTTCTATGATTCGTTTGTCAAAAAATTTTTACTACTCATGAATTTTCTTACTAGAAAGTACGAAAGCTGAGCAAAGGTAAGATTTGTAGTGTTTTTGTTTATTTTGTGTATTAGGCCATTGTTGCATTGCTATAAAGAAATACCTAAGACTGGGTAATTTAGAAAGAAAAGAGGTTTAATTGGCTCACAGTTCTGTAGGCTGTATAGGAAGCATAATGCTGGCATCTGCTCAGCTTCTTGGAAGGCCTTGGGAAACTCTCAATCATGGTGAAGGTAAAGGGGGAACAGGCACGTGAATTGGCTTGGTCAAAGGCAAGAGAAGAGAGTGGGGCGGTGCCACACACTTTTAAACAACCAGACCTTGTGAGAACTCACTCACTGTCACAAGAACAGCACAGATGGGATGGTGCTAAGCCATTCATGAGAAATCCACACCCATGATCAAGTCAACTACAAACAGGCCCCACCTCAAGCTTTGGGGATTACACTTCAACATGCAATTTGGTGGGGACACAGATCCAAATCATGTCATTGTGCTTGTGTTTTCTTTTTCTTTTCTGTCTTTTTTTTTTTTTTTTTTGATATTGAGTCTCACTCTATCACCAGATTGGAGTGTGTTGGTGCAATCTCGGCTCACTGCAACCTCCGCCTCCTGAGTTCAAGCAGTTCTCCTGCCTCAGTCTCCCAAGTAGCTGGGACTATAAGCACCTGCCACCACGCCTGGTTAATTTTTGTATTTTTAGTAGAGATGGGGTTTCACCATGTTGGCCAGGATGGTCTTGACCTCTTGACCTCATGATCCAGCCGCCTCGGCCTCCCAAAGTGCTGGGATTACAGGCATGAGCCACCGCGCCCAGACTTGGTTTGTGTTTTCTTAACATGGATGCACAGTATATCCTTTCTCCTCATTGACTTCAGAGATTATAATATATGGTGGGGCATTATATGTTTTTATGTATTATGTAGTTTTATATAATTGCTTCTCTTGCTTTTTGACATAACACTCTGGTTAATTAGTACACTGCCCAGTCGTTATTTCCTTCTTAATGAGATATTTTCTTTAATATAGAGTAAAGGAAGAAAATTGAATATGTGCTTTCTAATTCTCATTTTCAAGTCTTCAGGAAGTCAGCTATTTGCTATTTCCAAGTGAAAACTGTAAGAATAAAAAATGTATACTCTAGTTATTTAATTCAGATCAATACCCTGGATATAAATATAAATGCTTAAAAATATCTCTCATGATACTTTTCATGAGCAGATTAGTGAGAAAAAATCTTTCCATTTAATAGATGACCTTTTCAGCTTCGTTTAATAAACATATGTGTATTTATGTTCTATTTTGAATGTAGTACTAGCAGCCATGAGGATGGCACCTGTAATTTACCTTTTACTCCTTTCCTACTTCATCTCTCATCATTACCCTCACGTGCATTTCCATGCTGCACCTAACTTTAACAGTTTGCGTTCCCAGCACCATGCCCTCTCACACCTCTGCTTTTTTGTACAATTTTGGCCTATCTCTGAAGCCCCTATTTTCTTTTTACCATTTGCACAGTGCCTTTGACACCTTTTTTTCCATTCCAACAACTGCTATTTATCTTTAAAGACTTAACTCATTGTCACTTCCCCTGAGTCATCTTTCTTGATGCTTTTATGTGAGTTAGATGCCTCCCTTGAGCCTCAGTTTGATCATCATTGGCTTCTTTGTCTTAGACGGATGGTCTCTATTTACAGGGATGGGGTTCTTCACCACTTGAATCCTAAAGATTAAACAGCAAACACACAAACAAGCAGAAACCTGACACACAGTAAACACTGCATAAACACCCATGGAAAGAATGAATAAATACCCGTAAAGAGCTCATAATGTAAGGAAAAAAGTCAAACTTGGGAACTAGTCAAATACTGGTATAAGGGATTATATAATTATGGATCCAAATGAGAACTTTAGATTTCAGACAAGGAAGAAAACATCTCAAGTTAAAGTAATCGGGGAAACAATGGTATCTGGGTTAAACCTTGAATGGTTTGGGTGCATACATTGGGGGAAAACCAGAACAATAAATCATGTTTTCATTTGAAATATTATTGTTTCGGTAGGAACATATTAACAGAGGGCAGAAGACAGCTGAAACTGATGCTTACTGTGGTCGTTATTCCCTGAAAAACCCAGCTGTCCTTTTTGACTCAGCAGATGTTAAACCAAACAGACGACCATATGGGGACATTTTATTGTTTCCTTATAATCAGGTAAGCTCAACAAAATGATATGCTAATTGAATCTGGAACATACCTTGGTAATAAAATTTCATGAAATTTTAAGACAAACAAAAATGCTTGCCATATGAATAGTATGTCATATTGTAACAGGCACTGTCGTGTAAATTCTGGGTGCTTGTGGTTTCTTCTGAGGATTTTCAAAATAATAAATGTATACTATATATATATGTATATAGCACCACATATCATGTATTATATTTCTCTTTTAATTCAGAAAAAATTATTTGCACACAAGTTTAAATACCAAAATAATTAAAAATGTATAAGCTTCTTCATTTTTCTTCATTAATTAAGAAGAAAGAAAAATGGCTAGCCATCGTAGGGTGATCTTGGGTATCCAGCCAGAGAGAAGTGAAACCAAATTAGGAGCACAGGAGATGGCAGTTTTAGTGAGGGCATTTGACACTGTTAATCATAGATTCACCCTTTCTCTTATTTTAAAATTCTCAAATTGTGGCATCTATCCTAAAATTCAAAGTTCTTAACATATTTGGCATGCTTAAGGACTTGGGGACCATTAAAATTGGTATTTAATTACTATTTTACAGTGACACTGATCTCTATCTCTAAATGTTCAACGATATTTACATCCCATTTAATTTGCCTGGATGTTTACCTCTCTTCTTTCCTATGTGCATTGGACTTTTAAATTTGCTGAGTAGCTTAGAGTTAGTACATAACTCATCTCCACAGAGAGTGAATTGTTTGCAGTTTTAAAGGACACTATACCTAAAAATAATAGATAATTATTATTAGTTGTAAGGTCACCTCAACATCACTTTGTCTATAAAATCTTTTCCAATTCTTCCGCAGCTAACTGGCTGAAATTAATCATTTCTTTCTACGTGTTCTGGTACATTTTATGTAGAAAATGCCCAATAAATATTTATTGACTTTGAATTTATTTGAATTGTTACAAAACAATGTAATGGTAACATATTGTTACCAATGATTTTCATATTTTTATGTAGTTATGTTTAGCATACAAAGGATTCCTGGCAAATTATATTGGTCTAAAATTCCAGTACCAAGACAATAGCAAGATTACTAGAAACACCGATATACAATTTACATACGACTTTGCTCATGGAAACAAGTAAGTTATGCTATGAATTTGAAAATTAAGTTATACCATGGTATATACACTACAAAGATAAGACAAATCCATTTCTTGGGGTTTTACGTTTTTGTTTTGGTCTGTTTGGGGAGATGATGGCAAATCACACGCACAATGGATGTAACTGCAGTTTTCCTATTCTACACATGAACATCCAACAGAAATAGTCGTGTTTTAAAGAAATCTATAGATTATGAAAATAACAACTGGTCATGTTATAATCACCCATAACCATAAAAAGACAAAACAATGGTAAACTTTAGAATTTAAATTATATATTACTAAATCTAACAATGTCCCTAGTTGTTGCTGGAAGGTAGAGACAGACTTATCACAATATAGTCGTTACAGTTTGATCACTGAAAAAAAAGGGAATAGAGATATTTTGAAATAATGCTTGCTATACCAAAAATTAGACACATAGAAATGCAAATAGAGAAACATAAAGGAAGAAACAAAATGAACCTAGAGAAAGCTATTTAATGACTACAGCTGTCATGCCCTTAAACACAATTTAGTTCTATATAATTATTTTTGGGGTTTTATTAATTTTTATATCTTCTGAAATTTATGTCAGTTGTGACTGCATTTTCATACATGGTACATGTAAAAATTTCATTTACAATAGAAGTAATAATGAAGACATACACAGAAACACACATCTTTCTATTTTATAAAGTACTCCCCATAAATTGTTGTTGTTTATTAAAGTATAATGTACATAAAGTAAAATTCACTCTTTTTAAATGCACAATTTAGTGAGTTTTAACACGTGTATATGGCCATGTAACCATTACTCCACTGAAGACATAGAACATTTCCTCTCTACAATTTTTGAAGTTTATTTTCATATAAAATTTATCTCATAAAAATAACCATAATAGGATCTCCATATCTTGAAAAGATTTCTTTTTTTATTTGCTTTTTTTCTGTTATAGCTACATCACAATCTTTATTTTATATGGGTCTATATAGAGTTTATATGATACTTTAATACATGTCATGTAAGTTTCCATCATTTTATAAGATATGGAGAACATTATTCTATTATAATAAGATACGAAGAGCACTATTTTTCTTCCCATCATAGAATAGAACTCTGTAACTCAGAACTGCCATGTGTGGAACAAGTGTGAGGGAGAACCAGCGTCTCCTCATGACACCCAGACAGAGGGAGTGAGAAAATCATCCAAAGTTGGAAATAGAACCAAATGTTTACCATAAATAAGACAAAGACAATAAATAAAAACAGGCAAGATGTTAATGGAGAGTGGAGTAGTTAGATGGGAAGAAACAGCAGTCTTGATGGGGGAATGTTTCTTGATGCAAAAGCTGCTCTTCAAATCTGCAATTTCAATTGTCCTGTTTTCTACATAATCCTAACACTATTTTTTTTTTTGAGGCAGGGTCTGGTTCTGTCACCCTGGCTGGAGTACTGTGGGACCATCACAAATCATTGCAGCCTTCATCTTCTGGGCTCAAGTGATCCTCCCACACCAGCCTCCCTCTCAAGTAGCTGGGACTATAGGTGTGCACCACCACACCCAGCTACTTTTTTGTTTTTGTAGAGAGTGGATCTTGCCATGTTGCCACAGCTGGTCTTGAACTCCTAGGCTCAAGCAATCTTCCTGCCTAGGCCTCCCAAAGTGCTGGGATTACAGGCATGAGACACTATGCCTGGCCCCCAACACTATTTTCAAAATGCATCAGCCAGTTCCCAATTCATAACTTTAGAAATTCATATACTCTAAAAATTGCTGACATATGTTGGACTGGAAGGGAAACCTTGTTTGTTAAAGGTTTTAAAAACTATATCTTAGAGGATAAGATGTGTAAAGTGGGAGACAGCCAGGGCGAAGACCTGGAGGTGCTCCAGCAAAGCTAGGTCCCCAGACTCTATCAGGAGGAAATCAGTTGTGTTCACTGGGACAGTGGCAGAAAGGTGGCAAAAGATGGGACCAGGCAGGTGGGTGGGAGCATATCAGAGTTATCCTTCCTGTGGAACTGGAATGACCTTATGTTAAAAAAAAAAAAAAAGGAGGGGGCTGGGCAACATGGCAAAACCCCATCTCTACAAAAAATACAAAAATTAGCTGTACGTGGTGGTGCACACCTGTGGTCCCAGGTACTCAGGAGGCTGCAGTGGAGGATTGCTTGAGTCTGGGAGATCCAGGCTGCAGTGAGCCAAGATTGTGCCACTGCCCTCCAGTCTGGGTGACAGAATGAGACCTTGTCTTGAAAAAAAAAAGAAAAAAAGTGTGTGTGTGTGTGTGTGTGTGTGTGTGTGTGTGTAGGAAGTCATAGTCTTTCGTTTTTAATATAAAACATCAGCATCATATTTGAAGTATGTATCTCTGGCATCATATCCTGAGCATATGGACCTAATTCCCTTCAGATACTCTGGTCAATCAATGGATAAAGTGATGGCATCTGTAGACCAAGCTTAACTACAGGTGTCGGTATCTCTTTAGTCATGAGGTAGGAATCTATAGTCCAACAGGTGTTTGTCAGAGGGAAAAACTTTAATAAGGGCATTAAGCTTTTCAAAGAATTCTTCAGGAAACACAAAAGCCCTGCTTCATATATTCCTTAGGTTCTTGAAATAAGCATTAATAAGATAATGATTGATGTCTTGTCCCGAGTATAATATCTACACATGTTTCCATAGAATGTAAAGAAAGAAAAATTCTTGTTTACACAAAGTTCATTAGATACTGAAGTTTGGTAGAACTTGAAGTGGACTTCAAAGAAGAGAGAGAGAATAATGCCTTAAATCTATACATGCTATGCATGATGTTTGCACAGAACCATATGATTTTAATAATAATTAACAATATTAATTTTAACAATATTAATTCTTCCAATCCATGAACACTGGATATATTTTCATTGATCTGTGTTGAGAGAGATACATTAGTATTGAAAACAAATATATGCCTTTGAGGCCATTACATAGTTCAATCCAATGTATAAAATTGGACTGAAGCTAGCTCCTGGAATGAATGAAATCAGTTGGGAGAATTCTGCCCTTCCACAGAGGAATTATTGACTCAGAAGAGGGCATCCTTTGTTGGCAGTAACATAGGCAGATGCAATGCCAGGAGTTGAGCCAGCCCTGCCTCTGTTAGGTGGCAAGGAGCGTGAAAAGTCCATAAACAGAATGATTATATACCACTGTTTCATGCCCAATTTGCTATAGTCCATCTTTATGAAGCAGAAATCCTTCTCAAAGGGACATCTGAAGGTACATTTTGCTACAATGGGAAGGAGTGTTTGAATTGAACAGTGAAATCGCAATTTTACTTTTGATGCCCATTGCCCTTATGCTATGCACTCCTCCACTGCCTCAGGATTTTGGAACATTTTATGAATCCTTGTTCTTCTGTATCAATCAAGTCATCACTTACCATATCATTAAATAGGTCTCTCCTTTTAGCTTATAATTTGGGACGGCTGAGGGGAGGTGGGGATGGTTAATAGGTACCAAAAAATAGCTAGAAAGAACGAATAAGACCTAGTATTTGATAGCACAACAGGGTGACTAAAGTCAATAATAATATAATAGTACATTTAAAAACAACTAGAAGTATAATTTGATTGTTTATGACACAAAGGATAAAGGTTCGAGGGGATAGATACCCCATTTTACATGATGTGATTATTATGCATTGTATGGCTGTATCAGAACATCTCATGTACCCCACAAATATATACACCTACTATGTATCCACAAAAAATAAGATTTTTTTTAAATTAAAAAACTGATCTGCTAGGCAGTAATTTCAAGATGCATTACATTTGATGGAGTTCATGGATTTTCTTTACCCTAAATGTTACAAGACCTTTAAACAAGAATATCATGATAGTTAAAAATAACCGGATTCCCTTGATCAAACTATTACCAGTTGAGACAAAATAAATTTATCTGCTTCTAACAGGTCTTTCTTCCTTTCTTTCTTTCTTTCTTTCTTTCTTTCTTTCTTTCTTTCTTTCTTTCTTTCTTTCTTTCTTTCTTTCTTTCTTTTTTTGTTTTTGAAACAGAGTCTTACTCTGTTGCCAAGGTTGGAGTGCAGTGGTGTGATCTTGGCTCACTGCAACCTCCACCTTCCAGGTTCAAGCAATTCTCCTGCCTCAACCTCCTGAGTAGCTGGGATTACAGGCGTGTGCTACCACACCCAGCTAATTTTTTGTATTTTTAGTTAGAGACAGGGTTTCACCATGTTGGTCTCGAACTCCTGACCTCATGATCCACCCAGCTTGGCCTCCCAAAGGGCTAGGATTACAGGCGTGAGCCACTACCCCCAGCCTCTAACAAATATTTCTAGATCTGCTTTAATATAGGTCAGACAGTCCACCTGGATCAAGTAGATGTATTAGTATTTGTTGTTTTCAGTACACTGTTGGTGTTAAAAGTGCCATTTCCCACCTCCCAAAATTGTTCTACAACCTTCCAAAAAGTGATTTGTTGTAAATGAAGTTTTAAAATCTAAAAACAGTCTGCCTTTCTCTTCAAAAAAATGGAATTATCTAATCACAAAGGCACAGTGTGCAGTTCAGTTTTGATATCATTTGCAGTCTCCTTTTCCCTTATAAAAGGTCCTGTTCAGTATGCCAAATTTTCTAAGTTGTGGTTTTAAAAATTTTAGAGTTGTATAGTTAGTTGTACAATTCTACTTTGAGACCCTAAATACTTTTTTAATTTAAAGAGCACTTTAACTTAATGTCATCTGCATACAACTTTCTAAAACTGATATGTGTAGTCTAATCTTTGATGAGCTAGAGGTGGATCCCATGATGAGTTTATGAACCCTGAAGAAAATGGGACTATAAGGTGCCCAAACAAACTAGTCAGTAACAACTACAGTGGTAGCTGATGAAAGATTATTGTTAAACTATATTTAATTATTTGAATGGAAATATTTATATCCGTGTTACAGACTCTTATAGCTTTAATGCTTAACTGTAATTTATGAGATTCCAATGCAGTTACGATTTAATGAACAATCTGAATCTGAGTTTTACATTTAAAAGATACTGTGCAACCATTTATATCTACAAATAACACCCGTCTAGCACTTAGAACAATGAACAGTGCTACTCCAGGGAACTTTCCTGGAAGTGTTATCAAGTTCCAGTTTTGCTTCTTAGCAGTGGACTGAACTTACTGTTCTATGCCTGGTATTGTTCACTAAAATTGTTGACTCCATTCTTGTGTCTTGTTTTGTCAATGTGCTCTACACCAATGCCTGTGCTTCTTAGTTTCCTTACTTGTTGTTACACAATGTTATTTTACATCCTATGGCTACTGACAAGGCTACAAATAAAAGAAAGCCTATATTTGTATACAATGCTCAATCTTTTACCGCCACTGTAAGTTTCTGCCTGCTGTGCCTTGTTATGGCTGCTTGTCTGCGTTAATAAAGCTCCCTTGATGGTCTTCTTGTGGGAAAAAAGATATTTTACTCTATAAAATTTTAATGCTTTTTAAAGTATATTTGCTTAAACATTACCGCTGATCTATACAACAAATTAATCAACCATATTTCAGCTGGACTTACACTTGCATAGACATTCTGGATCTCATAAGAACAAAGTACACTGGGACAAATGTTTCTCTTCAAAGGATTAGTTTACAGAAAGCATCAGAATCACAATCCTTCTATGTGGATGTAGTGTACATTGGACAAACAGCTACAATCTCAACATTGGATGGTATGTTGTATCATTTTATCTCTACCGTAATCTAAATATAGTAAAATCTTACCAAGGAAATTAATTTTATATTCTGTAGTATGGATAGAAACATTAATCCCTAAATATTAATGAGTCATTCTTTTATCTCAATAATATTATGATTTTATTTTGTAATGAATAGTGCAAGGTGGTTATTCCAAGGATAAACGAATCCTTAATGAAAACTTTCTCACAATAGCAAGAATTTGCTTTCTAGTCCAGGATTTTGTTTATGGATAAATATACTATGTCAAACATTTTCATTTTGCTTTGTTTTATTTTTGAGAAACCAACTACCACGAGAGAGATCTATTCCCAAAATGCAACTATTGAGATTGACATCTGTCTACTAAGATTGACTTGAAACTTTCCATAGACTTAAGAGTGATAATTAATAATACTACAAATGAAACCTTCATTTCAATGGTGTTAGCATTGTGTTTCTAGTCATGTTAATAGACGTGACATTTGTTAGATGCAATAATAATAAAAATTAAACTCTACCATCTTTTAAAAAATTAACCTAACTCCAGTCACCTTAAAAGTGACTTTCCCATTTTTGAGAGGAACATTAGAATCCTTTTCTTTGGAATTTCTTTCAAGTGCAAGGCGGTGAGTTAACTGATTTTTTTTAAAAAATGTAAATGCTACTACTTTATTGTCACTCCTTTTGAATCTGCTGTCACCAGACCTACATTATGATTGGTAGAAAATGTATAAGACAGATGGATTGTGCTGGGATAAATGTTGTCGTTCATTAAACAATATTCACTTAGCACCTACTATGTGTCAGGTATTGTATCAAGTACTAAAAAACAGCAATGAAGAAGACAGTCCTTGTCCTGCTCTCATGAAGCACACATCCTAGTGAGCACCACCTAGAACAGAACAAAGCTAGCTACCCAAAGAAGGCTGGAGGAAACCCAGGGATTGGTCGCTTTTAAATGTTTGGTTTTTATTTGATAGGGTTCATATGTCAAAACACATAAACTTTACAATATAAAACTGAAAGTTCAGAAAGCTTCACAAACTACTTGCCTTCAGGTCTTCTTTCTAATATTTGATTTTAAATACTTTATGTCATGACAATGTTGTTATTATTTGATGACTTTATTTTTAGCAACAGAAGCAATACAATTTTATCTCCTCCCTATTAGGTTGACTTTTAAATGGCAAAAACCACAATTACATTTACACCAACCTAATATTTTTATTTATATTCTTTAGAAATGCCCAAGAGAAGACTTCCTGCATTAGCAAATAAAGGAATATTCTTAGAGCACTTTCAGGTGAATCGGACCAAAACAAATGGGCCAACTATGACAATCCAATATTCTGTCACCATGACTTCATACAACTGCAGTTACAATATACCCATGATGGCTGTGAGCTTTGGGCAGGTAAGCCTAGAATTTTGCATTACTTTTTATGTAGTGAATTTTATTTTTAATTTTTTTAAATAGCCAACATACAGATGGAATATCTTTTAATAGGAAAAGACAACTAACTATTCTAAGGTTATATGAAGATTTGGAACATGAAGATTGACTTTAAGTATTAAAAAAATTCTTTAAGAAATATGTCAATGGAAAGGAAAACAGGAAAAAATATCCTTAAAAAACAAAGTCAGATTTAAGTAGAGTTTTCTCTGTGGACTTAAAAGAAGAAGTTATGGTCTCTACCAATAAAGTTCCTTAAACAGATATTATTGAAAGGAAATATTGAGATTCTGCATTATGCTTTTAAATTGTTTTCTGTTATAAACACCATTTATTTTTGCTTGTATGAAAATTTATACAAGGGAAGAAAGAAGTGGTTTTTCATAATTCCAGAAGGACCTGAACAATTTTTTACATTTATAATAAATAATATTAAATATTACAATATGAAAAATTTAAAACTTTAATTTCTATAAAAATATTCAATGAGTTAATATAATTTCCTACCACAAACCAAAAACAAGTATAAGCTCAAGATTAAAGATTAAATAATCATTAACCATTGTAATTGGATTACAGCCTTGCAGAAAACTTTTTGCAAAGTAAACAATTTTATGATTAAAATCACTGAAAAATTATAAAAACTCCAAAACAGTTGCCTTTATCCCATCCTGGACCAATGATTTACTCTTAATATCTTCAAGATTAGCATCTAAGCTTTCCAGTGCTTTACTCTTAGCTCTATTAGAAAATATAATAACTAATTTAGGGCTTTGTAGTCTCAAAGCATCTGTGTCAAAATTCTCCCATTTTTCAAGATTTCTCAGTAAACTAATTGGTAATTGTAACCTCTATCTTTAAGTATTTATCAAAGGTTACATTGAAGAATAAGGGACTTAGATTTTTGTGGCCTTTTAAGAAAATTCAAGTGACAGGTACATATAATAATATGTACATATGTTAAATGTATAGATCAATAAATTGTTTTAAGAACTTTAACTTTGACATACTTGTAGATTCACATGCACTTGTAAGAATTAACATAGAACTATTTTTAATATCCTTTACCAATTTTACCCCAATGATAACTTTTTGTATAATATAGCACAATATCATAACCAGGAAATTGACCTGATAAAATCCACTGACCTTATTCAGATTTTTCCAGGATTGTGTGTGTGTGTGTGTGTGTGTGTGTGTGTGTGTGTTTGTTTAGTTCTTATACAATTTTATCACAGGTGTAGATTCATCTGACCACCACCGGAACAGTTCTATTATGAGCATCTCTTGTGCTACCTTTTTGTAGCCATGCTGTCACAGCCACCTCCCTCATTCCCTTCCTCCTGCACTCACTTATATATGGTAACTACAAATTCATTCTCTCAATAATTTTGTCATTTCAAGAATGCTACAAAAATGAAATCAGATGTCATATAATCAGATGTCATACAAATATATAGCTTTTGGATACTGGCTTTTTTTTACTCAGCATAATTCCCTTGAGATCATTCAAATTGTGTTTATTAATTTATTCATTTTGATTGCTGAGTGTATTTACTGTTATGGATGTACCAGTTTGTTTACTCACCCGTTGAAGGCCATTTGAGTTGTTTCTTGGTTTTGGCTATTATGAATTAAACTGCTATGAATATTCATCTATAGGCTTTTGTGAGACATAAGTTTCCATTTTTTTCTGGGTTAAATTCCCAACAGTGCAATTATAGGGTTGTATGATAAGAATATGCATAGTTTCTAAAGAAACTACCATACTTTTTTATGAAGTGGTTGTACCATTTTAGATTCCCACCAGCAGTGTATGATCTAGTTTCTGCAGAATCTTGCCAGTGTTTGGTGATGTCACTATTTTTAATTTTAGGCATTCTGGTAGGGTGTGTAGTGATGGCTCATTTTCATTTTAATTAATATTCCCTAATGACTAATGATGTTGAACATCTTTTTATGAACTTATTTGCCACATACATATCTTCTACTGTGAAATGTCTAGGTGTAATTCTTTTGTCAGATATGTGGTTTGCAAATATTTTCTCCCAGACTGTACCTCGCCTTTTCATCTTCTTCATAAGGTCTTTGACAGAACAAAGTTTGAAAAGTTTTATGAGGCCAAATTTCTCATTTGTTTTTTCTTTTTTGAATGGTACTTTTGGTTTCAAGTCTAAGAACTTACTTAGCTCTAGGTCCTGAGGATTTTTCTATTTTTGTCTAAAAATTCTACAGGTTTACATTTTATATTTAAGGGCATGATCCATTTTATGTTAATTTTTATTTATAAGATGTGATTTTTGGTTGAAGTTCATTTGTTTGCCTATGCCTTCAATTGTTTCAGCACCGTTTATGGAAAAGGAGATCTTTCTTCCATTTAATTACATTGGAACCTTTGTCAAAAATCACATTTGTGTGGGTGTATTTCCGAGTTTTCTATTCTTTCCATTGGTCTATGTGTCAGTCCTTCCACCAACACCATGCATTCTTGACTATTGTATCTGAATAGTTAGGCTTAACATTGAGTAGTGTGATTCTTCTCACTTTATTTTTCTTGGGCAAAATTGTTTTAGCTATTCTAGGTCCTGTGCCTTCCCATATACATTTTAAAATAAGATTATTTATGTCTACAAAAAAACCTTGCTGGTATTTTGACAATAATTACATTAAATCTATAGACTGTTTTGGAAAGAATTGACACCATTGTGATATCGAGTTTTCCAATCCATGAACACAGTATGTCTCTCCATTTATTTGTCTTCTTTGTGCTTCACTAGCATATTTAGGTCTTCATTTATTGCATTTATCAGCATTTTGCAATTTTCAGTTCAGGTCTAGTACATATTTTGTGAGATTTATATATGTGTTTCATTTTCTTCAAGCAGTTGTAAATGGTCTTGTGTTTTTAAATTCGATTTCCATATGCTCATTATTTGTGTATAGAAATGTAATTGATTTTTGTGTGTTTATCTTGTATCTTATAACCTTGCTGAATTCAACACATTTTTACAAAGTAGATACACTCATGTAATCACACCCAGATCAAGATAATCATTAGCTCCCCAAGTACATTCCTTGAACCTGTCTTCTTTCTTAAACTCACTCCTCATCCCAATAACCACTCTTTTGACATCTACTACCATTAATTATTTTCGATTGTTCTTAAACTTCATATCAATAGAATCATACAGTGTGTACTGCTTTGAATCCAGCTTCTTTCATTTAATTTTGTGAGATTCACATTGCATATACTGTAGTTTCATTCTCTTTGGTTGCTGTACATTTTTCCATAGTATAAGTATACCATAATTTATCCATTCTATTGAACAACTTTTGCATTATTTCCAGCTTGGGGCTATTATGAATATAGCTGCTAGGAACATTCTTGCTTATATCTTTTAGCACTAATGTTTATTCATTCTTTGTGCTAGAAGGCTTATCATTTTAAATTTTACAGTAGTAACAGATAACTATAAGGGATCAAAAACAGGGGAATATAATTTTCACTATTAGGGTTACAATCTGTGAATTTCTATAGCATGTGCTGCTTTTGTCAATTGGTAAGCACTGAACGTTACGCAAGTATTTTTGTTAGCCTGGGTCAGCCACTGTATAGATCATAAACTTTCTTAAATTGTTGGTTAACTTTTCAAGACTCCATGTAGTATTTTTTGAAAAATTGTTTTAGTTTTTTTTTTTTAACTTAGTATTTTCTCTTTATTTTGTCATAAAATATTATAGTATATCAATGTCTTCTAAATAAATATGTTTATTCTTGGTTATACATATATATCCTTTTAGTCTTCAAGTAATTTGGAAAAGTCTCTTGTTTGGCATATTTTTCTTCCATCCAAATAACTTTGTATGTCCCATTCTTTATTTACTAATATTTCCCAATGATTTCTAAATGCTATTTCCTTTTTTTTTTATTTAAAAGAGTTATTGTTTATTGACACTTAGGTAACAAACTTGCACGTTATGCACATGTACCCTAGAACTTAAAGTATAATAATAAATAAATTTAAAAAAAAAACCACTATCCATGTAGAAAACGGCATGTGGTTAAGTGTTTTAGTTTTTTAATAGCCAAGACCACATCTCATGCTCCTTTGCCTCTCTGCCGTGATTAGCACTGTACCTTGAACAGAGTGCCTGCTCAATAAATATTTGTTCCTTGAGTGATGGGGGGTGCATTCTGAATTAATGAGGTATTGCTGCAGTTCCAGCTGATTGCTGCAGAGATGACTGAGTTGACTTTGGCCTCATTATTGCAGCTGTATAGGTATGGCCTGTGTTGATTTATGTGACACTCCTTAATGTTCTGAAGAATCCTGAATACATGAGGCTCATTTATGTCATGTCACAGGATTGTACCATGATTAAATAGAAATCATGTAAGCCATTGTTAAGTTTAATCATTTTATCAATATTTATTTTGGAAATTAGATAATCACACATGAGACAGAGAACGAGTTTGTCTACAGAGGAAATAATTGGCCAGGCGAGTCAAAAATTCATATTCAAAGAATTCAAGCTGCATCTCCACCTCTAAGTGGCAGCTTTGACATTCAAGCTTATGGACATATTCTCAAAGGTATATGAAAAAAGTTTAAAATATTGGTGTATACACACACATATATGTATAATGTTATAAAGTGTTAAATGTTGTTTCACTTGAGAATTACTACTTATTGATATGTGCAAATACATTAATTATTTATTTGAGACATAAGTAAATATGTGATATATTAAAGTCACACACGCATATATATTAATATATGCCATATAAGGCTCAATTAATAGCCAATCACAATGTTGTTTCAAATCCTTCTTTTTAATAGATTAGGAAATATTCACCCATCCAAAACTAACATCATTTAGTTTGATTGTTTTCATTTACAAATAATATTTTTAAAAGTCTGCAAAAATTTATAACAATTTTTATAGCCGTTTTTTAAAGGCAGTTGAAATTATCACTTTCATAAGTCAAAACTTTCTCTAATACATGCATTTAAAAAATAAGCATTCATTACTTACTGTGATAGCCACAAACAATAACAATAATATGAAAATATAAAAATTGAGAATTGGAATATGATTTTAAAAGACATCTATAATTTAATTATCTAAGTCTGTACTAATCAGTATGATAGCCATGAGTCATATGTGGCTACTGAGCACTTAAAATGTGACTAGTGTCACATGTCAAAATATAACATTTGAATATAAGAGATTATATGCAATTTATACTATCAAAATATTTTACCTGGTTTTGTTTTCTTTCTAAAATATAGCTACCAGAAAATATACAATTATATATGTGGTTCACATTATTCATCAGCTGGACAGGGCTAACTAGACAACTATAATAAACATTTTGGCATACTCCTTTTTAGTAGTATTTCTCTTATAATTTACATAATTGAGAGTATGTCAGTAACATGAAGCTAAACTATTCAGGGCAAATGACATTTTTATGTTTTCGTCACTGCTTTATCCATTATACCAGTGACATTCTCAAATGTTTGTTTCTCTTTTATATTCATGACTTACAGGTTATCCGTATTTTCAAAGACATACAAATTAATATTGTTATTAATTTAATCAAAATCGATTTTTATATTAAAAGATCATTTTAACACTCAACATCCTCTGACATTAAAATGATTTTATTTTTAATATCAAAATGAATTGATATGAAAACATCAACTGATATTTGATATTTGTGAATTGATATTAAAAATATTCAATCCAAGGCCAGAGTTTGAGGTACATTACTCCTGTAATTTTTAAAAATAATTGTCTATTATTATTTTGAAATGGATAAAATTGTATATATTTTATTTCCAGGAAATATATAAATTCTTGGCATAAGTAGAATGCAAATTTTATTTTTACTATATTGGAAGGGGACATAGAGTCTACAAGTGCTAATACATAGTACACATTTCATGTACTTTAAAGATGAAATTGGTTTGTGAATTTATTTTATTTTATTACTATTATTTTTTTGAGATGGAGTCTCACTGTTACCAAGGCTGGAGTGCAGTGGCATGATCCTGGACACTACAACCTCCGCTTCCTGGGTTCAAGGGATTCTCCTGCCTCAGCCTCCCGAGTAGCTGGGATTATAGGCACGCACCACCATGCCCAGTTAATTTTTGTATTTTCAGTAAAGACGAGGTTTTACCATGTTGGCCAGGCTGGTCTCAAACTCCTGACCTCAGGTGACCTGCCTGCCTCGACCTCCCAAATTGCTGAGATTACAGGCGTGAGCCACCACATCTGGCCTATTTGTGAATTGTGACTTCTGCTGTTTGCCACCCCTCTGTGAGTGCAGGCCTTCCCGCTGCTGTGTCAGCTGCAGATCTGCAGTTTGTGCTCCAGAGTCTGGAGGGATTGAGAAGAGTCTCAGTTACACGCGAGGGAACCTGTGCTGGCTACGCATGGAACATCAAGTGGAGAAGCACCTGTGGAAAGCAGAATCTTCTACAGGTTCCCTCATTTAGCCTGGCTTCTTTTTTCTTCTATGTGCTGTTTGCTTATTTGGACCCTGTTTTATTCCAAAAAGAACTGGAGGCTATGTATATTATAAAAATGCAAACCATAAACTAAAATTTCTTTAAAAGGAAATTAAGGAGAAGGTTTTTTTCTAAATTAAGTTGACCCAGTGTTATCTTTCATGGAGAATGGCTGTTGGTACTTTACTCCATATCCCATTTAGAAAAAAGTCCAGGAATGTGTGTGTTAGAATCCCCTTGACAGTGGCAGGTGGCGCACAGTCAGGGCCGGTCTCAGAACTAAACCAAACTGAATCCAGATGTATGCTAAGGGGGTCCCAGAGAGAATCAGCCTCGCTATCATTCTACCACGAGAGTTGTATTTTGGGGCCTTGGATACTTCTGTGGTTATAAAGATGATCTTTCCAAGTTCATAAAGGAGTAACGCCTTAGGCTGTCATCTAATTACCTTTCTTTAGTTAGAGGGAGGAAGAGAATGGGGGAAAGGAGTCAGGCCCAGAGTATGTGAAGGAGAGGAGTCTAGGGACTCAGATTGTCAAACACTAAAAAGGTGATGCTTTCAGCCAAGCACAGTGGCTCATGCCTGTAATCCCAGCATTTTGGGAGGCTGAGGCAGGTGGATCACAGGAGTTTGAGATGAGCCTGACCAACATGGTAAAATCCTGTTTCTACTAAAAATACAAAATTAGCTGGATGTGGCAGTACACGCCTGTAATCTCAGCAGCTTGGGAGGCTGAGGCAGGAGAATCGCTTGAACCCGGGAAGCGGAGATTGCAGTGAGCCGAGATTGTGCCACTGCCATTGCACTCCAGCCTGGGCAACAAGAGCAAAACTCAGTCTCAAAAAAAAAAAAATGCTTTCTAGTGATGATGAGAATGCAAGGAAATAGTTTCTTCTATGCAATGTTGGTGAGAACGAAAATAAGGACAACCTTTTGTGAAGATAACTTAGTAGTATCTTAATACAGACCTTCTGATTCATCACTATCACTTATATAACTCTATCCTACTGAAATAATAAGATAAATGTGAAATGATATAGGTGCAAAGGTAGTCACTGAAGCACTATTTGTAAAAGTAAAAACCTAGAAACCTAAATCCCCATCAATAGCAGAAAGATTGTTTAAATGATGTAACTTTCACATTGAACACTATGCAGCCATGTGTAGATCCACATATATTCACCTGGAAAGAAATTCATGACATAAAGTGGAAAAAATGCAGAACTCTACTTATGAAATCATTTGGGGAAGGAGAGGAAGTGGAGAAGATAAGGCAGTGGGGGCAAAAACAACTGTGTAAACATAGAAAACAAGTCTGTATGGTTGTGCAAAATAGTAATAGTTATAAGAATGTGAGGGTTATTTTAGAAAAATCCATGGCTGGGAACTGAGAGTAGAAAATTCCACAATGAAGATAGGTCGAGTGACTGACCGCCCTTGGTGTCTCTGCTGGTGTCTGTGCATCTACTCTCTTCCATCTTTTCTGATCAGTCTCTTCTGCTTATTCATTATTTCTGTTCCATATCATTTGGCTCACACATGGCCCAGCATGGAGACTCCTATCTCTTTGCTAGTCCCTGAATACATCAGAAGGTTGCCAAATTTGCAGAGGAATTTTGTGAAGAACAAATTGTATATACTGATTTTACTTGGCTTTATTTTTACCATTGGAAGAACAAATAATTCCAAAACTGGGTGAAAAACCAGGGTAAAGGTAAAAAAATGATACAAGGAAAAGTTGACTCTCGGATAGAAAGATGACTCAGTTTTTCAATTATTTAACAATAATTTATCAGTTATCATATTCAGAAAAAGCATAGGACATTTTGAGAAAATCAAGTTTAGTAGATTCATTTTCTTTAGATTTATTTTTAATTATAAAAATTCAAGTTAGGAGCTGTAAAACATGAACGGAAGACCGGTTTATTTGGTCGCTGAGGAAGAGATCAGTCTTACCAGAGGACCCTCAGGGCTGGGCTTCAACATCGTAGGTGGGACAGATCAGCAGTATGTCTCCAACGACAGTGGCATCTACGTCAGCCACATCAAAGAAAATGGGGCTGCGGCCCTGGATGGGCGGCTCCAGGAGCGTGATAAGATCCTTTCAATAAATGGCCAAGACCTAAAGAACCTGCTGCACCAGAATGCTGTAGACCTCTTTCGTAATGCAGGTTATGCTGTGTCTCTGAGAGTGCAGCATAGGTTACAGGTGCAGAATGGACCTATAGGTGAAGAAGACCCAAGTGGTATTCCCATATTTATGGTGCTGGTGCCAGTGTTTGCCCTCACCATGGTAGCAGCCTGGGTTTTCATGAGATACCGGCAACAACTTTGAAAAACTTGCTCTCTTTCAGTACTCCCAATGAAGATACATTTCACTCACCCTCCATCCCTGCTATTCTGCCGTGTCTTTCACTCTCTGCATAGCCAGATTTAAAGTGACTGATACCCACCACAAACCTTGCTGTTCAGAATCTCCAATTCTTCGTATTCTAATGGGAAAGTAAAGGTATTGTTTGAAGGAAAACTGAAGAAAAGACTTGCTTAGAACAAATGAGTTATATATTTTACTAGGACTTTTGATAGAAATTCAGCTACAACCCAAAGAGAGAAAGATTGAATCTTCATGTCACCATAGGCAATATCATTTTTCTTAGCTGGCATGCCATAAAGACCAGCTGTGTGACATTAGAGGAAGAAAGGATTTTTCTTTTTAATGATCTTCCTTGGGAAATTATTGTGGCCTTTATTTAATTTCTAATTACATACCTGGGTGCCTATATGAGACAAAGGAGAGTGAGAAGAGCATTTTTACTTTTTTAAAAAAGCAAATACATATATACACATACATATGTAAATATTATAGTATAATAGTGATACCTATGGAGAATTAAAGGTGAGAAAGCTAAAAAAAAAATTCAAGTTAATTTTAGTTTTAATTCAAGTTGTAATTGATGCAATGTATGATAATGCAATGGTCTTAATTTTTTTTCTTGTATAGGTTATGTTCATTTTTAAAGAGTCTTCTTTAAAAAAAAGTGACTACAATGGTTTTGAATTTTATTTTACATCCTTTGACTTTTATTCACCTTTGCCTATGCTGAAATTAAAAATGAAAAACTAGTGTGGTCATATTTGTTACAACCTTTCTAATAAAATAATTGTGTGTAAAAATAGATTAATGATTCCAACATTATTGGAGAAAAGGCTAATATGACAGTCACAAGGATAAAGGAAGGTGGCTTATTCAGACGACACATACTTGGAGACCTACTTCGTACACCCAGTCAACAGCCACAGGTATTTTTGAAACTTTTCTCATGACGCGTGATGTAATTTTAACAGTATAACTAGTTTATAATATATTAAAGACCTGATAAAACAGGGGGATCGACTTCTGTATTTCATGAGAACATTTGTGTTTACATTGATCAACTTGATAATATTATTTTATGACTTTTGGGAAAATTATCTTCCTTATGATAAAATAGTAGATTTTTTAGCTCTACTATGCCAGAATTTGAAAATAGAGTCTTTCATTCAATCTTTACAGCAGTGCTGTAAAGATGAAGAAATTAAAGTGTAAAGAGATTAGGTGACTTTCCCAAGGGCAAGACTGAATGAAATATCAAAGTAGAAAAAATATAGACTAATTTCAGTAAACAAACAAGCAAATCAACAAAATTCCATCACTTTTGTTAAAAACCTATTCATATTCTACTGCTGCCTCTTTGCCTCTGTTCTCTGACTTCTTGTTTCTTTATTTGAAGGTTGAAGTCTATGTCAATGGAATTCCAGCTAAATGTTCAGGTGACTGTGGGTTTACATGGGATTCCGACATTACTCCCCTAGTCTTGGCAACAAGCCCTTCTCAAGGTAAGTTCCTGATTTTTAACCTATACTAGGGTGTGAAAGATAACCAGCAAAATGTAAACTCTGATAATGACTTCTAAAACTATGTTTATACTAGTGTCACTGTTATACTGTTAGCTAAAGCAAGCAAACAGTTCTACATTGTGAAAATTAAAAATCCTATTAGACAAAAAAGCTATGGAAAGGGCACTAATTATTTATTTTTGAAAAAAAAAACTATTTCTTTTGAAACTGAAATCTTGCCTTTGAAGTAGAGGATTTGCTAATCTTAAACTTCTCTAGTTTCACCAGTTAGACTCAGTCTTTAAAATTTCACTTGGAAACTGAGGCACTTTTGTTCAACTGTACTAGCTAGGGTATTAAGTGGAGTCTTTTATTCTATGAGACCACTTCCTCTAGGAGAGTTAGTATTAAAAGGCTAGTAACAAGACATCTGCTGTTTCGTGAAAGAATGTGATCGTGTCCTAGATTTGAGAATAAGAGATATAAAAATTATTGCCAGGAACTCAATCTAAGGAACACATTATACCATTTCTTCATAATATGTTATTGCCTCAAAAATGTGATTATGCTTTGTGTCTGAGCAACTAAGGGCTGAAATAAAACAGCAGGAATAAGGATAGTAAAGGATGGCTTTTTTTCAATCAGAACAATAAACTCAGATGCTATAGTTACATATTTAATCTTTATGGATAGTAGGAAAACTCACCAACTAATTTTATAGTGGTACCTCCCAAAAATTATTAAAATTTTAAAAATATTTCATTTTTATGTTGAAAGAATATGTTTTTCAGACTTTTTAAAATAGTGATGATACTAACTTTGGGATAATTCAGATTACATGGGGTTAAAACTCTCAAGAATAAGGATTTAATGAACTTTAATTTGGTTATAGTCCTTTGGTATACTTATGTTTATATCCACTCTTGCATTTTATAATGAATTCCCAATTTTTTTTTTTTTTTTTTTGAGGCTGAGTCTTGCTCTGTCACCAGGCTGGAGTGCAGTGGTGCGATCTTGCCTCGCTGCAACCTCCACCTTCCGGTTTCATGCGATTCTCCTGCTCAGCCTCCCTAGTAGCTGGGACTGCAGGTGCCCACTACCATGCCTGGATAATTTTTGTATTTTTAGTAGAGACAGAGTTTTACCACGTTGTCCAGGATGGTTGAATTCCCACTTTTACGTGTACTTCCTGAAAAATGATTTCTTACCCAATATAGGAATCTGAATTGCCTTATGCCACATTTGGATCATTTTTAAAATTGTGAAAATATAAGCATAAAGAAAACTACAAAAATACACATACTCTTCACTGAAAATTAACAGCTGTTAAAATTTTGTCATATTTACTTCCGATCAACAATTTAAGAAAGAAATATTATAGGAACAGCTAAATTTCTCTTTAAGCACCATCCCTAGACCTAGTCCCCTACATAATTCTTGAGGGGCAATCACAGTGATTAATTACTGTGTATGTATTCTTCCATGACACTTTAAATACCTTTTGTATATAGCACACACACATATATGGTCATTTTACCAGTTTCATAAGCTTACAAATGAAGTATTACAATGTAAATATTATTTTGCATATTTCTTTTGTCATTCAGAATTCATTTTGAGATATATTTATGTGGTTTTATGTACACCTAACCCATCACGTTAAAGTATTTCATGAGTGCACCAACTTACCTAGTTCCTCTATTGATGGACATTTAGATTGTTTACAAGTTTTCACTTTTACCAATAAGACTATACTGAACTTTCTTGTACAAACCTCCTATTGCATATGTGTTAAAGCTACTTTAGGATATATACCGAGACATAGTATTATTGGATAACAACTGGTTGGATGAGTATTCAGTTTACAAGATGACCAAATTGCTCTTCCAAGTGGCTATACTACCAGCAAATATAATAGCAACATTATCCTCTATATCTTTGCCAATATTGGAAGTGATCGACTTCTTAATTTTAACTATTCCAATGGGTAAAAGTTATCACTTTTAAAACGTTTATTCTATTCCTTTATTAGTAATGCACAATAGCATCTTCTCATATGTTTCTTGGACATTCAGATTATTTTTTCTGCAAAGTGTTTAGCATCGTTTTTCCCTTTTTTATTGAATTCTCTTTTAAAATTTACTTGTAACCATTTACTATATTTTATGTTTACCAATCCTTTGCCCATGGCTTCTCTCAGTATATTGCCTGTGCTTTGGTTTAGCTCTTGTTTATGAAAACATTTAAGTCACTTATTTATTCTAGTTTATTTATTTATTCCATTATGGTCAATCCCATGGCTTCATGTGTCATATTTAAGAAATCCATCTCTACCTCAAAGTCATCAAGATATTTGGTTATATTTACTTCTAAAAATTTGAGTTTTATTTTTTGTTCTTAGCTATTTAAATCTATGTAGAATCTATATTGTGCATGGTGTTACATAAGTAGGGTGATCATGTATGTATTACATATATGATTTGTTAAAGATAGATATGTAATGTCTATCTATCTAATCTATCTATAATTTGTTGATCAAACCTGGACACTTTTAAGAGGGAATGGAAAAATCTTAAGTTTGAGACGCTGGAACACAGGTGTAAACCAGAACTGTCCCAGGCATTTTGGGATGTATATCACCCTAAACAGAGGACAGAGGAATCTTATTTTCTTTTCAAATGGGAAGTGTCCATACCACTAATTGTGTGATTTATCCTTTCCTCATACATTTGCAATGGCAAGTCTGTCATATACTAAGTTACCATATAGAGATATCTACTTAATTTCTTTATTATGAGAATAATTTGTTTCTTTATCTTATGCCATATTTTCAGTCAGATAATTCTTTCCACTAGTCTCTGTCGACACACAGATTCAAAATATGAACATACGTAGAATAATTCAATGGAAATAATGGAAATAAAATACCATTGATAAATAAATGTGGATTTTTCTCCCTGCTTGCCTATTAGGCTTACTGTTTATATCTTTTGAAGATAGACTTATTTTTATCTGAGAAATGTCTGATTTCATAATAACAGATATTAATATTGTTATTTAAATTGATCATTTTTAGGGTCCTATGAAGAAGGCACAGTTCTAACCATAGTGGGTTCTGGATTTTCTCCTAGTTCAGCTATATCAGTCTCAGTTGGACCAGTAGGTTGTTCTCTTCTTTCTGTGGATGGTAGGTCCTTATAAAAACTGTTAAGTCTAATTGTTCTTATCTAAGATAAAGTGGAATCAAAGAGCAGTATTACAATTATTTGATCATGTACAATTATCATGATCCATTATTACAATTATCATGATCCCTATGGGGTTATGAAATTGGCAACCTGATCTATATAATGCCTCATCTTTTAAATCTTTGATTATGACCACAGACTATTTCACTGTTGTACAGTGTCTTTATCCTATAATAGTTTAATTTTATCCTTTTTTCCCCTTCATTTGGAGGTTACATGAAATCTTTTTTGCATCAGTGTGTCTCTGGGATGCAAAAATGTATGAAATGCTTCTCTAGTGTTCCATGGTCCTGTCTGCCCACGTTTTGACAATGCCATGCAGGAAGAGGACGTGGCCAAGCTGGTCTCAAACTCCTGACCTCACGTGATCCACCCGCTTCAGCCTTCTAAAGTGCTGGCATTACAGTCATGAGCCCCCGCACCTGCCCTTCATTTAGTTTTTGATCATCTTTCCTGATAAAACCTGGTATTTTGCACAATTTTGGACATAATATATCTGACCAAAAATTTTAGAATTATTAATATAAATGAGCTTAATAAACTAGCTTTTAAAAAAATTATGACAGTAGCCTGTTTTGGGTACAGTAGCATCGGAAATAGATTGTTTACTTTGCTTTCATTCTTGGTTTACCTATTTTCTAGGAGTGTCTGATTCATAGCCTCAGGTAGTTTGCAAGGATTATTCCTCTTAAGATTCCCCCACCCATTAATACATGATTCGTTTTCTTTGGATACACTTCTTGAGATCTAAAAATGAAGGCCAATGTTAGTATTTGCAAGCATAACTTTTATCTCATAAAACCATTTGATTTACCATTTTCTTCATCTTTTTCTTTTTTTCACAAGAAAAAGAGATCAAGTGCCAGATTCTGAATGGAAGTGCTGGACATGCCCCAGTTGCTGTGTCCATAGCTGATGTTGGACTAGCACAGAATGTAGGGGGTGAACAGTTCTACTTTGTTTATCAGAGTCAGATCTCACATATCTGGCCTGATTCTGGAAGCCTAGCAGGTAATGGTTAATGGTTTAAACAGAGAGAAAATTGCATGCATTTCCATCAGTTCAATGTGCTCTTTCTAGTACAGGGTGAAGGGAGAGGAGCCCAAAGCTTCCTCCTATAGAACAAAGGAGAGTCTCCTTTGAGAAGGCCCAGTGATTAAATGGCCGACTAAGTCTTTTGTTTCTTACAAAGCACAAGTCGGGGTGCTGCTTATACTTACATCTTAGGTTATTGAATTAATATCATCAATTATTACATGTTTCTATAACAAGCACATCAATTATGTCAAGATAAGATTTATTAGTTATTATTCTGCTTACCAGCTGCTTCATTTGTAACCACAGTCTCAGTGGAGCTCCTTGACCCAGAAAAAGTTCTGGGAACAAACTGGGGAAAGGAGGGCTAACACAGAGGATGGAAAGAACATAACACATTTTTCCTGTCCTGCTTCATTTCCTTTGTACGTTTGTTTTTTTACCAGGCATAGTTTACGGTTTTGTGCTTTGGTTTTGATCCTTTTGGTATGCTTTTATTTTACATTATTTCATCGCTTATTTTTAAAGTTTAGTTTTCCTTTTACTTAGAAATATTAAAATTTGAGATTTTAATTCACTCTCCTCTTAATTAAGAATTAAGGATTAAGAATTAAGAATCTTAATTCACTCTCCTCTTCCACCCACAGAATGGTTGAGTGAATAGAAGCAGCATAAATTTTTGTAGGATGAAGGCACTGTGAAAAATAGCAGATGCTGCTGCCAATGCCCCAAAGCAAATGTGTGTTGCAAATCTATGTTATTTCATTAAATCACTTAGCCCAGCTCCTTTATGGTTCCGAGCATCAGCACCCAGGCTCAGGTGTGTGGTGGTGATTGTGCTCATCTCAAGTCTGGTCCTTGATCTATTGGCCAGTCCATCTCTTGGATAATTAGACAATTCTCTAATGAGTTAGCTCTTATTAACATTTCTTTTTGTTATAGTTGAACTGGTTTTGTTGTTGTTTTTGTTTGCTTTTCTTATGAAGGTGGTACGCTACTGACTTTATCTGGATTTGGCTTTAATGAAAATTCAAAAGTATTAGTTGGAAATGAAACCTGTAATGTGATTGAAGGGGATTTGAATAGGATAACCTGCAGGACACCAAAAGTAAGACCTCTGGTTTCAGTCATTTTTTTCCTAAGTCTGAAATATTATAAATGAGGAGACATCTCAGTTTGGGGAGTGGAGTGGTGAAACCAGTGGTGTATTTACATAGAAACTGCAGGGTTTCTATTATGCTCCTTAAAACTTCTTTGTTCCACATCTTTCCACTAAGATTAAAAGACAAAATATTATCTCCACATTCAACGTACTTAAAATCATGAAGAAAAGGGACACATAAGCTAATATGAAACAATGTATTTCATTTGAATTAATAGAAGTAGTAACAAAGTAAACATAAAACACAGTGGAGAGAGGGTGTCAGAAACAGTTTCACAGGAAAGTTGATGTCTCATCAGAATTTGAGGATGAATGAGAGTTTACCACATAAATTTAAGGATGAAAAAAATTAGTAGTCTAAAGATTTCAGGAAAGTAAATCTAGAAATTAATAGTTTTCAAAAAATAATACTTTTTTTTTTTTTTTTTTTTTTTTTTTTGAGACAGAGTCTCGCTCTGTCACCAGGCTGTAGTGCAATGGCAGGATCTCGGCTCACTGCAACCTCCGCCTGCTGGGTTAGAGCGATTCTCCTGCCTCAGCCTCCCCAGTATCTGGGACTACAGGCACGCACCACCACGCCCAGCTAATTTTTGTATTTTTAGTAGAGATGGGGTTTCACCATATTGGCCAGGATGGTCTCGATCTCTTGACTTCGTGTTCCACCCCCTCCTCAGCCTCTCAAAGTGCTGGGATTACAGGTGTGAGCCACTGCTCCCAGCCAGGAATACACTTTTAAATGTGTTAAAGTTTTAGTTTAAATGTATTAAATTTTCAGTTTCATAAAAAAATTGAAGTTCTCTGTGGAATATTGTATCCTAGAATCAATCATTGTTCTTTATTTTTAAAGCATAGTTTTTAAATTTAAACTAAGACTCTGGTTTCCTTATTACATATCAAAATGTAATGAATACTGTCACTGACTTTTTAAAAAAATGTAGCAGAACAAATGGGGGTATTTTGTATTTGCAATCTGCGGGAAAAATAAATTTGTTTTTTGGACTAAATGATGGAGATGAGAATTGAGGGGATATGATAAACTAAAACTTACTTTGTTTACAATATGTCAGTCAGTTAAACACTGAGTGTGGATTAAATAAATACTAGATGTGAAAAAATGTTTTTCCTAATTGGGAATTGCATAGATGCTATATCTGCAAAAGCATCAAATAGTTTTCTTAGGGGGTCCAAGTGCTTAGTCTTGAACTCTGGAACAAGGTCTTCAAAAGATATAATGATGTGATTTGTCAGAGAAGAGAAATAAGAACTATACCTGTCTATTTTAAAAGCACAAACTTTAGTATTTAATGCTTTATCAGACAATCAGTTCTCCACAACATCTCAACAATATTGTGGAGCCATCAGAAATCCAATAATATAGATGCATTTGAATGGATCATAATACCCATGGAACTACTATGTCATATAACTTTGAGAACTCAAGCATGTAACCTATATTTGACACCACAACTTTCTAAAGATATGAAAATATATGAAGGCTTTGAAATAAAACATCTTCAGAAGTTTATTTTCAATAATCTATTTCTTTTCAGCCCGTGTATTTCTGTATCTCAACGATTAATATTTTCTAATTTTTTTCCTCTTATTTTAGAAAACTGAGGGTATAGTTGATATTTCAGTTACTACCAATGGATTTCAAGTCACAGCAGGGGATGCTTTTAGTTACAATTGTTTACAGACGCCAATTATAACTGATTTTAGTCCAAAAGTAGGAACAATACTAGGTAAGAAATTCTTCAATAAGATCAGTCATATCTTATTGTCATATGTATAAAAATGTGTGTGCACGTATGTATGTATACGTATTGTCATATATATGCATGTATGTATGTATACGTATTGTCATATGTATAAAAAACATTTCTAGAAAGGCTTTTGAAGCATAGTTTCTTCTGCAGTTTTGCTTCTTAAATTGAAACCAGTTATAGTTTTATGTGTGTGTATGTTTTACCATAGATTAATCTATTTATTATTTTATATTGAACATATGCAATAAGGAGAAAAATGGTAATATTTGTTAAAAAAGGACTTTGTCATCTTTTTTCCTTTTGAGCAATTGAATGTACATTTCATCCCTTTGTGGCTGCTACCAACTCTTTCGTTGTTTTTCCTTTTGCCTCTCTAAGTGCTAGGATTTCCTAAATCCAATGAAAGATGAGAGATGAATTGATTTATTTAATATGCAAATTTCACACTGGATAGCAAGTTGAACTTTTTGCATTATTTTTAAAATTTTAAAATACTAGGAGAAGTTAATTTAACAATTAAGGGCTATAATTTTGGAAATGAACTCACACAAAACGTGGCGGTGTATGTTGGAGGAAAAACCTGCCAGATTCTTCACTGGAACTTCACAGATATTAGATGCCTTTTGCCCAAGTTGTCTCCTGGAAAACAAGATATCCACGTAGAAGTCAGAAACTGGGGTTTTGCATCAATAAGGTATGATAATGAACACAAACTTGATGGAGTTGTGGAACACATGGGGCTAGTGGAACTGGGATAGGAAAAGAAGTAGGCGTTAACCTTTAGGGGTTGCTCTCTTTACCTTTCTACATCTTCTTTTGCAAAATATGCTCAGAATATCTCATAGAACTGTAATATGACACCTAGTTTTGAGACCAATACCATTCAGATCAGGTTGTAAAATTCTCTGTACAACTAGCCTTATGTATATGTCACATGACTTTGATTCATTCAGGAAATGCGTATCAAGTAGCTTCTAGGGGCTCAGTGCTGCTGGCTGGATTTACACTGGATTAGAGGGGCATCTCCCCTGCATTAATGGTGCTCACAATTTTCTTGGAGAGAGAGATTTCAAACAGAGGATTACACCAAGAGTTTAATTGTAAATGTGAAAAATACTATGCGTTAGAGGTACTAGGTGCAGTAAGAGTCTATAATAGAGAGAGCTGACTTATCCTGAGCATCAGGGAAAGGTTCTCTGAAAAGGTGACAATTAAACCAAGAAATGGGTAGGTGGTGGCCATTTGAAGGAGAGGATGCAGAGAGTCTTTCTCCAACTCAATTTTCTGTAAGGACTTAGTATTTCTTTTTCCCTGAGACTATTTGTTAACTGATAAAATTTTAGTTCTAGTGTGAGGAAGTTATTGGTTTAGAATACTTAGAAAAGGAAGATACTGAAATTTTATGGATACAAAAAGGCCAATAAAGCTAATGTCAGAGTAGAAGGAGATGACTGCAGCAAAATCTTGCAAGAAGTAAATGAAAATGAGCAACATTAAACATAAACCTCAGCACTACATCCATCTCCTCTTGGTTTCACAGGGCAGAGCTTACATGGGTTCTGTATTGGCTTGTGCTTTAGCTTGACGATATAATGGGTGAAATTGACACCACACAAAATTGTGTTTTCAGATTCAAGAAATACCACGGTTATGCTATGGAAGTTAAAAGTTGACACAGTGACTCACGTGAATTTTTCTGCCTCTCTTAAGTTACGAGGGAAGTTTGAATGTGGAAGTCAAATATGTCATATCAGAAAAGCATTTACATTTTGAAGGCCTCCTAGCAGACGCATTGTCTGTAACCAAGCAAAATAAATTAAAAACTCTCTCCCTGAAGTAGTGGAAGGGAGACCCTGACAAGTTTTCAACAAACATGGAATAATAACTTCAAATTAATTTTACAAAACTTTGATTACTCAAATGTGTGAGATTTAATTACTATTTTTAAAGCAGAGCTACCTTTTTGTTTTACTCTAATGAAAATATAAAATATTTTTAAAAATCTAATGTATTTCTTGTGACCTCAGTTCTCATAAGCATATTTTTCCATAATATTGTAGGATCTTCCATCTCAAATTCTTCTGCCATTAGAATGTTCAGAAATTTAATTTTCATAGTTAGGAAAATACTGAATATACTATCCAACCAAATCAAGATTATGATAATTACCAGATTGTCTATCTTGAAAAACTAATGTATAATTAAATATCCAATTATTTCCTCTTTCTAAAGAAATCATATCCTAGCAAGGGTTTAGCGAGATAAACCAGAAGAAAGCTCATTGAAAAATGTATCCTTTTTTTTTTTTCTCAGAGACAAATTAAATTCTTCAATACAGTATGTTTTGGAAGTGACCAGCATGTTTCCACAAAGAGGCTCCTTGTTTGGTGGAACTGAAATCACCATAAGGGGTTTTGGATTCAGCACAATACCAGCTGACAATACCGTGCTGTTAGGTAAGAGCTTCTTTCATAGGAAGGTGATTATCATTTTTCTCAGCTTAAAGGATATACTATAGGTGCTGAGTTATTATATGAATATTCTAAATCACAGTTTTATTTTTCTAGTAGTATAAAAATAGGTTAAGTGTATTTGGTTAAAGTGATAGAGAGAAACTGAATAACTACTTTTGATTTCAATAAATAATTACTGTGTATTTAATGTGTATGCAACATATAGAGTGGAGGAGTTGTTCTGCAGATAATGAGTACTCATACATGATTACTATGAGAAAAGAAGTACCGAAGATCCTACTATATAAGGCAGAGTTTTTTTTAGGGTCTTGGCTGTCGATAAATTATACTTCATCTCTGTAATTCACAAAAAAATTTGACAAAATGTTTGCTTTATAAAAATATCCAGTGTTTATTCTTTCTAGGGTCCATCCCTTGCAATGTTACATCATCATCAGAAAATGTCATAAAATGTATTCTTCATTCAACTGGGAATATATTCAGGATTACTAACAATGGGAAAGATTCAGGTATCAGCCATTTATATACTATGAAAAAATGGAAGCACTTAAACCTGAAATTAATTTGATTTTTATTTATTTTGTATTTCAAATTATTGAGAGACTGAGTACTCTTATTTCTTTTATAATTTGTCAGCAGTAACTGCTTGACATAGAGGGTCATATATAGAGTGAATTAACGGTAGATTGAGTCTAGAAGGCCGTACTTTACAGTTTCCAACTTCAGGAATTGCCATTTGGTTTTGCTGCAGTACAGAACCTCCCAAATTGTAGTTTATTATCCGTCATGGATTTCCAAATGAACATTCCAAATAAAACTGATCATAGCTTTAAAAATATTCTCTGTAAGCTTTCTAAGCAAATTATTTATTGACTTCTAATTTTTTTTTTCAAATTGTCTTGATCATCACTTTTGGAGTTTTGTGACTTAATTTTTCCTTATCTTCTTTTTACCTTGCTTTCCAGTATTTCTATTTGTTTTTGTTTAGTGCTTAAATTATGTAAGTAATTAAGTTTTAGTGTTGATTAAAATGTTTTTACTACTGACTGTACATAAATTGCAATGTTGTCAAAGATAATTATTAAGAAATTCTCTTTTTCTTTTAAAATATGACTCAATTCTTGTTCCCAGTACATGGATTAGGTTATGCCTGGTCACCATCAGTCCTAAATGTGTCTGTAGGGGACACAGTGGCATGGCATTGGCAAACACATCCATTTCTTAGAGGGATAGGATATAGGGTTTTTTCTGTCTCCAGTCCTGGAAGTGTAATTTATGATGGCAAAGGATTCACAAATGGAAGACAAAAATCTACATCAGGTATGTTTCTGCTTATTGGGTTTCACATCATGCCACTTTTTCCTAGATCTAATAAAATGACATTTTTTGGTAGATTTAATACAGTATTTTTACATAAGTAATATACACAAATGCATAAGGTAAATTAGTTGGCATTTTATTGCTGTAGTAAAAATGTTAGCAATAAGTGTAAGCAAGTTATTTTATACATACTCAAGTGAGTTCTGATATTAGAAATATTTTATATTCTGTGATAATGAATCAATTGAAAAACATATTGTGAAAGCAAAATGCAATAAAATAGGAATATATGTTTAAATCAAACCAATCTGGTAGCAAGTGATGAACTTTGACTGACTGAAATCAATTGAAAATCAGTGATTCTTATAGGACAGCTCAGAGTAAAATGTGCCTTTTAGATTGCCTGTTTTGTTTTGTACATGTAAGATTTTGAACTTTTAACTCATGAAAAAAAATTCTTTCATTTCATGTTGAATTTTTCTTTAAATTTTGGTATGTTATGCTCGACTTGCCATGGTTTTCTAGAAAATCAATGCTGGATCTTGTTTGGAACGTAATTCCATTACACAAGATAGCTTTTAATAGTCAGCGAGTTTTCTTACTACATTCTGTTGACATTTCATACACTTGAAAAATAAGAAACTGTCATCTGCATGTGCATTTAAATGATCATTTCAAGTCGTTTTCAGTCTCTTTTCAAAGATGCATTAATTGCTTATATTTATTATGTACAATCTCATTTTATGGCAGGTTCATTTTCTTACCAATTTACTTCACCTGGAATCCATTATTATAGCAGCGGGTACGTTGATGAGGCTCACTCCATTTTTCTCCAAGGAGTCATTAATGTTTTACCAGCTGAAACCAGGCACATTCCCCTGCACCTGTTTGTGGGTAGCTCTGAAGCCACATATGCTCATGGTAAGATGGTTAAAGATGGAAACTCTGTTACACAGGTGACCCAGGGTGTGTGTGAAATTTCCGGAGCAGGTAGCAGATGACTGGGTCTCACTGTGCTTCTCTCTTACTAGCCACGTGACCTTGAATGGGTTTGGGCTTCTCTGAGGCTGGAATTTATCCTCTGAAATAAAGATTATGTTAATGTCTTCCCACCAGTCTCTCCCTCAGAATCGTTGTGTGCCTCAAGTGAGATGTAATGTGAAAATGTTCTGACACTATGTATGTGCCTGGACATATATTAAAATGTAAGATGATGTTATTATTTTCCCCATGGGGTCTGGCCTTGGACAAACTGAAAAATAAATCAATTTTATATTCAGTTTTCTCTCTTTACTGTGACATCTTTGATAAGGTCTTTAATACTTTTGTACTGCCTAAGACCCATTTGTCATTTTGTTTTTCAAAAAAGATTTACCAGAATTTAAACCATCATCATCAAAATAAAAAGTAACACAGTTCAAAAACAGTTATCGTTCTAGAATGTTATTCATGACTTACAGGCAGTTCTTTTGTCTAAAGGAGGACCTGAGAACTGGCACTTGGGAAGCTCTGTGGCAGGTTGCTTAGCAACAGAACCCCTGTGCGACCTGGACAATACCAGGGTTAAAAATTCAAAAAGATTGCTATTTGAGGTTTCAAGTTGTTTTTCACCATCTATAAGCAACATTACACCATCCACTGGAACAGTAAATGAACTAATAACAATTATTGGACATGGCTTTAGTAATCTCACATGTGCTAATAAGGTAAGAATATAAATACCTCCTTTGTACTTCTATTACATGTTCCCAATGAAAGTATTTTGACGATAACCTTGTTATTTAATTTTTACGAGCTTTATTGAGATTTATCACATACCATACAATTCACCCATTTAAAGTGTATAATTCATAAACTTTTAGCATAAGCACAGAGTTGACATTCGTCACACAATTAATTTTAGAACATTTTCATTACCAAAACAAACAAACAAACAAACAAACCCTAAATCCCTTAGATATCACACATAACCCCTCCATCGATCCCAGCCCAAGGCAATCTCTAATCTACTTTCTGTCTTTATAGATTTGGCTGTTCTGGGCATTTCTTGTAAATAGAATCATACAATATGTGGTTCATTGTGACCAAGCTTACTTAATTTTCACTCAGCATAATGTTTTCAAGATTCACCAAAGTTGTACCATGTATCAGTACTTCATTCTTTTTTTGACCTAGTAATATTCTATTGTATGTTAAACAACCTTTTATTTATCCATTCATCAGTTGATGGGCATTTGGGTTGTTTTCACCTTTTGATTATTATGAATAATGTAGCAATGCACATTTATGTACAAATCACAATTTAATCCAAGAGATTCCTTAATCAGCCGCTCCCCAATTAAATTTATGAATAAAAGATATTTATTTGCACATGATTAGCTTTTTAAATTTATAGTTGTTGCTAATACAACATTTGTTTATACTGGAGATATGTGTTGACTTTTTTTATTTTGCATTCATTTCACTTACAGGTTACAATTGGTAGCTACCCCTGTGTCGTAGAAGAAAGTAGTGAGGATTCAATTACATGTCATATTGACCCTCAAAACTCAATGGATGTTGGTATCAGGGAAATTGTCACTTTGACTGTCTACAACTTGGGCACTGCTATCAATACGTTGTCCAATGAATTTGATAGGCGATTTGTGCTTTTGCCAAACATTGACCTGGTGTTGCCAAATGCAGGATCAACTACAGGAATGACAAGAGTGACCATAAAAGGCTCTGGATTTGCAGTTTCTTCTGCAGGTGTAAAAGTCCTTATGGGTCATTTCCCATGTAAAGTTCTATCAGTGGATTATACATCCATTGAATGTGAAACATCCCCTGCTGCCCAACAGCTTGTGGATGTAGATCTTCTAATACATGGAGTGCCTGCCCAGTGCCAGGGAAACTGCACCTTTTCATATTTAGAAAGCATCACTCCTTATATAACAGGAGTCTTCCCAAACTCTGTCATAGGGTCTGTAAAAGTTCTTATTGAAGGAGAAGGTTTGGGGACTGTTTTGGAGGACATTGCTGTTTTCATTGGAAATCAACAGTTCAGAGCAATAGAGGTTAATGAAAACAACATCACTGCTCTTGTGACTCCTCTCCCAGTTGGACATCATTCTCTTAGTGTTGTGGTGGGAAGTAAAGGCTTGGCTCTGGGAAACCTGACTGTCAGCAGCCCCCCAGTAGCATCTCTATCACCAACTTCTGGAAGCATTGGTGGTGGAACTACATTGGTGATCACAGGAAATGGCTTCTATCCAGGCAACACTACAGTCACTATTGGGGATGACCCTTGTCAAATTATTTCCATCAACCCCAATGAAGTCAACTGCCGCACTCCCGCTGGGACCACTGGAATGGTCGGTGTTAAAATCTTTGTTAATACAATTGCTTATCCACCTTTGCTTTTTACATATGCCCTGGAGGATACTCCATTTCTCAGAGGAATTATCCCAAGCAGAGGTACTCCAATATCTGCCTTATTATCTTGATATTATTGTATCGATAATATTTATTAGTATAGAATTGGAATGATATTTGTAAATAACTATTAAGGTGTGTTTATAAATGATCCCACTTACACCTAATACTTGGGATTCAAGTTCTGTGTAGTCTGTATTGTATGATTATTTTTCACACATTTATGGGATAACAATTTTAGACAAATTTCAACTTCTATTGAGGAACAAAATTCCCGTTAACTTGACCTAAAAATAAGTGAAGATAGACTAAAACTGCTAATTCATTTATGTTATTGATGTTGATTTGAACTAGAAACTCCAGTTAAAATTCAAAAGTTGCAATCTTACTTACATTGAGAGTGTTTCAGAGTACCTTATTTCCATGAAACTACAAATGAGTATTAACTTATTAGCACACCAGAATTCTTTTTAAGGAGATAATTGGCACATTCAGTGGAGAAAATGTTATAAAATAAGATTTTCTTAATTACTTAGCATGACTCATTTTTCTAATTTAACAATAGGTTGATATATCATCTTGGTCCTTTGTCATTATGCTATGCTGTTTCTGATCATCTTTGAGCTATTAGAATGCTTGTTATATATGCACTGAATTCTGGAGAGGAAGCTGTAGTGTAATAGTTGAGAGCTTGGCTCTCAAATGGCTCAAATTTTGGTTCCTTTAGTTTCCAGCGATGAAATTTTGGACAAGTTTTTTTAAACATCAATTTCTTTATTTATGCAGGTACATACATTATAAAGTTAAAGAAGTTTATTCATATAATGTAACTTAGAATAGTACATTTAATGAAGAACTCATTAAATGTTAGCCTTTTAGAAAAGTCTTAGGTTACATCACAAGAGAAATGTATCAGGTTTGTGTAAGTAGTATTTTCTGCCTTCAAAGAGTTTGCTGTCGAAATCTTCTTTAATATGTCAAATTTGCTCATTTTGAAAGATGTGAACAATAGCAATGGCATATTTCTTTCCCATGTGGTTGTAATCATTGCAAATAATAGCATATGTTTCTTATTTCCATGGACTGTGTCTCTTCTTATCTCTGTCTTTGAATAATTTTTTTTTTCAAAACAATGCATTCAAAGGTATAGGAGACTTGAAGACGTGTGAAAACTGAACTGTTTTTATTTGCTGAAGAGACAGGCAACACTGAGAACAACACTGTTGCACTTGAAAGGCAAAATGTCAAGCAAAATTAAATGTTAAGACCCATACAACTTTCTTTAGATTGTATCTTAAAACTATTTCAGCCAGGCACGGTGGCTCATGCCTGTAAGCACTTTGGGAGGCCGAGGTGGGCGCATTGCCTGAGCTCAGGAGTTCGAGATCAGCCTGGGCAACATGGTGAAACCTCGTCTCTACTAAAATACAAAAAATTAGCCGCGCATGGCGGCATGTGCCTGGAGTCCCAGCTACTCTAGAGGCTGAGGCAGGAGAATCGCTTGAATCCGGGAGGCAGAAGTTGCAATAAGCTGAGATTGCACCACTGCGCTCTAGCCTGGGCGACAGAGCGAGATTCCATCTCCAAAACAAACAAAGAAACAAACAAACAAAATTATTCCTAACATGAAATATCTCTTTAGTATCTGTCATGTTTAAAATAAAGTAATTACTTATATTTAAGCAATCCTCACTATGGTCAATTATATGGTAATTCTTTACTATTGTCACTTGAATTAAAGTCAAACTACTACTTGAGGGCACTGCGTTTGTAAAAAGTTATGTTGACTAATTTTCATTTAAAATTTAGGTATGCGGATATTCATTTGAACAGCCTATGAAAAATTCCATATGTTTAATGCCCTTGATGTACATTTGTCAAAAGAGGGAAGCAAGAGAACAGCCAGGATCTAATTATTTGTTCTATGTGCACTCATTCAAGGCATTAACATCAACATTCACCTACAAATCTTTAAATTAATTCCTTTTTTCTGTATTTACTATCTTACACCCATTTACATATCGTAATTTGTTTACCAAGTCATACCTATCAAAAACGTTTGAATTAAGAAAAATGTAGTCTCTCCTCAAAAGGGTTGCTAATGTCAGGAAGGAAGGTACCAAAAATAAAGATAGTAAGCCTCATCCTTAAAATATGCTCTAACCCACGCTGCTCAGACATTAATACTTCCTAACTCTAGACCTGCTCTTCTCTCCTCCTCTCTTTTCTATTAGCGTGAATTAGTAACTTACAACTCAATAGAATGGACAGAAAGGCTGGAAAAATAACAAACATTGAGATAAATCACTTATAATTAATATACAGTAGAATGTAGGGTATATTGTAGTCAAAATGTATTGTATGACACAGCATGTATTGTTAATATTTATATTAGTTTTAAAACACTGGGTATTCTTTTATTTATAAAAGTAAAGAAGTATATCTTTAAATGAGTGTGTATTAATAGTTAGATATATTTATATTTTGTGCCTTTTTTTTTTTTTAGGTCCACCAGGAACTGAAATTGAGATCACCGGATCCAACCTTGGCACTGAGATCTTGGAAATCTCGGTGATGATAAATAACATTCAATGTAATGTAACCATGGCCAATGATAGTGTGTTGCAGTGCATCGTGGGAGATCATGCTGGGGGCACATTTCCTGTTATGATGCATCATAAGACAAAAGGCTCAGCTGTGTCCACAGTTGTATTTGAGTACCCGCTTAATATTCAAAATATTAATCCAAGCCAAGGTAGTCATAAGTATGCAGGAAACTGCAAATATTTTGTTTCAGAAAATACTTATTTAGAAATCTTATTTAGAAAATAATATGTTCTTCAAACACATAAAATTTCTAGTTTTGTGTGTTCTTTTTTTTTTTTTTTTTTTTTTTTTGAGATGGAGTCTCACTCAGTCTCTCAGGTTGGAGTGCAGTGGTGCGATCTTGGCTCACTGCAAGCTTGGCCTCCCGGATTCATACCATTCTCCTCCCTCAGTCTCCTGAGTAGCTGGGACTGCAGGCGAAACACCACCACGCCCGGCTAATTTTTTTTTTTTTTTTTTTTTTGTATTTTTAGTAGAGACGGGGTTTCACCATGAAAATTTCTAGTTCTTATAGCACAATACAAATATTTTTCTTTATGTTGCAAATAAATAAGCATGTTAAGTGTATATTTATTTCAAAATACTAAACTTTAAAATATAATACCTTATATTTCTTAGTGATGTATGATTAATTTATTTAAAACTTAATCCTACTTAAAATGACAGTTATATGTGAAAATGTTTTTTAAATCATGTTTAGACATCACTGGTATGTTAATTATTTCTACATAAATTAGTATCTTTTTTATATAAAAATTTTTTTGGTTAAAAACCTTAAGAAAGTATAAATAAACCAATCTACTTATAATTAAAATTGTAATTGCATAGTCTATGTTTTGCCTACTCTGAAATCCTTTGTGACATCTCTTTTAAGTAAAATTTTAGTTCCTAGAAATAGTTCAAATAAATTACCAGATATGACTTTTACTCAGTGAGGATTTTAAAACACTACAATCAAAAGAGATTCAGTTGCATTCATAGAATAATGCACTATAATTTCAGTTCTAAGAAAATCTTCATTTAATGTAACTTACTTTGAACATTTAAAATAAAGGTAAAAAATATGTACACAGAAGAGGTTTTATTTTAATTAGCTTTGTTTTTCCTTTTTATTTGTCTTCACTAGGGAGTTTTGGTGGGGGTCAAACCATGACTGTGACAGGCACCGGATTTAATCCACAAAATTCAATTATATTAGTTTGTGGCTCAGAATGTGCAATTGACAGGCTTAGATCTGATTACACAACATTATTATGTGAAATTCCATCTAATAATGGTAAGTTGTCAGAAAAAATAATGGAAGTCTTTGAGAACTAGTTAATTTTATAAAGATCAGTTAATTTCTTTTTTCAAGTTACTGGCTGCCTTGGAGTAATTAAATCACTTTATTACTGTCCTGATTCTAAGCAATTTCTCCAGGACATTTTCTAGATTCACATGTCTTTTGAGATTCATAAATTGCAGATGGAATTGTTTATAATAAATTGCAGTTTTCCAGTTTATGGTGTAAACTGATGGTTCTTAGTCTATTGAGCATACCAAATGGAGAACACATTTTTAGTTCCCATTAGAATATTAGGCTTCCATTAAAGATAGGAGTTCCATTAATGGCTATGAGTGTCAATGCCGGTGGTGCATTGCTAAACTCAAACCCTACCTGTGTCATTGAATAAGTTATTTAACCTCTCTATGCTTCAGTTTTTCCAACTATAAAGTGAGATGAATCACAGTAGTCTACTGGATTTTTGTCAGGTTTAATAAGTTAATGTACATAAAGTGGATGGAATGATGTCTAGAACCATATGTAATTCGCTATTATTCTCATGCTTACTTATTCATTTTTAGTTAATGGTTAAGAGCCTGGTCTCTGAGGAGTCCCTGTATCTCAGTTTTGTTACTTACTGTGTAACCCTAACTAAGTAACTTAACTTCTCTCTGCTTCAGTTTCTCCACGTATGAAATGGAGATATTATTAACTCTAATTCAATGGATTGTTGTGAAGATTAAATATTTGGTAGTTTAGACAATAAATCTTAGTTATTACTTCACAAAATTTAAGAAGATATTTAAACAATGTGAATATTCTAGAAGAATAAAGGATATATTTTATGTGAACACATTTTTTAAAACATTAACAAAATTTTTGAAGCTTTTCTAAATATTATTGCTTCTTTCTCTGACTTCCTTAACAAAGAATATTGAAAAATGCAATATTTTTATGACTGAGCTTATTTATCATTTTGACACCAGAGTTTGAATCCTGATTAAAAATATATATATACGTAGCAATGCTTCGAGACTTGTCAAGGTTTTAGGTTGTTTGTCTTAACACTGGCTCTGCATCTTCTCGTTATGTTTTTGCATCAGGTTTCTGTAGTCCTTGTTTCTGACCTTGCCTTCAGCTGTCACTGCTTGCTGTTATCAGTGTGTGTGTCTTTAAGCAGTTCTTCCCTCCTTCCTGTTCTAATTTAAAAAGTTAGATTCTCTAGAATTGGAAAACTAAGCAGGCAGGTTTGTAGAGTGTTCTACGCAAGAGTCTCCCTGGGAGGATCCAAGGGCTTTTTCTTCTGTTGATAGTGAGCATGAACTTTGTAATGTTTTTGGCTATTGCTAGAGGCCACTATTATTCATATGCAGCCCATGTATATTGGAAAAGGAAGATGATTGTGTGAAAAGGAAGATGTTATTGAAAATGTTTGGAGGTTTTGGAAATGAATCAGGGTCTGATGGCAGAACTGCATTCACTCTGATCCTCCTCTCATAGGCACGGGAGCTGAGCAAGCCTGTGAAGTGAGTGTGGTTAATGGGAAAGATTTGTCACAGTCAGTGACTCCGTTTACATACGCAGTGTCACTGACTCCACTCATCACTGCAGTGTCTCCCAGGAGAGGCAGTACAGCAGGCGGAACCAGACTGACAGTCATGGGATCAGGATTCAGGTACTGTCTCCACACACACATGCATCGTTGTGCATTTCCAGACTCGAGCCATTACACCTGCTTTCTCCTATGCCTGGACAGTGCGGAAATACAGTCATGTAATGTGTACCTATATGCTCGTAACTTATGCTTAAGGCAAAAATAGTACTAATTGCTAACATTTACTGAGTATTTATTTTGTGGCAACCACTTGCCTACCCACAGAGACATCCTGCCTTACTTCCTGAGATGTTTTTTTACCTCATTTTATGGTTAGAAGACAGATTAAACAGGTTAGACAACTTGCCCCCAATCCTAGTATGTAGCATCACAAATATAAATCCCGTTCTTGTTATGCTTTCCCTACCATCTTATCTCCAGCCATGATCTGCTTCACTGGGTCAAAGAAACACCTTTCCATACAGCAAGTCTATTCCACTGTAATTGGTCAAGTTTCTTTTTCTTAAACATACTCATTATTTGGCTCAAGTTTGTGCACTGTGTTGCCATCATTATTCAGATGGGGAAGGCTGAAGTCAAAACACCAGATCACATACACCACAGAAGCTCATTGTAACTCCTCAAGCAGTTGTGATTACCTTTGACTTGCATTTTTACCTGGAGGTTAAGTTCTAAAGTCCACAAACATGATAAAAATGTCACATGGAAAAGTGATCCTTGAAAATCTCTTTTAAAAGTACCTGTTGGGAGATCAACATAGAACCACTGAACAACAACAAAAATCACTGCTTTTTTTTCCCCAACACTGGAACACCAGCTATTTACAGTCCTATTTTCTGGACTCTTAACCTCTTTGTTTACTTTTTTTTTTCAATAAATATTTTGAAATCTTAGTATTGAAAAAAAGCATCATTCTGCACTTTGGTGGCTGATAGAATCAGGTTTCTTTATTATTATTATTATTTTGCAATAATACGTAGGAATAAAAGGGTTTGACAGCGTGATCTAAAAGTTTGAGAAAAACATACATGTTATGTGTTCCCTCTTTTTTTACAGTGAAAATGTAGAGGATGTTCATATCAGTATAGCTGAGGCCAAATGTGATGTTGAGTATTCCAACAAGACACACATCATCTGCGTGACAGATGCCCATACTCCCTCAGGGTGGGCTCCAGTTCGTGTCCACATCAGAGGTGTCGGCATGGCCAAACTGGTAATAGTGCTGTTGGGTATAGTAATCACAGCAACAGAAAACTAGCATTATGGGAGGTGGGCTAATTGGTAATGGTTGTTTTACTTTAATATCTCCAAAAAAATAACTGAGCTGTGACTATAATAAATTTAAAGTAGCTTATGTTTTTTGTTGGTTTTCCTAAAATTTTTATGATTTTGGATTTTTTATTTTTCTGAGTTGTGGGGTAATTGGTAATAGATTTTTTAAACTTGATCATTATTGTGAAATAAACCAAGAGGCAATTATAACACATTTTAAGTAGGTTAGATTTTATTAATAAAATGCTTATTGTTTGTATATATTATATATATTTACTATGCAATATAAATATATTTATATTGTAATAAAAAGCTTTTTGAAAAATCGAATGAAAAACTCTGGTAAAATCCCTAAATTTTAAGGTCTCCTATGTTCTATTACAGGATAATGCTGACTTTCTTTATATTGATGCTTGGTCCTCCAATTTCTCATGGGGGGGACAATCTCCCCCAGAAGAAGGGTCTCTTGTTGTTATTACAAAAGGACAGACCGTTCTGCTGGATCAAAGCACACCTATTTTGAAAATGTTGCTTATTCAGGGTAAATTTCTGAATATCTGTTCATTAGACTCTGCCTGAGAAATATTTCTGTGAAACTGATTTAATCAAAGTCCACAATTAAGAACATCCATAGTTGCATCATATTTTTAGTACACAGTGTAGTCCTGGGCTTTCTAAATTGAGTATTGCAATCCATTTGTGGTTATGATATTATTTAATGTGTTGCAGCCAGCATTTTAAAAATTAAATAGGATAGAAAGCATCAGAATGGATTGCATGCATATGAGTAAGTACCTTTTAACAGTAAATGTTGTTTTATGAAACTTTTGGTTCAATAACAAAGTGGGGAGGTGTGAGCATGCCCGCCCACTTTCACTAGATCACAATAAAAAAGGCATTTTCCACTTTGAAAAACACTGATGTAGTGGGTCCCAAGAGTTAAAAAGTCATAGAGATTTGTCCTAAATGATCCCCTTGACTCCCTTTGGAAGATAGGTTGTGATTTTCACCTTTGCCTATGAACCTGTTTCTGTTGTTGCCTGGGGTTGTCTCTGCTGCTGTATTTTGTTTTTTACTGTAGAAAACTAAATAACCATGACTGTGATAATTGCATGTAAAAGAATCATTAATTGGTAAGAGTAGACTGCTTGAGGATTTAGTGTACAAACTTTGCCATAACAGCTGAGCCACCGGAAGACTCCTGCATTGTTATTGTACTATTTTTAACTTCTGGGAAAATAGAAAAGTTTCAGGTTTTTGAAGTTATTAAATATTGGACCTTTGGACAAATAAAATTTTACTACTTACAAATTTACACTAGTCTCATAAAAATGTATCTTGGTACGATCTTTAATAATGCTAATCAGGCTATAGCTGTTGACAGTGCAAATTAATGGGTAAAAGTTAAGAGCTAATGTTGACATTATAACCGTTTTTATAAACATGCTTTTCTTTAAATGCTTTCATTATTAATTTATATTTTGAGGTGCTGTCTTTGTAGAACGAATTTGCATAGCTGAGCTATTTAGTAGCATCTAAAATAAGCTACTTTCCCAATGTTCAAGGGAAAGTAATCTTCCCTGGAATTTGATTTTCTGTAAACTCCCACTGTCTTGTCTGGAGTTTTTATGCTTTTATGTTGCCAAAGAACTGAAGTGAAGTTACATGCATAACAATAGCAGAACTTGAATGAGGAATTAAAGTTTAATTTACTGTATAATTTAATAATTATTATGTTAAATTGTAAAGAGTAATTTAATAGGTAACTTTTAACAAGACTTTTCCTTGTGATGTATTTTAAAATTCTATGATTCATAGGTGGAACTCTAATATTTGATGAAGCTGACATTGAACTCCAGGCAGAAAATATTCTAATTACAGATGGAGGCATTCTTCAGGTATTCAAAAGAACATAATACATGTTCATTTTTAACCTTTCTTCATTCCTTTTTAAAAATACTATGTGTAAAATGGATAGTTAATTATACCAACCTCTCCTAAGTTTATCTTTGTTTAGGTCTCTGTTTTTGGTATAAAATCCTTCATGTAGGGATAAAAGTTTCCCAGAATATTGTGTTTTTAATGGGAAGATAGTAGTATATTCCCATAGAGCAGAATTTAAAATAGAACAGGAAAGAATTAACTCTTAGATGTGGCTAAAGTCACTCAGTATACCTTTCAAAGGTCTGGCATAGTGTATTTGGCTCACTAGAAAATTAAAGTTTTATCTTTCCAAAGAAAGATATGAACAACTGAGCAATTAATTCTCAAAAGAGAAGAGAAGATAGAAAAGAACTACTTTTGTGTAATTAGAATTGTGGATTTGGGGTTTTAATTTTCTGAATAGCATTTGTGACATCTTTTGCAGATTGGGACAGAGACATCCCCATTCCAACACAAGGCTGTCATTACCTTGCATGGGCACCTGCGATCTCCTGAGCTTCCTGTCTATGGTGCCAAAACACTGGCTGTGCGGGAGGGAATCCTGGATCTGCACGGTACTGTGGCCAAGTGGCTAAGGGAGTTGGTAGAGAAAGACTCACCAGGACACCAGGGATAATTATCCTGTGATAATTATAATTTATCCTGTGGTAAAGTAAAAGTGTGTTAGGCTTCTCGTGTCTTTAGATATCCCCTCTTTACCCCTTCCTTCTTTCCCACATCCAAGCAAGGCTGGCCCAGACATCAAGACTCAGAACCAGGCCAAGCGTGGTGGCTCATAACTGTAATCCCAGCACTTGGGGAGGCCAAAGCAGGTGGATCACCTAAGGCCAGGAGTTCCATACCAGCCTGGCCAACATGGCAAAACCCTGTCTCTACTAAAAATACAAAATTTAACCAGGCATGGTGGTGCATACCTGTAAGTCCAGCTACTTAGGAGGCTGAAGCAGGAGAATCACTTGAACCCAGGAGGCGGTGGCTGCAGTGAGACAAGATCGCACCACTGCACTCCAGGCTGGGTGACAGAGTGAGACTCTGTCTCTGTCTCAACCAAGGTCACACTTGGGAAAGTCTTTCTGGGCCTTTTCTACATTCCTCCTCTTCCCCCTTTCTATAGGCCTCCAGGCTCTTCTCATTTCATTTTACAGTAACTGTAGTACCTGTCTGTGATTGCCTGTTTACTTTATTTATTTATCTATATAAAAAGACTAAGTCTAGAAGCAGAAGAATGTAATTTCTTATATTTGTATCTGAAAATGGGGTCTCTCTGAAATATAACAAGAAATTTATAGTTGTAGATTCCTATAACTATATCCTAGAACACTGTCAGCAACCAAAAATGATTTTGATCATGTTTGAGGTACCAGGGCAACATACTATTTAAAGAAAGCATGGTGTGAATCTTTTTTATATTGAAGTCTTCCACATTGCAATAATCTATCCCTTTTATGAATTTAGAATACCATAAACATGATACCTTATTATCATAAAAGTCCTACATGGGGCTCACTATGTATACTATGTAATTTCTTAGAAAAGTCTACATTTGACTCTAGATTATTAGTTTAACAAATTCCTATCAATAATGACAAAGACAATAGACTTCTGCTTTTTGTCAATATTATCACACCCATTTACATTGTGTCCCTGTAAAAAAAAAAAAGATGGTTATAAATAGGGTATATCATTGCAGAAGAATATTTTTGAAAAGTTTTATAGTAATATGCATGTTATTACAAACACAATTGTTACTTTTATAAAGCAAGCATTCTACATATTTCTTCTTGGAGAAATGTATGAAATGCTAAGGCAAAATGAACCTTTCCAACATTGATTCAATTTAGGAAAAGATTAAAATGCATAAAGTTCTCAATAACCAATCAAACACATGTAAAGAAATACTCAGTGTGTACGTTGGTTCTAGGTGTGCCTGTTCCTGTGATCTGGACTCGCTTGGCTCATACTGCAAAGGCAGGGGAAAGAATTTTAATTTTACAAGAAGCAGTAACATGGAAGCCAGGAGATAACATTGTAATTGCAAGCACAGGACACAGGTATGATGTCTTCTGGGCTTAATGATATGTATTTAGAAAAGAAATTTTTACACTGTATAAAGAGGGACAATTCAGATGGTGCATGACTATTTGGTTTAAACTTGAAAACTCTAATAAAGAAACACGAACAGCCAAATACAGATTTGCCAAGTGTTAACATTAGGTTGATCCCATTTGTATTGCATTATAATTGATAGATTTACAATAAGAAAAAATATAAATTTGAACTTATGAAATAACTATGTCCTAGTAAAATGTATGTTTTACATGGTTTGGCTCCCATGTAAGAATCTGTTTGGAAAAAAGAAGCGTTTGACTACTAAAAGTCATTTGGAAATATCTTAAGAGTTTTAAATACATACCTTAATGAATGCAAAAATGTAAATGAGCTTCTTAGTGTGAGTCACTAAAGAACACGTTTGAAAGCAGCCAGTGAACTCTCTTATCTTACAGCCTTAGCAGTGGCTCCCATGGAGCAAAATTGTCAGTAATGACTAAATAAAAGAGAAGAAATCATTATATGAAAAGTGATGATTCACATAACCTTTTAGGTGCCTGTTATTTTAAAACTGAAACTATGACCCTTAATTTCTGTTTAATTACATATTTTAGCAAATAAGACATAAAAGAAAGAAATTAACATAATACCACCAAGTATCATGGGGGTAGGGGCAAGAGAAGCATTATTTTTGCTTTATTGTTCAAATTATAGATAATAGTAAAATTGAATATGGTTGTGATTATTAGGAAACAAACAGTGATTTATGATAAGAAACAGCTAAATTTTATTAAGGCCATGATTCAGCTTAAATTTAAAATTCAAAATGGCATTTTGAGTTTGCCGTATTCCATATTAAAAATAGACTTGCAGTTATTAGGAAGAGTTAAATATATACTTAGCTTTAGTGCTCATTTTGTTCTGCCCTTGGAAGAAATTTTAATTATATAAAGGCAAAATAAAAAAGCAGGAAAATGACAGGGTTTACTAACAGAATAGAAAATCTTCATTTATGGTTTTTTGTATGAAATGAAAGGGTAGCTTTAGGGTTTAGAATGGGGCTATTTAATTTTCAGAAACAAGAATTAAGGAGTTTCCCACCAAATCTAATTGTTCACTGTGTCCTTGATAAATCCTATTTGATAGTTTGCAAAGACAGTGGTTAAGAAAATGCCCTCAAAAGTCAGTGGTTAAGAAAATGCCTTCAAAAGTCAGTTTGTCTGTGTCTAGCTCCCAGCAATACCACTTACTAGTTCTGTAGTTATATTATTTTACCTTTCTGTGCTTCAGTAAAATTGGAATGTTATTAGTAAGGATTACATTAGTTAATAAGTGTAAAGCAGTAAAAGCAGAACTTGGCTCAAACTAAGTGCTTGTTACACTTAGTGTTGTTATATTACAACAAAGGAAGGAAAGATGTGTTTAGGTACATACAATATATGAAAATGCTTTTCAGAACTTCTTTTCTAAAGAAATCATTGTATCATCCGAATTCAGGAAAATTCAAGAGAGGCTAATCTAAAGCCTTTTTGCATACCACCTGTGAGATCTTGTACCACTGGTTCACCCTTATCTCTAAGCATCCTTAATCTCCACCTCTCCCTGCCCCTCCCCTACAATTCCTTCCCTGCATCTTTTGCAATGATTCTTGTCCCCATCCACCCATTATCTTGATAAACAGCTTTGTTCTCCTGTCTCCTGTAGCATCTTTCTTTTTTAAAATCCTTTATTTTAGAGTTGTAAGCTGCTTATATATTATATGCTCATTTCTTCTATTTTATCCTTACTATCCTTTGTTTTCTTTCTTTAAACCCCTGCATTCTAGTTTTCTTCTTCACAAATCTTTTTCAGTGACCTTGTAATTATCATCATTCATTATTTCCTTTGCATCACCAAGTTCTTTTGGTCTGCCCTTGGCATGTCCCTCATCAGCTTTCTCTGCTCTCAGTTTGATTTAGGTTCTCAGCCTCTCACACCTGGAATATTACATCACCTTCCTATTTGGGCTCCATTTCACTTTGTTACCCCAACGAATTCATTCTGCATTAATTTGTTCAATCAATCAAAACCTGTTATTGAGTTGTGACAGGTGCTGTACTAAGTGCTCAGCATATAAAATGATTTCAATGGGTCTCATTCCTAGAAGAGCAGACAAGTCAGCGGAAGGGACAGAAAGATAGATAACTCATAGGACTGCAGCGTGGTTGCTCTGAGCATTAACAGAGCATTATGCAGAGTGTATTGAGAATGCAGAAGTAGGGTTGGGAAAGTTGAGAGAGCTGCTTTGAATCTATTTCACATATGGCACTGTCATTCGAACTGCCATTTAAAGGAGGTAAAGGATTTGCCAAGGGAGAGAAGGGTCAAAAGAAAATGTTGGGAAAACACAGAGGTAACTCCCTTAGGCTTACCTTTGTTAACAGCAGCAATCACACTTTAGTAGATAATATATTATACAATCAAGCACTGACACACTTGTCTCCTTAAAATCAGGGAAATTTTCCACTTGGCATCCCCAGTGCTTAGTTCCATGCCTAAAATGCAGGTTAGACCCTCAATAAATGTTTGTTGGATGACTAAATGCATGAATGTATACATTATAGAATTGGCAAATTCTTTCTGCTGTGACTGGAATTTGGGGTATATTTGGAGGAATGGTAAAAATGAGATCTCCTAAACTTCAACTCAATCATTTCTTTTCCCTGTTCAGGAACCTTCAGTGACTCCCCTTTGTAAAGGTTCTCAACTTGTGCATGACGGACATTTTGGACCAGATCACCTTTGCTATGTTGGGGAAATCCTGTGTATCATGGGATGCTTAGAAACACCCCTGCCTCTACCTACTAGATGCCAGTAGCAGCCCCCAATTGTAATAACCAAAAATGTCTTCAGGCATTGCTAAATGTCCCCTGGGAGGAATAAAATCATCCTCAACTGAGAACCACTGAGTATGATCCTCCACATTATAAATGAATAGTTTTCCAAATACTTTTAATAAGCTAATCCAGTTCTAGGAACGAATGTAGAACTTGAAAAATATTTAATTGAATTGAAAATATTTGTAAAACTTAGTTAATAAAGCAAGAATAAAATATTTTATTCTAATTTCTGTTCAGAATATTGTATGACATAAGAATAGTTTCCTGTTTTTTCAAAGAAGCATTTAAAATGAATAAAGCAAATATACCAAAACAATATGTTATGTCAATTAATATTAATTTTGAACATGTTTTGTTAAAATTTTTACAGACACAGTCAAGGAGAGAATGAAAAAAGGACCATTGCGGCTGTATCTGCTGATGGCATAAACATAACACTAAGTAATCCACTAAATTACACACACTTAGGAATTACGGTCACACTCCCTGATGGAACTCTGTTTGAAGCAAGAGCAGAAGTTGGAATTCTTACAAGAAATATTTTAATAAGAGGATCTGATAATGTTGAGTGGAATAACAAAATTCCAGCGTGTCCTGATGGATTTGACACAGGTAATTTTAGCAGCTCTCGTGGTTGGTATAATCATGCCATATAGTTCTAAAATTTAATTGGTATATGTTGAAATACATTATTTCAATGTATTTCATTGTAAATATCATTAAATATAATTTAATGATATTAATCTTATTATAAGATACCTTTAAATATCTTGTAAATATAATTAAATGTGGAAATTTGAAAATGCTGATAATATTTGTGAGTAACATGAAGATATTTGAATATATTGAAGAAAAGTGGTTAATGCTGACACTATAATGGGAGAAATAAGTGCACTTGGTTTCTGTTGATAAATTCTCTTCCTATACTTATGATTCATTATTATGTTTAGATTAGACCTTGATGATTAGTTTTACATATTGCCAGCAAGAAACTGCATTATTTAGATTTACTCAGAAAATATGGAGAACTATATTTGATAGTGATACAAAGATTCTGTTTAGTAAATCTTTGATTCATCAGGACTTTTTCAATTTTCCAGAATTTGCAGTTTATCAGAACAGTGTGAGAGTAGATTTACTGTAGAAAGATACTTTAATTAATTCCTAGACTGATGATGCATAGACAGACAAATGGATAGATGGAATGATGGGGGGGAGATCTATAGATATATAGATCTGAGCCAGTGGGGGTAGGCTAAGTCAGAGTTTTTCAAAGTCAGCACTGTTGGTACTTTGGCCCAGATAATTCTTTGCTGTGGGGCATCGTCCTGTGCATCACAGAATGTTTAACAGCACACTTGGCATCTACCGACTAAATTCTAGTAGCCTCCTCCAACAACTGTGACACCCAAAAGCATTTGCAGACTTTGCAAAAATGTTCCCTGGGGGCAAAATTGGCCTCAGTTAAGAACCACTGGACTAGGTTATGCTCTATTTATCAACAAGCCCAAAATGTCAGTGATTTAAAATATAAAAGTCTATTTCTCGGCCGGGCGCGGTGGCTCACGCCTGTAATCCCAGCACTTTGGGAGGCCCAGGAGGGCAGATCACGAGGTCAGGAGATCGTGACCATCCTGGCTAACATGGTGAAACCCCGTCTCTACTAAAAAATACAAAAAAATTGGCCGGGTGTTGCGGCGGGCCCCTGTAGTCCCAGCTACTCGGGAGGCTGAGGCAGGAGAATGGCGTGAACCCGGGAGGTGGAGCTCGCAGTGAGCCGAGATCGTGCCACTGCCCTCCAGCCTGGGCGACAGAGCGAGACTCCATCTCAAAATAAATAAATAAATAAAAGTCTATTTCTTATTCATACTACATGTGTCCCATATGGGTCAACAGGTGGGCTCTTCTCATTATAATTGCCTTGGGATCCAGGCTTATGAAGCATCTATCTCAGCATGGGCTTCTGTGATCTCTGAGGCAGGAGACGAGATTGCTGAAGAGTAAAGCACTAGCAACTAATTGCTTTGGTCTCAAAGTGATAGTTGTTTCTTATACTCCAGGGTCATTGGTCAGAACTGATTCCATGGCTATGTCTAACTCAAATTGAAGAGAGCGAGTTAGTGCAAACCCCATATACCCAGAAATAGAAGGGAAATGGATATTGGTAAATTTTAATGATGTTTTATCACAGCTCTCATATCTATAGCAGGAAGCATAATGCATCTTACAAGTTCTCTTTTCAATATTTTAAGTAATCATTGATATCATTACAATACTATAAGTAGTTGAATAATAACTGATGCAGCTTAAATAATAGCCTTTTTTTAAAAAAGGAAGTATAAGACAAAGCTCACGGGATTTGATGTCAAGTGAGCCACATTCTCATTCCAGTTCATCTGCATCAAGTCTCACAATGTACATGAAACCCAGTTTCATCCTGTTTAAATTAAGAACACTTTCTGTTCTATTTACTCTGGTTGTAAAAAGTAAGTGACATAATGCATATTCTCATGTTCTACAAATGTAAAATTGCATTGATTATGTTAATCCTCAAATCTTGGGGAAGGCTTCAGAAATAATAAAACTGAATCCCATTATCAATATTCCCTTGATCATTCAAATGTTTGTTTAGTATCTTCTCTGAAAAATACTGTGTAAGTACTTTAGGGAATACAAAGTTGAACAAGACAAGGTACTTACCTATCTTGCTATCTGAAAGAGGAAATGATGTGAATACAAATAACTATGTTCTAGGATGAGGTTGAGATTATAAGTGAATCAAATGATACAATTACTTACGAGAAATTCAAATTGAGGATTCAAATCCTCAATATAGGAGGATTCTGACATGTTTTTTAATGATGCTTTAAAAACTGTTTTAAAGGAGAATTTGCTACACAGACCTGTCTCCAAGGAAAGTTTGGAGAAGAAATAGGAAGTGACCAATTTGGAGGCTGTATTATGTTTCATGCTCCTGTACCTGGTGCTAACATGGTAACTGGGAGAATAGAATATGTAGAGGTGAGAGGCATTATTACTAAATCACAGTGGTTTTCTCAAGGTTATCCATACAAGAAATATGTATTAAGCTCCTGCTGTTTGTCAATGCTACTTAGAATCTGATAGGGGAGACAGATACATAAGTAAACAATTTTAATATACCCATTTGATCATACCAAAATTTTGTTTCTCAAATTTTCTCACACCCCAAATCAAATTCATCAGCAATTCTATCTTCTCTACCCACAAAATGCTGTATCCAGAATCCAGTGTCTTTCCATACCTCCACCTGACCCTGAGCCTGGGCCACTATCTCCTCCCACCTGGACTGCTGTGATTTTCTCCTACCTGGTCTTCCTGCTCCCACCTTGCTCTAATAGAGTCTCCACACTTCAGTCAAAGTAAAATTTTAAAACCATAAATCATATCTTGTTACACCCCTCTTCAAAATCCTTCAGTGGCTTCATAGTATACGTAAAACAACAGGTCTAAGTCCATCCCATAGGAACCATGTGATCTGACCCAGAGATGCCCTCTGATTTATCTTCTACGACCCTATGCCTTGCTTGTGCCATGCTAGTAATAGAGGACCCCTTATGTGATCATGTCAAGCACATTCCTATCTCAGGTCCTTCATAGTTGCTTTTCATTATATATTTATTAATTTATCTATTTATTTATTTTTGAGATGGAGTCTCATTCTGTTGCCAGGCTGGAGTGCAGTGGCACGATCTCAGCTCACTGCAACCTCCACCTCCCGGGTTCAAGTGATTCTCCTGCCTCAGCCTCCCAAGTAGCTGGGACTACAGGTGTGCACCACCACACCCAGCTAATTTTGTAGTTGTAGTAGAGACAGGGTTTCACCATGTTGGCCAGAATGGTCTCGATCGCCTGACCTTGTGATCTGCCTGTTTCGGCCTCCCAAAGTGCTAGGATTACAGGTGTGAGCCACCATGCCCAGCCTGTACTTGCTTTTCATTCTGCTTGGAATCCTCCTCCACCAAATACTTGCATGGCTTATACCCCTATTTCAGTCAGATCTTTTGACGAGTGTAATCACTCCAGAGAGGACTTTCCTCACCACTTTTATTTAAAATTGCCACCTAAACTCCTATTTACTTTATTTATACATAACTCCTAACAGGATATCTATTTTTATTTATTTTCAATCTCTTCCTCTAGAACATAAGCTCTATTATTTTACAGATGTTGTCTTTATGGTTCTCTGCTGATTCCCTGGAACAATGCATGGCATATAGTAGATTCTCAGTTGATTATAAATTAAACAAATACTTAAATATGCATATTATTGCTATGACATTAGAAACTCCCGTGTATCTTATTTATATTCAGGCTGTATAATCAGGGTTTGGCATAGTTTTTATCATGTATTCAGCAGAAGGAAGGAAGGGAGGGAGGAAGGGATAATAAAATCCATAAATCCGTTAAACCGGGCACACTGCGACTGCATTGATGGTGACATAGTCAGCAACTCCATTTGTAAACTTCCCTCCTCCTGAGATATGTTACATGTGACATCTGAGATATGGACTAAGTGAGATTGCTAGTTTGATCTGAATATCGAATATTAATAATGGTTAATTTTTAGTTTTAGATGGACAACAAAAATAGTGGACCTAATGTTTTATTTCGTTACCCCATGAGATTATATGACACACCTGTGCATGCTCACACGCATGCACGTACACACGCACACAGACACACTGGTATCCTCTGTATTAAATTATTAAATCATAGACCATTTGAAAGAATGCACAGCCCCGTGATTAAGAGCACCAGCTCTAGAGTTAGACCAACTTGGGTTTAAATGGAACTTCGTAACCATAAACAAGATACTCAGCCTTTCTAAACTTCCATTTATTAATCTGTAAAATGAAGTCAATGGTAAGTGCCTACTTTAGGGGATTATGGCAAAGACTAGGATCATGCATGCAAAGGAGCACAACATCTGGCACACATAAAACATTCAAGAAATGTTTCTTATTATTACATAAGAAGCAAAGTAAAGTAAAAGAGAAAAAGAAGTCTTTCAAGATGTTTTATTTTCTGAAACACAGAAGTTTACTAATATACCAAGGTAAAAAGCAGAAGAGTCAAAGATGGCTTTTTATATTCTTTCATTCATTTTGTAGTAAGTGTGGTCTGTTATACATTGTATAAAACATGGTGGGTTGGGGGTTCAATGACATTTTCAAATAATAAACATGAAAACTTTAGAAGAAATAAATGTATTAATAATAACATAAAATTTGAGATTTTTTTGAAACAAGAAAATACGAGCTCAACATCTGAGCTATTACTAAATAACTGCGATTTCTGGGCTTAACAGGTATTCCATGCTGGCCAGGCTTTCCGGTTGGGGCGATATCCAATACATTGGCACCTGCTTGGAGATTTACAGTTTAAATCTTACGTAAGAGGCTGTGCAATTCACCAGGCCTATAACAGAGCTGTTACTATCCATAACACACACCATCTTCTGGTTGAGAGGAATATTATATATGATATTAAGGGAGGAGCATTTTTTATAGAAGATGGTATTGAACATGGCAATATCCTCCAGTATAACTTGGCAGTATTTGTACAGCAAAGTACCAGTCTACTGAATGATGATGTGACCCCGGCTGCGTTTTGGGTCACCAACCCAAACAATACCATACAACACAATGCTGTTGCTGGCGGCACTCACTTTGGCTTTTGGTACCGGATGAACAACCACCCTGATGGGCCATCCTATGACAGAAACATTTGTCAAAAAACAGTTCCCCTTGGCAAATTTTTTAACAATACCGTCCATTCTCAAGGTTGGTTTGGAATGTGGATCTTTGAGGAATATTTCCCCATGCAAACGGGATCTTGTACGTCTACCGTGCCTGTGCCTGCAATATTTAACTCACTTACTACTTGGAATTGTCAAAAAGGAGCTGAATGGGTCAATGGAGGTGCCCTTCAGTTCCATAACTTTGTGATGGTGAATAACTATGAGGCTGGAATCGAGACTAAGAGGATCCTGGCTCCTTATGTTGGAGGGTGGGGAGAAACCAATGGAGCAGTGATTAAAAATGCCAAAATAGTTGGCCATCTTGATGAACTGGGAATGGGGTCTGCATTTTGCACAACAAAAGGCCTGGTTCTCCCATTTAGTGAAGGCTTGACTGTATCTTCTGTGCACTTTATGAACTTTGACCGTCCCAACTGTGTAGCTTTGGGAGTGACATCCATCTCTGGAGTTTGTAATGACAGATGTGGGGGTTGGAGTGCAAAGTTTGTTGACATCCAGTATTTTCACACACCAAACAAGGCCGGCTTTCGCTGGGAACATGAAATGGTATTGATTGATGTTGATGGCTCACTTACAGGTAATGTTACTTTTTAATTCATGATAAAAATCCATTGGAAATACGTTAGCACAGAGTTAAATTGTTAAAGCAGACTTAGGTGCATTACAGATCTTACCTAATACCAAACTTTACTAATAATTTAAATGACAGAGGCAAGCGCCAGGCACAGATGAGACATTCTTTAATGGAAGAGCCCCGAGCTGTCAGAGGCAGCCTCCAAATATGTCCTTTTTCTCCTGCATTGGCACATTGATTTTAAATTAACAGAAAATTTGGGGCAATATTCATGGAAACATTGTTCACAAAGGGAAACCATTTCACTTTTAGAATGCCTCCATTTTATACTCAGTTAAATTGCACAGAAAAGAAACTGCTTACATCACTACGCTAATTCTCCAGCCAGTCATGCTCCAGAAACATATAAATTGCAGGCTTATTTACAAAAGCAATGTAGACAGACTGGATCTATCCTTGTGAAAATACTTTTAAGAGAAGAAATAAGTCACAAACCTGCTGTGAACCCTTTTCTTCCAATCTAAATCCTAAATTTTTAATTTATTCAAAGAATACCAAAAGAGAACAAAATTCCATATACATTGTAGGTTAAATTTTTTTCAGCATTTCAAGTTCGGAGTAGGTCACATTTTGAATATTTCATAAATATTCATGATTTCTAGAATTTAGCATTTTTACAAATTGTAAATGATAAAAATCTGTCTAAATAAGATAGCAAGGCTATGTGCCTCGTACTCTGTGAGTCAATCGACAGGTAAACCTATAGACAATAATGATTTACTTTTGAAAGACTCTGAAGGATGAAAGAAGATTCATCTCAAAATTCAAATGCAAAACTTAAGTTTTCATCCACAGTCGTTAATTGTGACTTTAAAGAGGGAGAATGTTTGGATGCCTTTGGTAATGTTTATTGATTTACTTAATTCAGTTTAGGTTTTGAACATTAATTGGTAGTCTACCAGTTTCGAGTAAAGGCTTTATAGTCATAACACCTGGATTTAAATCCTCCGTGTCCTTGAATAGGCTACTCATCCCAATTCCCATTTCCAACTTTAACTCTCATGGGTGCTTCGCACCCTGTGTTTCAGCTAAATCCACAATAACATTCCTAACCAAAGAGGCACTGCAATGCTTCTGTATGAGATCCTCTTGCTCCATGCAAACAAACAAACAAACAAAAAATTACCCAAACCTTTAGATTGTATTAGTGGTACTATGGGTCACAATTCTGTATATTGTAGACCTTTTTTATGTTTCTTAATGTGAAATAAAAAACATTTTGTTTGTTTCCCAGGGCACAAAGGACATACCGTCATTCCACACAGCTCATTGCTAGACCCTTCTCATTGTACTCAGGAAGCTGAGTGGAGCATCGGGTTCCCTGGATCAGTCTGTGATGCTTCAGTCAGCTTTCACCGTTTAGCGTTCAACCAGCCTTCTCCAGTATCTCTGCTTGAAAAGGATGTGGTTCTTTCAGACTCTTTTGGTAAGTGGAATATATTAGTTTAAACAACTAATTTAAATATATCTTCCTAAACTTTTGTCATCATCTTCTTGCATTGTTACTTGGTTGTTCAAACACTGCAGAAAGTATAATATTTATATTAGAGTCCAAGCAGGAAGCAAATAATACTCTTAAAGTAGGTGTTTGAGAAGCATTTTATAAATGCAGAGGCTAGCACAGTATTCTGCTTATCAAGAAACCTCCAGACAATATTATGATAGAGAGAAGGAATGTTGGCATAGCCCTTGGAGCAAGTAAAAATGTAGCAGTGTTTCTGCCATTCAAGGCAGATGTTTTTGATTGTCCTTGCTGATTGAGATGGGATGGGGGAGCATTTTCTAGGTAGCTGCCTACCAGGTGCCAGAGATTGTGGATTTACTGATTTGTTCCAGTAAAGGTACAATACCTGTAACACCAGATATGCTTGACATCATTACCTGACTATGTTGCATTAATTTACTGTCATTGTTCATAATCCATCTGGCATTTGCACCAGCCAAACAAACAAGCTAACTAAATGGGGATGTGGTGAAAATCCTGAATCTCACATTTCTTAATTCTTCAATCATGGCACTAATCTCTGCATTTCCCCACTACCCCCACCCCACTAGCAACTCCAGGATTTAAACTTGCTTTTATTTAATTAAGGGGGTGGCAAACATGGTTCCTAGAGTATAGAGTATCCACATAGTTCCTACTACTATATTTGACCCTGCTCTGTTAGTTGGGGAACCAGTTTGGGAATTCTTCCAGTTACTAACTGTGTCTAGTGTCACTCTACCTGACCTAACCCATCCTGACTGGCTCAGATCTGTATCTCTATCCCTTTATCATTCCATCCATCATCTCTCTAGAAATTATTAGTTAAAATATCTATTTATAATGAATCCACTCTCACAATATACACTGTTCTGTGGGACTGTGGATTCTGAAAAATGGAAAAAGCATTGATGAATCAAAGATTTGCTAAACAAAATCTTAATACCATTGTCAAATATGGGTTTTTTTTTTTACATTTTCTGGGTAAATCTAAATGATGCAATTTCTTGACAGCAATATGGAAAACTGTAATCATCAAGGTGTAAACACATAATAAGGAATCATAAGTATAGAAAAAGAGTTTAATAACAGAATCCAAGTGCACTTATTTTTCTCTTATAGTGTCAACATTTACCATTTCCCATCAGTATTGCAAATACTTTCATGTTACTTTAAAATGCTATCAATATTGTTGATTTTTCCCATTTAATGATATTTGCAAAGTAGAGACTTGCCATTTAAAAATTTTAAACCATGTGTCTCAATATAAACCAATTAAGATTTGAAAATGTTTAGCATAATTATACCAGCCACATGATAGCTGCTAAAATTACTTATGTCAAACCCATCAGGACATGCTGGAATTTTGTTATTACGCTCCATGTTGTCAGCTTCTCTTATTAAGATATTTCTTAGAAGAATTTCAACTTCTGTCCTCATTTCAAACGAATGCAGTCTTTTAGATTTTATATATGATTCAGGAAGGCAGGTATTTCTGAATTTATGACATAATAGCTTTCTTGTCAAGTCTCTCTGTGCCCTTTAAGAATTAAGATTTTTTATTTAGTTACTAAACTGTGAATACCTAGAGGGTAAGATCTACAAACTTATCTTTCTGACACCACAAGACTCATCACAGAACATTGTAAATACTAAGTACTTGGCAAGTGTTGAATTCAATGGAATTAGTTGCAATACTCAGACCAGATTGCAAATACTCAAATCAGATTTTATATATCTGTTTCCACTGTACATTCTGGAACTGGAGAAATAACCATAACATGTACCCATGACCCTACTGGACTCACTGTGAGACTAAGTGAAGACTCATCCATCACTTGCCCTTGATAAGCCCCTACTGTGGCTGGTGGGCCATGTTAGCATGTTGGCATTGGTGACTTCCAGGATTATTAGCATCAGTTTAGAGCTAGGATCTAATAATATGGAAGGTCTGGTTATTTTTCTTTCCTTAGTATAATTGGTCACAGACCTCTTTCACTCAGTGGTGAGGCTTTTGGTCTGTGAATTGGCTTGGATCTAGAAAATAGGTCAGAAGCAGTGAATTTCTACCTAGGTAATTTGAGTTAGACTTCTGCCATCTAAGACCTCTATTAGTTTTCTTCCTATATGCACACCAAATATCACCTTAATGTGCTACTCTCTATTTAATCTTTGGAATCTCAAGATCAATCAATCAGTTATCACAGATTCCTGCAGGTCAGAACACTCTGATTAATCCTCTGCCCAGTGACTATTGTGCTAATTAAATCTACCTTTATATCTAATGGTTAAGCACTGACTCCTGCCACTTTTAGATTCCGTTATTCCTATTGGGATCAAAAGACACAATCCCATGGCAGCATCCCCTACCAGCACTTCTAGCACTGAAAGAACAGCTACAATAGAACTCTTCAAAGGGCTAGTAAGGGGCAAATGCTATTGCCATTGCTGGCCCTGAAAAGATGAAGGGAAGGAACAGTACATGGACCCAGAAACAGAGCTGTATGAAGAAGGCTGCCTGAAAGAAGCTGTGCCCCTTGGTTGAGAGATACAAGAGCCCACCAAGATCCCCCTACATTCCCTAAGGGTGAGAGTCAGGGCAATAAATACCTCTCTTTCACCTTTCTCCTTCCCTTTCTTCTCTTTACTGTGTTTCCTACTGTCCAAAGCCAACCAGAAGCCAGAAGGCAAAGGAGCAGGTTAGAAAAGGGTGAAAAGTGGATCTACAGGAGAAAACATAAGTGTGCAGCACCACTTCCATGATTCATTATGATGATATAAATTATTACATTTAATTTTAAAACATTTTTTCTAGTTTTTTTTCCCCGTGTGAATTAAAAGGCTCATGTACCTGCTATTTGAGTAATAGCTATACCCACTGTCACAGTGCCTTAATAATATAAACCCAGAAACCATTGCTTTTCTTCTGGTAAATAGATGTCCAGAATGGAATGATGTTACTTAAACTTTTAAAGTCTGTGGTACAATAAAATATTTTAAACAAAATATCCGTGAATGTTTCTTCCAAATAAAAACTGAAATAAAAGGTAACCAAAACATCAAAAGCAAATGAAGTTATTTTATCTAATGAAGTGATGTTTTAGTATTTCCCATTGCTGTATCATAGAATAGTTTTTTATTTAATCATCCTTTTACATACTTTATGGCATACCTGTGAGTAAACTGAACATTAGTATTTTATTAAAACATGATTTAAGATACACTTTTACGGAAACGCAGAGATGTGCAACCTTCCTAAGTAAATTATTTTAAATATACAACATAAAGTATATATTCCTTTAGTAATTTTTAAGCACTAATATTCAAATATCTAAGCTTTCAAATCTCTAAGCTTTCTTTATATGGTCATTTTTAGTGGTGGTGAGGATTTTCAAAAGGAGCTTTTGTTTGCTTATTTGTTCATATTCTGGTTTTTTGATTCAGGAAATCTGGTTATTTCTGAATTTATAAGATTATAGCTTTCTTGTCAAGTTTCTCTGCACCCTTTGGTCTATTCCCTTCAAGAATTAAGATTTTTTATTTAGTTACTAAATTGTACTACCTAGAAGTCAAGATCTACAAACTTACCTTTCTGACACCACAAGGCTCAACACAGAACATTGCAAATAGTAACTACTCAGCAAGTATTGAATTAAATGGAATTAGTTGCAATACTTAGACCAGATTGCAAATTAGAGAAAACACTATACCAGGCATTTTACTTCTGTGTGTGAAAAAAAAAAATCAACTGTATAGTAAAGTACACTTGGCTACTTTGGTCTCCATTAAAATCAAATAAAATTATTTACTTCTACAATTTAAAAACAGAAAAAGATAACTTGTCCTGATTGTATGTGTATGCTAAGTGAAACAAAAGTTTAAAAGTATACTAGGTTAGTGGGAAGTAAGGGGTCGCTATAACTTTATATATGTCCTTATATATCTTTATCAAAGCATCTCATGCATGATAGTGTATCTTCATGTAAATATATGTATAAAGTTATACCAGATGGCAAATTAACTTGAGACGCTAACTCTTAATGATCCTATTTTTAGAAAATAAAAACTTCAAAGAGTTTATATTTCAGTCCAAGACACTTAAAACAGACATACTTGAAACGAGTGCAGCTTAAAAAATTAGGAAAAACACAACTTACAAAAATGGAAATTTGTTTCACTTAAAAACTGAATTATTAAGAAATGTCAGGTTAAAATGCAATCCCAAGCATCAGAAAACTTCACCGGAGGCTGGGTGCAGTGGCTCATGCCTGTAATACTAGCACTTTGGGAGGCCAGGGTGGGCAGATTACTTGAGGTCAGGAGTTCGAAACTAGCCTGGCCAACATGGTGAAACCCTGTCTCTACTAAAAATACCAGAAAAATTAGCCAGGTGTAGTGGCGCATGCCTATAATCCCAGCTACTCGGGAGGCTGAGGCAGGAGAATTGCTTGAATCCAGGAGGTGGAGGTTGCAGTGAGCCGAGATCATACCACTGGACTTTAGCCTGGGTGACAGATCAAGACTCCATTTCAAGAAAAAAAAAAAAGAAAGAAAGAAAGAAAAAAGAAAGAAAACATCAGTGGAATTTAGTTCTGCAAATCCAAGAGCAAATTCTAGAGATTTTGGATGATTTTAATCAGCTCTTCTATGTTAACCATTCACAACAGACTATCTCAAAATTCAATAGCTTAAGCCTACAATCGTTTATTCTTAGATGTCCAGAGGCTAGGTTGATTGATCTAGGCTGGGCTCTACTGGGAGGCTCTGCTTCAGTATGAGACTTTGCTTCTTGCCAAGGGCTGAGCTCAGGTAACTCCACATGTACTTGTTCCAGGTGTCAGGCAAAGGGAGAGCAGTTACCTGGGGGAGGCTCTTCTCTTTGTGAAGATAGAGGCTCAAGAAGTCAAGCCTCACTGAGCAAGCACTTTTCAAGCATTTGCTAGTGTCAGTTCCACTAATGTCCCATTGGCCAAGATCAACGAAGCAGGGAAGTCTACTTTGTCCTCAAGGAGAAGAGAGGAGTGGATATTTGTTGGATAATAATCCAATAATTATGACTAATCCAACTATAGTCATAGTTCTTTTCATACTTTTCAGGATTTTTTGGTAGTGAAAGTTTTTGGTGCCTCTGCTCGTGAATCTTTTAAAATTAATACTAACTCATAAAGCATAGAAATTCATGAATTTGTTCTCTCACGACATTGGAATTTTGTTTGGCTTTACTTTGAAAAGTAAATGAATGACAGATTATTTTATAATCTTGCTTCTAGCTTCTTCCTCCTAAATTTTTTTTTTTTTTTGAAACGGAGTCTCGCTCTGTCGCCCAGGCTGGAGTGCAGTGGCCGGATCTCAGCTCACTGCAAGCTCCGCCTCCTGGGTTTACGCCATTCTCCTGCCTCAGCCTCCAGAGCAGCTGGGACTACAGGGGCCCGCCACCTAGCCCGGCTAGTTTTTTGTATTTTTTAGTAGAGACGGGGTTTCACTGTGTTAGCCAGGATGGTCTTGATCTCCTGACCTCGTGATCCACCCGTCTCGGCCTCCCAAAGTGCTGGGATTACAGGCTTGAGCCACCGCGCCCGGCCACCTCCTAAATTTTTAAAATAAGAGGTTGTTAATTTAATAACAATCCAATCTGAGATGAAAAGTAAAGGAAGGGGAAAAAAATAGGGGCAATGAATGAAAGACCTTTCCTTTGTATTGTAAGAGAACTTTTAAAATCTTCTATTAAAGTTATCAGGCACTCTCTTGTGACCAAAGCATTACTAAATTATACAGTTTTTCCCATAACAGGTAGTTCAGGTTCAAAGTTCGTATTCGTAAAATGTATGTATCTTCATCAGTGTTAAGTTATAGGTCTAGTTATAGCCTTGTTCTTTAAGAACTCTAAATCAAAACTCCATTAAACTCAAACAAAACTATTTACTACTAAAAATTAATATGTGTTGTACAGATTTTAATTAGCTCAACAGATATAGGAAACTAATAAAGAGTCAGAGCTTATGTTTTTATATATTCTACATCAAGGATTCTGAATAAGTTCTTAAAGAATAAAAATGAAATTATGTTTAGATCAATGATCTTTAAATAATTATATTAATATATTTAGGCACTTTCGTTTTAGCAGTTGTAATTTCACAAGGTTTCAAGTATATCTTTCCCTAAGGAATAGAGGCTCCATCTCAATTCAAAATTCCAAGTTTGAAAGCATTTTACTTTCCAGTTGAATGTAATATTAATCATTTCAGTTCTTCAGTTAAATGAAGACATTTAGAACATAAGTAATGAAATGCTATATTAATCTTTTTAAAGACTTTCATAGACTAAACCAATATTTGCTAAACCAACTAAACTAAACCAACATTTGCACTTGTTTATAAAAGGAGGAGTTTATTAGAGGTAGAGATTACTATTATTTGCGTGTTCTATGTTCTCCTATAGGCACAAGCATTATTCCATTTCAGAAGAAACGACTGACTCATATGTCTGGGTGGATGGCTCTGATTCCAAATGCAAAACACATTAACTGGTATTTTAAAGGTGTGGATCACATAACCAACATTTCATATACATCAACATTTTATGGATTTAAGGTAAAAATATTTATCTTCTAATGATTATAATTGCTTATTACCCAAACACAGCCTACATCCTCATACTTACTCACACACATTGTCAGGCCAGAGGGACCTTTTATCACAAATTGACCTGTTGAAATCCTGCACATTCTTCACGAACCCTTCTGAATCTAAGAAGTAAGCAAAAAAAAAAAAAAAATTCATTAGAGAATCAGAAGTAAGCAATCTTTCTGCCACATTGCTGTAGTACTAAGCTTATTCCTCTGTCATTATTACCATGATAATAACTTACCTTTACTGAGTGTTTATGATATCTCAGGGATCAGCAGTTAAGAACTTTATTTTTTATATCATGAAATAGATCAACCATACCTGAGGTCAAGTGTTAGAGACCAGCCTGACCAACATGGTGAAACCTTGTCTCTATTAAAAATACAAAAAAAAAAAAAAAAAAAAATAGCCAGGTGTGGTGATGGGCACCTGTAGTCCCAGCTACTTGTGGAGACTGGGGCAAGAGAATCGCTTGAACCCAGGAGGCAGAGGTTTCAGTAAACCAAGATCACCCTACTGTACTCCAGCCTGGGCAATAGAGGGAGACTCCATCTCAAAAAAAAAAAAAAAAAAAAAAAAAAGCCACTACCTAACTCTATCTAAATCTAACATTCTGTGAATATTTACTTTCTAATTTATATTAAAAAAAAAGGTAGATGAAGTGGAAGCCCTCTGTATTATTTACTGTCATCTCATTTCCTATTCTCCACCTCTAATGGTAGCCAGTATCCTGAATTGGATGTTTTCCATCTTATACATGTTCTTCCACTTATACTACACATTTGTGCAGCATTGTTTTAAATATTTTTAAACATTATAGAAATAAAATATTGTCTACAATTGTATCTGTCAATTTTTTAAATATTTTCTAAATGTATGCATACATACATACATCACATATATGTGTGTATGCATATATATACACTATACATGTGTATACTTAATGTATATGTGTATATATATACATACACACAGGAGAGAGAGATCCTTTCATTGCCTTAGTGACAGAACTAGCATTATTGTCATAGACATGTAAAATGTTAATAAACAAAATAGAAATTCAAGACAAAAAACAAACTAAAGCCAAAACTTTTAAATCTTAACATAATATAGGGGCTAACTATATATCATTAAAATTAATGTGTCATATGAAGAATATTAACATACAAGTGACATTTTTCTACAAACTTTTATAGGAAGAAGACTATGTAATTATATCACATAACTTCACTCAAAATCCTGATATGTTTAATATTATTGATATGAGGAATGGTTCCTCAAATCCATTGAATTGGAATACTAGCAAGAATGGAGACTGGCACCTTGAAGCAAACACTAGTACTCTATATTATTTGGGTATGTGTCATTAGGCAGAAGTGATATTTTATCTGATGCTTTGTCTAAAGGAAGAGTAAAATTGCTTAATAAGCAAATGTGTTGTACAGTGCTTAATATATATAAGATTCAATAAATGTTTGCTGAATGGAAAAACTGGAGAAAAAAATTATTCTTGAAAAGGATTTGAGTTGAATTAAGAACTTTCATTTTATGTTGAAGGTGACACCAGCATGCTTACACATTGACAGTTTTATTTCATAGACTTAGAGAGAATGAATACAATGGAAGCTGGTATATATTTTGTTTCCATTTTTATTATTTAATTATTTGGAAAATTAAAATATGTAAGAATAAATTTTAGTTAAATTCTAAAACATTCATTTTTATCAAAATATTTGACTATGTATGTCTTTATAATATGTACATCATCAGAATTTCTCCACATCTCTTCCATACATATGAATTATAATTCAAGTTACTACCTAAAGAACATTTTCCAAAATGCCATAATTTTGTTTACATTCAAGTACTTTGGTCACTATGTTCATTTAACCCATTTTTACTTTTTACTTCACTTTCAGTGTCAGGAAGAAATGACCTTCATCAGAGTCAGCCCATTTCTGAGAACCTGGACCCTGATGTGAAAGACGTTGTTATTAATTTCCAAGCTTACTGTTGTATTCTCCAGGATTGCTTTCCTGTACATCCCCCATCAAGAAAACCAATTCCCAAGAAGCGACCAGCCACGTATAAGTATATAGGCCTTTTGTAGTTGATACCCTCCAATATCTCTTAACATAATCCTTTTCACATGTCACTCCTGGGTGAAACAATAATGCTTTACTTCTGCACAATGTCTTGTAGGTTACAAAGTACTTTCACACTCATTGCTTTGCTTGAGCCTTACAAAAACCTTCATAAGAAAATGAAAAAGTCTTACAAAAATTACGTGTGAAAGTTACTGGTAACCTCACAGTTGCAGAATGTTAGATTTAAATTATTAGACCTGGCCCAATTCCCTTATTATATAGATGAGAAAGCTGACACCCAGTGAACATAGGTGCATTACCGGAGATCACAGAGCTCACTGATGCATATCCAGTACAGCACCAGAAACTAAGTCTCCTTGAGAATCCAATGCTTTCTTAGCAGGTGCTGTCTCTAGAATAACCACCGTGGTCAAATTTCATAATAGAACTTAGTTAATTTTCTTTCAAATATATTTTAATTCTTCTAGTTAAAAACAATATTTCTATCTTTGTAACTTATGTAGCTCTTTACCTTTATTTCTCATGTGAAGCATCACTTTCTACCTTGTATTAGAGTAATTACTGGACATGATGGTACTAGTACATTCAGTATTAGTCTTTAAGACCCTGAAAGGCATCATCCTGATTTGATGTATATTTGCATCCCTTATGGACAATACTACTGATAAAAAATCATGATGATGCTAAAAGCTAACATTTAGTGAGCACTGAATAGCCCACTACTGTGTAACAAGTACAACTCAATGATAATTATTAGATGAATTACATTTCAAAATAAATAGATACTGTAGCAGTTATTGTACAAAAGAACAAAAATTGAATTTGTTTATATATTCATTAAACCACTAAAAAAAAAATTACTGAGTATCCACTATGTGCCAGGCATTTTTGATTCAATTATAAACAACATAGATGTGATCTCTGATCTCATTATACTCATATTCAATCCAAAGAGATGACAAAACAAGCAAATAAACAAACAAAAAGGTAAACAGAAGATAAAGTATGTAAGTGTGAGTTGCAATAAATGTTATAAAAAGAATGGATATGGGGCTTGGACAGAGAGCAATATGGCAGGGACAGCCTTTGGGTGGGGTGGTTAGGAACACCCTTAAGGAGGGGTTATTCCAACTGCAACCCAAAGGATGAAGAAGAGCTTGCTGAGTGAAGGGTGGGAGAGATCTAGGGAGCAACTTGTGCAGGTGCCCTGACATAGAAAGGGTGTGGCATGTCCAAGAATGGAGAGAGAATCATCAAGGCCCTTATGCATTCTAAGGTAGATATAATTATTAAATAGTTAATTAACATTTATTATGACTACTATAACAGATTTAGATTGCTCTAGGCCAGAATGTGATAAAGGTAAATTATGATAAACTATATATATATGCCATGGTATAGTTTTTCTTTCTTCCCACAGTATGAATTTTCCCTACTGGAAATAGTTATAATTGGATTGATTAATTTGTATTATTCAACTAGCTATGAATAATACAAAACAAAACAGTATCTTGACCCAGAAGTGCTACCTCAGGATTAAAACAGAAGGCTCAAGCTATATAACTTAATGCTTACTTTAAGTGGGCTTTGTTGATCGTACAATGAGAAATAAGAAGAAGGGGAATATATAACATGATTATTGATAGTGAGTGATGGTATGGATAAGAATGAAAGGCTATGATTGTGAATGTTTTCCAGTGGGAAAATATCACCAATTTTATAATAATATCCTTCAAAAAATTTGCATTAAAAGGTATTTTCTAGAAGGAATAGTGATGAAAACTGAAGGCTGTCTGTCCTCCCATGCACTTTACAAAATTATTTCAATTTAATCTAGCCTTCACTTTGGATACAGATCTGCCACCCCCATCCCAGGCCAGGGGCTTAATGGCGTTGGTGCATCCCTGTCAATTCAGAGACCATTCTTCTACACCTTTTTTCACAGAATCTAGCGAACGATATCCTCTACCCCCACTCCCCATGAAATAGCCCATGTGTCAAAGGTCTTTAAAAGGACAAAGCATGCATTTCTTTTTTCTTCTCCACCATGTAAAATCTTATGGGGAAATGGAATGGTTTACATTTTAGACAAAATTAGGGCATATCACAACAAGTCGTAATTCACAGAAGTATTTCTCTTCTCTTTTCAGTTTATGGTCAAATGATTCTTTTTGGCAATCATCACAAGAAAATAATTATACTGTACCTCACCCAGGGGCAAATGTGATTATACCTGAAGGTAAATACATAAACACAAAAGAATAAAATGTTTGTTTTATGTAATATTAACACTATGGCAGGGTAGATGTCACAGTTAGGTTTCCACTTTTATCAGCACACTTTGGTGAAAGAGCAAGTGTGAAGAAGTGGACTCTATTAATGCATCCCGGATACTAAACCTAGCCTTCTGGGGTTTCTGTGGATTTAAACCTGACCATTAATTAACAAGAGTAGAATTTCTGGGAGAGAGAGGAATCAGGTATTATATGAAAAGACATTTAATAAACTTACTCAAAACCAGGACTCACTGATAAGCTTGTCAATGTTTTGCTGTAGGTTGTAGTTTATGGACATTTCCATGGACTATGTTATATTTCTTAAAGTATTGTTTTATAGGAACATGGATTGTAGCTGACATAGATATGCCATCAATGGAAAGACTCATTATTTGGGGGGTTCTAGAACTGGAAGATAAATATAATGTAGGAGCTGCAGAATCTTCTTACAGAGAAGTTGTTTTGAATGCTACCTACATATCACTGCAGGTAAGAATGAGGGCCTTATAGTTTATATCTTTATTAATCTAATTCTAAGATGTATATTTACTCAAATAATAAGAAGGAAGCATATTCAATTGGTGTGAATAAAAAGTACAACTGGCTCTAGCCCATTAAATGTGAGTCTCAGGTAAGTCCAGTATATTTCTGTTCTCCTTTAAATTACGAACTAAACATTTCTTAGGAGTAGTTATTATGGGATTCTTAAGTTTGCAGTTAGCCCAGTTTCAATTCTGCATAGAATATCTGTGTCATTATGAGGTCAGGCTAAACCAACAGCTTGTTCCAACAAAGAGTCCTAGGAGTTCCGAAAAAATTAAAAGAATTTAAGCCTTTTGTTTTTTAAAGAAAACAAACAGTATTAAAAAAAAAAACCCAAAGAGATATAAATGGAATTATGAAAGCAAGAGAAAATAAATCAAAATGTTACAGTTATTCAGAACAATCCCCACATTCCTTGTAAACCCCGGATGGTCTTGAACCTGTACCAGCTTAATCAGCTCGATTGTTCTGTCAGTCTTGTAATATTGTTTATGAAAAAGAATAGCTTAGCCAAAAAGCTATTAAGCATCATTAAAATAATAAGTAGTTAGAATTATTATTATTTCTTTGAGAGAAGGAATAAAGTCCAGAAACTTGGTTATTAATATTTTTAAAGTGCATCATATTTTGATTAGATGAATGGCTTTAAGGTAAATTAAAGTTACAACTGATCTTTACCTCATTGTTTTTTAGTTGGGTAACCATGGGTAAGTTATTTGACCTCTTTCATCATTAGTTTTCTCACCTGTGAAATAATGATAATAATACTAATTCATGATTTTGGTGTAAAGAAAGGTTAAATGATATAATATATGTGAAGCCTTAGTGTTGGAAATAGCAAGCATTTAATGATAGCTGTTAGTATTAACAATGACGACTCATAAATGGCATAGCTTGGGTGTAAGCGTGAAGAGTATATCTTACGTATGGGATATTACGTTCAAATACATTATGGTCTGTTCAAACACCACTAGTTTAAGTCTTATGAAATCTCAGTTTTAGGTCTGCTTCTGTCCATAAGTAGATATTGAATTTGACCTTTGAAAAATCATTTAAACTGCCTATCCAAAAGTGAAATTAAAGTCACTTCCAGTTATAATGCTGTTCTTTATATAACAAAACTCATTCCTTTTTACTAGGGGAGACTTCCAGTGACTTCTTAATTTCTTTTTTATGGGTGGATTTTTTTTTCCTGGTCAATTTTTAAGTATTAACAATTTTCTGCTTTATTTCAGGGAGGTAGATTAATCGGTGGCTGGGAAGATAACCCTTTTAAAGGAGACTTAAAGATTGTTCTGAGAGGAAATCATACTACCCCAGACTGGGCTCTTCCAGAAGGACCAAATCAAGGGGCAAAGGTCTTAGGTGTGTGTCTACAGATACCAGAAGTGTCACATCTGTTTTGAGAATCTACTTTAAAATATATGGCACTAAAGTACCTATCAGTTCACAATGATAAATACTTTATCATAATAAGTACTTCTGATATAAAAGTGTCAGAAGCTTTTACAGAAATTTATTTTTATTTACAAAGGGTTATAGAAGTGGCAGAGATTTTTAGAATTAAATCACATCACATTTCACCAGGTAGAAACAGATATAAATGTGCATATTTTAAACCAAAATGTAATTTATTACAAAACTAGTATTAACAAATCTCTGTGTGTGTATATTATTTTTCCAATCTGGTTTTCTTCATACAGTTTTCTTTATGTAAGCAAAACTATGTTTCACATTTTTTCACTTTAAAAGGTAACTTTCCTACACATTATTCCATTTATAGTATTAATAAATAATCTGTGGATCAGTTGACTCTGCAATCAATTACCCAATCACAGCTATTGCTGAGATTTAATTTCCCAGTTGCATTGGTGTACTGTGGATATTCTTATTTGAGCTCGGAAAGCAAATGGCTTGAAAGAGTTTAACCTGGTCACAATTAAGAACTGTTTATATGAATGGTACTGCATATTTATTTAGGAGACACATATAAGCATGTGCTACCATTGTTTTACTGTACGATTTCTAAAACTGACACCAAGTAAATAAGGGGCTAAAAATTGCTTGAGATTGAATTAGCTCACCATTCACAAATGTCCTGAAGCAGACAAATTCAATCTTTAAAAAAATTACATGTTTTAATTTCAAAAGTAATATATTAAACAACATAGAACAATATCAAGAAAACATATCTGTAAAGAATATACATCTTTCTAATTCTCTTTTAAGGACACTAGCATTAGTTAAAATTTTTTGTGTGTCTTCCTATGTTTTTATCTAGGATGCCTATATTCATATTACATATACTGATTTGTGGTGATAGTATTGTTCCTTTCATAAAACATGGTCAAACTAAGTATATTATTATGCAATTTTCTTTTCTCAGTGAACATATTATGATAATCTTTCCTGATCAAAATGTACAGATAAAACTCTTTTTTATAGCCTATTATTCTACAGTATTAGTATATTAAACTTTATTCCATCCTTTTCCTTTTGATGTATATTTGGATTAATTCCAGTTTCCTCATGTTTCTAAATATTACTGTGGTAAGCATCTTCATTCATGTACTCTTGTATACTGGCTTTAATGTCTATGAGCCAGAGTTCCAGAAGTGGGTTAAAGGGTCAAAGTCTTCTTACATGGCTCCAAGCAGAGAGCACCAATTCATTCCTTTCATTCTAAAATGTTTAATCACATAATAAAATATATCAATGAACATTTTCATTTTATACTAGCACCTAACTCAGTACTGTGTGGTGAATAAATAGGAGTGTGCTTTTCTTCTTTAGGGGTGTTTGGTGAGCTAGATCTTCATGGAATTCCACGTTCAATATATAAAACTAAGCTCTCAGAAACTGCAGATGCAGGTTCCAACGTCCTGTCTCTGATGGATGCTGTGGATTGGCAGGTAGAGAAAATAATTATGTAATGGAACATCAATATATACAGTGGGTCAGCTGAAAAAATGTCTGTTCTACTCTCATGGGCATTCATTTTATCATGTATTTAGCCAGATGAAAAATGGGTATTTTGCAGTAAGCTTGCAAAAATTGACCTGATAGGAGGCATTTAAAAATTGTGGCTTCAATGGTCCTTTAAAATAAATAGAGAACATTATGTCTGTGTGCATATATACATATGTATATATATTGTATTTGTATATATTTTATGACTATATATTATGTATATACATTTTATGACATATATGACTGTAGATTAGTCATATAATATATGACTTATATATTATGTATATAGAAGCTAATATATAATATATAAGTCATAAAATTGCATATAAATTAGTCATATTTTATATTAATATATGTCATATAAGAAAAATATGAATATTTTTGGATAAAATTAAAATGACTATTAGTCATTGAAATGTATATATAATATATTAGTCATATTTTATAGTAATGTATATTAGTCATAAAAGAAGAATATGAACATTTTTGGATAAAATTATTTATTATAAATTCTTACAAAACAGAAAATGGAATTATTTAAAATATATTTTATTATCTTGGTTACCTCTTCACTTCTAATTTATGATTTTACATGTTAAGAATTTGAAAAGAAAACAAATTCTGACACCCAATGATATCCATATACTGCCTGTGTTAAATGAGATCTTTTAATAAAGTATAAATGGTAGCAATTCTCATCTCTACTGTGCTCATAAACCATGCACAAGCCATAGAGTCCACATGTTTTAAAATACAGTTTTTAATGCCAAAAAGTTAGAGAAATGAATGGATTTCATCTCCAAGCTCTCAGATCTCAGCCAGTTTCTTTCTGGTGAGAACAAGCTTTAGACTCACAGAACAAAGGGAGCCTTAGTTTGAGCAAATCAATGCAAATCATCAAAACATTTGGGTTTGCTCCCTTAGTGTAGTTTATAATGGGTAAATAGAAAGAGGGTTTATTGAGAAGTATTATGATCTATTTGCAATATGTTTTTATTTGCGATAGTTCTGGTGTGATTACTTTTTAAAGAGAATAATTAAGTGATTTTGATATCCTTATTATTTATCCAATTAATACTGTCTGCAAATTTTGTATCAAAGTAATATTTAACCAAGTGTCACACGTTTTTCTAGGCATTCGGGATTTAGTGGTGAAGAAATTTGTCCAAGCTATAACAGAACTTCCTTTGGAGTGGGAGAGTCAGATACTAAATGAACAAATAAATATCTATTAATTTCAGATAATGTGCATGATGAAGGAAATAAAACAAGTAGTGTGATAGAGACTGCCATGGCAAAGAGTAGCAGATAACATTGAATATTCCAGAGACGGTCTTTGTCAAGGGTACATCTGAGAAGAGATTTGGATGATAAGGAGGAGCTCAATATACAAAGTTCTAGGACTTAGCCTTGCCCTTTAACTTTTCTCAGGCTTTTCTGCCTTTCAGAAATAACAAGTGAGAGTTAATTGTACTAAACAAACAAACAAAAAACTAGGGAAAAAAATTCAACTCTTAATAATATTGTCCTGATCAGTTCTTAATAAAAATATGAGTATGTTTGCTTTGATGTCTTTACTTTTTTAGAAAGGTATATTGCTGTGATTTTACTAAACGGCTGAGTTAAAGTTAAGAAAATGCTCAGATAATTCAAAATTTATAATTCTTAATATCAAACACAAGCATATATATTTTAGAGACTTTAATGTACTGTTTATTCTTTCTGATAATACCGTAATTGCCAATGAGATATAAATTAAATTTGAATTATTTAATAATGATATCAAGAAATATAAACCTATTTTTAAAATTGTTCTCAAATTTGGCACTTGAATTTTTCTAAGGAGGGAGAAGAGATTGTGATAACAACCACAAGCTATGATTTCCACCAGACAGAAACAAGAAGTATCGTTAAAATCCTGCATGATCATAAAATTCTCATTCTTAATGATAGCCTTTCCTATACTCACTTGGGTAAGTGGATGCTTTTTAATCAAATAGATATATAATTGTATTGAAAGATTCACATTTTCTCTGTAATTATAATTCTTTGATAAAACATGTCACAAATATGTTAAAGGAGCATTTTATTCAGATTGGCAATGATACCCAGTGAGCGCTGCTCTTTCTCTGTTGGTTACCGATAGTCCCCGCTATGTGCTTTCATTCATTCAGCAAATATTCAGCAAAGACCTAGTGTATGACATTTTATAGGGTAAGGTTCAACACTTTCTGTTTAAAGCAAGCTTCTAGGTGATTCTTGTTCACACTGAAATTTGAGAATCCTTTATCCAAAAGCCTTGTTGTCCTAAACTGTTTCATGGATATAGTCTTTAGTGGTAAATGCATTTAGACAAGTAACAATGGAAAGATAAAACTATAATTGTTGAGGAAAGAAGGAATAAGCATGATCTGAAGATGAGTTTTCCACTTACAGGAGCAGGGCCTTCCCAGCACTCCAGCCTTTCCCCATTTGGCATGGTACCTTCATCCAAATCTCAGGAAGTGGGAGCAGACAGTAGTGTAAAGTTAGAAAATCCTTTCAGATGCCCCTGATGCTCACATGAACTCCAGATGCAAGACAGCATGATAGACTAGCAGACGTTTGACTTGCATGAAAAAGAAACTGAAAAGAACTTCTTAAAGCAGTACTTTGATAGAAGTGCATGTGTCTATAATTCTGTATCATATATTTTCTTTAAATCTAAAGAAAAGTTTTATTTGAAAAATGTTTCATTGTAATTAGTTGTAAAACAGTTGGTTTTTGAAGTTTGACATTATAGATTCTTTCATTTAAAATATCAAGCATTATTCTCTGTTTGAAATGCACCTGCTTGTCTTAAAGTTTTGAATAACATTTTGTAAAATGTGGCATGTAATCTAGGTTATGTTTTGCAAATTGTTAAGATGTAAATGTACAGATGGTATTGGATATGCTACTACCTATTGATAAAGAATCTTGTGGTTGATATAAAATATGCCACAGAGAAAGTGGAACAAACCAAGGTTTAGGTGGCGGGAGTGTTAATTGCCATGCGTTGTTGATTCTCCTCCTAGCTTTGGACAAATTCTTTTACTTCTCTATATTTCCTCATCTATTAAAATTACAATACACTTCTCAATTTGCCATACAACAGGGTTTTCATGTGTAATTTGAAGTGATTATATACTACCTTCAAGATTTGTTAAGTAGTAACTTTATACTTGCTGATGATAATAATAATTTTGATGTAAATAGAGGAAATATTTTTGGTTATATTTCATTTTATAAATATGAATATCATAATATCAGACTGCCATCTATATATGTTTAAACATGTAAATCTAATAATTCATGCATTCATGTTGAATTTTGGCTTATTAGAAAGCTGTTTAGCATATGAACTGCAAAGGAACTAGTAAAGACAGATATTTCTCAGCACTGGCAATAATCTAGCTGCCTTTACGCTGCAGCTGAAAAATACCATGTCCCTGGAACTGGTGAGAGCTACATGTTAGCAGCTGATGTTGGGATACTGAGTAGGAACATCAAAATAATTGGTGAAGATTACCCAGGTTGGTCCGAGGACTCTTTTGGAGCACGCATACTGGTTGGCTCATTCACTGAAAACATGATGACATTTAAAGGTTAGTATAAATTCAGTTTATTTTTCTAAATGAGCTATAACATGATCTCATCTATATTTAGTCAGCTCTTACATAATTCTCACTTTTTAAATAAGATTATGTGGGAAAATAAAACATAAAAAGTGATTATGTAGCCCAGGTGTTACCTTCCAAGTAAATTCTCTTAAATTACTGCTTTTACTTTTATCTTCACAGACAAAATGAATTATCAAATTAACAATGACCTTCGGTAACAGCTAGACCAGTCTTTCACCTAACAGAGATAATTTTATAATAAGTACCGCAGATCATTTGTTGCTTTTGTTTTGGTTTAAGGAAAATTTCAAGCATACACCAAAAATAGAGAAAACAATATAATGAATCCCAGTGTACTAATCACCAGCTTCAACGATGATCAGCTTTGGCCAATCTTGTTTCACCTACACCTCCATCCACTTTCTACATGCTCCTGGATTGTATTGAAGCAACCACACATTATATCATCTAGAAGTATTTTAGTGTGTAACTGTAAGACATTGTAGAAAACATCAACAAATATCAGACCTAAAAATGTTAATTTCTTAATAATAATTTCTTATCAAATGATAGTTCAAATTTCCCCAGTATCCTCCTTCCTTTCCTCCTTCCCTTCCTTCCTCCCTCCCTCCCTTCCTCCCTTCCTCCATCCTTCCTTCCTTCCTTCCATCCATCCTCTTGTTTCAAATAAGGATCTAAATAAGATCCACATTTCAACTGGTTATGAATCTTAAATCTCTGATTCATTCCTCTCTCCTTGCATTTTATCTATAAAAGAAGTTGGTCCTCTAATTCTGTGGAGTTTCCAACATTCTGGAATTTAGTGATTGCATTCCTGAAATTTAACTTGTTCTCGTCTCCCTGTATTTCCTATGCCTAGGCGATCTAAAACTAGAGGCTTCAGGCTCAATTTTTAGGCAAGAATTATGCCAGACAGCGTGTCTCAGGCCTGTAATCCCAGCACTTTGGGAGGCCAAGGTGGGAGGACTGCTTGAGGCCAGGAGTTTGATATCAGCCTAGGCAACAACCCAATTGCAAAAAAAAAAAAAAAGGAAAAGGTACAGTTGGTAGTGTATTTTTCCATCAGTAAATACATAATGTATGATTGTTTCTCTTCTTACAATGCTAATAGCTACTAATTAACATTGCCTAGATTCATTAAATCATTAAGATTTAAAATTTCCTCCTCATTTATAATGAAGAAAATCTCCTCTAAACAACCATTTGACTGCACTGAAAAATACTTCGTATAGGAAATACAGGAAAAAATGCTTGATTTTTCCTCATATTGACTAGGTTTCAAAATAATATGTTTGTTCCCAAGCATCCTCCAAAGGTGACAGGGAGTTTTTGGTTTGTTGTTAGTATCATTATGTGCTCCTGGGTCAAAACATATTTGACCTGTTCAAATCCATTGTGATTGTTAATCTGATTAATACTCAGAATGCTCCTTTATTGACTTTCAGAACCTTTTCATGTTGATGCCTGTCTTCTTGACATGAGTTAATTTTCTAAGCCTCTTTACTTTCTGATACGGGAAGCACATACTGTAATTTTTTTCTAAGACTGGAACTCAATTGTTCCTCCAAGTAATTCTGGTTCTTTTTATTGGAAGATGTTATTTGGATCCCACAATCTGGGTACTAGGACTAGAGCATCCATTCTTGATTTGAACTGTTGCTGCAGGTACTCACTTGTTCAAAACACTGCCTATTTCATTTTGCAATGGATCTATTCTAGAAAATCTTTATATTGAGAAAACAGCAATCTCGCTACAGCCTCTACTTGTTGTTCATAATCTGCCAGAGGAAGTTTAACTGATGATGATGGTGCTGCTGCTGCTGCTAATGATGGTGATGGTAATGATGATCATGACACAAGATCACGGGCACTGTGCTAGGCATTAAACACGTACTATCTCATTTAATCCTCATAATGTTATGGCATAAATATTATCCCTCTTTTAAAGATGAAGAAACAGATGAATAAAGGGGTACAGTTGCTTTGATCTTGAATATTAATCTGTGTCTTTCTCACTTCAAATTCGGTGAAGAACCCTGACAGTCTTTCCTTGCTCCTATATATTGTTTTGTGATGTGAGTAAAGATAACATATCTGTGGCTTTTGTAAGCCCAGGTGGTTTATAGTAATCATGTCTTCTCTATCATTATCTCAATTTTTCATATCTTTTCAACCATGTATATAAGAATTGGCTCATGGATTTCAAGGTAGGCTTTCTCTTCTAGTACAAAATAACTCTTCTCCAACACATTCTATTAAGTATCATTTTTTGAACAAATAATATTCTCTTTGGTTATTTTCCAGCCATGAATTCCTGGGCCTCAGGTTTTTTTTTTAACTACATGATAGAGATATAAAAGTTCCTAACTCACAGGGTGCTTTGTGAGAATTAAACCCCATATTGTCTGTTATGCATTTAGTGCAGCACTTGACACAGAGCAATCTCTCATCGATTGTTATTGCTGTTATTAGTAGTCTGTAAAATTACCCTTTGTCACCTCGATGGTACTTATAAGCTGACCAGCAGATAATTGGCAACACATATTCTGAAAGAGATTATAAAAGATAATGCCCTTAAAAGCTCTTTATGGCATCAAAAGGGAAATGTAAGGTAAATTGTATCTTATGCCTTATGCCATACATTCTTAATTCGAAAATATCACCCCCCACTCCAGGAGGAAAAACTTAGTTCTGGGGGTGGGGGCAAAAAACATAGGTATTACAATGGTTTGTGGTCCTCCAAAAGGCCACTGTACGCTAACAGATATATGGTATATATGCGTTATTAAAATTTTGTGGGAGAGTGCAGGCTATTAAGAAAAAAAATGTTGAAAAGGGCTATTTGTGAGTACAATGAAAAGAGGTCTGAGAAATACTACTTCTTCTGGATTAAAGGAGCAAAGAATAACTAATGATTTTTTCATGAAAAATTTGAACTTTGTGTAGCTTTTCAAAAATGTTTTATTCCAACTGTTTTAAGAAAAACAAATTTTAAATCTTTCCCTACCTTAGGAAATGCAAGAATAAATAATGTGGAATTTTATCACAGTGGTCAAGAAGGCTTCAGGGATAGCACAGATCCAAGATATGCTGTAACGTTTCTTAACCTAGGACAGGTTTGTGCTTTATTTTTAATTTTGTGTATATTAAAAATACGTAAACTATTTTTATTTTCACGTGACTTCTAAATAGCCACATCTTATATTAGCTAAAATTATAATCTAATATAATAAAACTTTCTTGGCATTAACTTTTTAGACCTATATAAGTAGGATTTGATTCCATCCATATTGTGTACTTATTTAAGGCCAGTAAAAATCACAGGAAAAGTAGTATAGAGGGTGAAAAAATTGAAGATCTATAATAGTGGTTTATATATCCACTTTATTTTGCAATGACCAAAAACATTTTTCCAAATGGTTTCTATTAAACAAAGAGAGTATTGCTCAAACTTCTCAAATGAAATGCATGTCTGATCTAAGCCTCCATCAACAGTGGGAAAATAAATATTCCTAGAGGGCTGGTGATTTAAGAAAAATGAGAGACAGGATATCTCTTAGTAGAAATAAATAAATAATCTTTTGGGTTTAAATTGAAACCCCAAACCTGTTCACTGAATGGTTCCTATAGACATTTGAATAGTAACTCCTTGCCTAAAGTATTTTTTGTAATTAAAAAAAATCCCTGTCATCATGAACTATTCTTAAAAAAGTAATTTTTAGCACCTTAGCATTTTATAAGTGATAATAGGAATATAAATGCATAGAAAAGCACTTAAGAATTTTGAATCTGCATTTAAAGTAAGCATATATATTTAATATATCTAATAATAAATTCAGATACATGGAAATTTGCATATTTTATATATGGATATATTAAAGATTTATGGAGAAATCATCTTTAAGAGAAAGTGAATTGAGTATTGATGATTGATCAAGATTTACTGAAAATCATTTACTTCAATTTTTTTCTTTAAATATATTGTAATTTTATTTTTAAAATGTTCTCTGTATCCCAATGTTTTATAGATTCAAGAACACGGTTCATCCTATATTCGAGGCTGTGCTTTTCACCATGGCTTCTCTCCAGCAATTGGTGTATTTGGGACAGATGGATTGGACATAGATGACAACATAATTTACTTTACAGTGGGAGAAGGTAATATAATAATATTTTGGTCCAAATTACATGTCCTGTGGAGGCTTTCTTATCTGTAAACTCTAAAGCCATACTGCCCAATTGATCTTTCTGTGAGGATGGAAATGGTCTATATTTATGCTGTCTAATAAAGGTAATTACTAAATCACATGTGTCTATTGAGCACTTGAATTATGGCTAGGAGCTGAATTGTGACTGAGGAAATGAACTTTCAATTTTAATGGTACATAATTTAATTGCACTTAATATACATTTAAATAGCCACATGTGGCTATGGCTATCATATTAGACAATATAGCCCTATAACATGGAAGAATTTTTACCAGACCACATTCTTATATGAGTTATCTAATCACTAATTATTTAAATGTAATACTCCTCACATATAAATCACAAATATTATTACAAATAAAGTTTATATACAACTTTAGACATATTATATTGATTTTTGTCAGTATAAAGTATAATAAACTTATTTAATTTATATAAAAGCTGTGGGTTTGTTAAATAAAATCTGAGATGAACCCTGTGAACCCACATATTTAACAAGCACCCCAGAAGATTCTAATTCAGGTAGTCTATTAAAGAGGGAGAGTTCATTATCAAAGAGTTCAGAGGAATCTTTCAAAAATCTAAGAGGATCATTTGTCAGGCTCAAAGTAGAAAAATAATTTTATGGAAACCAAAAGACATTACTCATAATAGTCATTTCAAATTGACTTATGTATTTTGGGGATTTTCTTTCCTTTTTTCCTTTTTTTCTTTTTTTCTTTTTTAACAGGTATAAGAATATGGGGGAATGCCAACCAAGTCCGAGGGAATTTGATTGCACTTTCGGTTTGGCCAGGAACCTATCAGAACAGAAAAGATTTAAGTTCAACTCTCTGGCATGCAGCAATTGAGGTAATGAGAACAAACTTATAATTATACTAACTTATAATGATATCAGTGATTGAAAAAATATAATAAAATGAGCTAACTAAAGAAGTGAATGCACTTTTAAAAAGATGATGTAAGTTTCGGTAGCCATTGGTGTATTTTTTTCTGTTGATGTCTATTGGTTTAAATAGTTCTCTTACCTCCTTTCTTCTCCAACATTATTTCAAGTTCCAGTACAGGGCCTCTTTGCTGCTAGTACTTGACTGAGTGCTTTTGGCATATTACTACTTAATTCTGAATTTAGTTGCCTCCCTAAAAATGAAAATAGACAATGAAATCTCTAAAATCCTTTTCTCATCTAAAATGGTCATGATTCTACATGCAAGGTTATTATACTTATCTGATATTACTAATTGGAACCTTCTTGTTTCCCATGAAGTTTCTTCAATTACTGTAAGTGTTTGTTTAGATATAGAGTAAGATTACCAACAAGAAAAGAGAAAGTGGAGGAGATACCTTCCTCCTGCCTTTACCTATGACATAGAATCGAAAGAAATTAAAAATAGTTACCTTTGAAAGATGGGATAAGGATTGAGTTTTTTTTTTTTTTTTGCACAACTATTAATACCTTAAGGTAAAATCTGAAAACTGAAATTTGGTACACATTTATGAGGTAAAAAATAATCTCTTTTTATCTGTTTATACATATTAAATGTCAATTCCAAATCTTTAAGGCTATTTGTGTCTTTTGAAAGAAAAGGTACTTAATTGACATTTATGAATTCATGTGACTCTATTTTAATCAAAATATTTAAAAATAAATGTGTTTAATACGATTGCAACTTTTGACTGTTTTGCTGACACCATAGGCAAGAATGATATGTGTGCTGTATGCTTCCATTTTTTTCTACTTTGACTTGGCTTATAAAATAAAATTGTTTAGTAATTACCTAACACTCATGCTAACCTACTTTGTGATTATAGCAAATGTTATGCAAACTAGTCAATGTCTCCACTGAATCTTATGATCCACTGTCATTGCCTCAGTTGTCTTTTTTAAAATAAATTAATCAAATTGGTAACAAAACATAACTAAAAAGAGCCTGTAAAAAGAGCTTGCACCTGTAATCCTAGCTACTTGGGAGGTTAAGAGGATTGCTTAAGCTTAGGAGTTTGAGACCTACCTGGGCAACATAGCGAGACCCTGTCTCAAAAAATATATATATACACACATAATTTTATATGAATATATATTTATATTAAACATATATAAATATAATATATAAATATATATTTATCACTTTTTCAGTGATCACAAATTCCTGAACAAAGTATTAACATTCTTGTTACCTTGTTATAATACTGGAACTTGTTCTGTGCCTTGTAAATTTTAAACCACATTCAGTGGATTTTGTGACTGAAATAAGAAATAATCTCTTTAATGTAGTTTTTAAATGAAGTCCAGGCTATAGTACTTAATGATGGTTTTCCACCAAGAACCTAGTGTAATTTCAGTACATCACTTGTAATTAAGTTTGAATGGGGTAAATAATAAATTAAATTTTTCCTCCTGAAAATGTAGTCATAATTAAAGGTTTTCATAAGTATATTGTCATATAATTACTCTCAATTTATATAAATGTTTACTAGCCTGATGCACAGTATTTTCTTTTAAATCATTGCACTAGATAAATAAAGGGACCAATACAGTTTTACAGAATAATGTAGTTGCTGGATTTGGAAGAGCAGGATACCGCATTGATGGTGAACCTTGCCCAGGTAAGTCTTTTAAACCATGAATCGCTAAAACTAGGAAATAACTTGTCCAAAATTGTTAAAATAAATAATTATTGTTTGTTAATTCAATATATAATATCTTTTCCTTCTGGTCACTGAAATAACTCAACAAGATAAATTATTTCAAGATAACATTGGATCTAAAAAAATAAATAGGTTTCTAAGGAAAACTTTATTTTCCCAAGTTTATGATCCCAAAACTCCAACAGCAACTTGAGTTGTTGATTTGGTTGGCATTGGGACAGTAAGTACCTCATCCCACCAGCATTTTTACAAAAACAGCACTTATTATAGAGATACATGTTGACATACACCATTATTTTAACTTCTACTTTGATAGAATAAATGTTCACTATTCATATGTTAAACCTGCATGCATCAAAAAGTCAATGAACATGAACAGACACTTCTCAAATATAGATTTCTCTATATTAGATTAGTAAAAATTAAGAACTAACTGAGCATCTACTCTTTTGACAAGGCTGTAGGGAAAGCAAAACATTTACACCTTGCTGGTTGAAGGACAAAAGAGTATCATCTCTGCTTAGGGTAACATGACAACATCCACCAAAATAACACATGCATTTACCTTTGACTCAGCATTTCCACTTCTATGAATCTAGCTAACAGTTGCCTTTACAAACTTAGAAAATTATTTATGAACAAGGTTATTCATCACAGCATTGTCTGTACTAGCAGAAAACCGAAAGCCATTTGTGTCCCCCAGTGGTAGAATAGTTATATAAAGCCAGACGATGGAACACTAGACTACTCGAAGAAAGACAGCAGAAGAGTTCAATGTATTGATATGAAGAACTCTCTAGAATATTCTTAAGTGCTAACTGGAGAGTGCAAAATAGTTTATATAATACTATTTTAGGTATAATACATATAAAATATGTTTTGTGGAAGAAAGGGAAGGAATCAGAATGTATATGGTATTTGTATTTACATAAGAAAATTATAAAAATCATAGAAAGTAATTGAGAACAAGGGAACTCAGTACTTATAATTGTATACTTTTTCAATAACCTCTATATTTTCAACCATGTAAATAAATTATTACGAGATCAAAAAAGTAAAATACACAATAAATCTGCAGACTTTACCCCTCAATAAATTTAAAGAAAGTTAAAGAAAATGGGACTTTCTCTGGGAAATGTAGGTCCCTTCCAGAATTAATTTAAAAAAAAAAATCTCAGTATAGTTACTTTATAACAGCTTTATTTGGCATGATTTACATAGCATAAAATTCATCTTTTAAAAAATACACTAGTTAAAAGTGTGTTTATTTTTAAGATTCTTTGAATCAGCATTTTTTTTCTGTCAATTCAAACATTTTTAGACTTAAGCAGGTTTTATTCTTGTGCAAAATACATTTTGAAGGAATAAAAACTACTTTGTCAACATACTTAACTGATTCCTTGATATATGCTCTTGTTAAATATTTTAGTTCCCAACCACTTGAAGTGGCTTTTCTTTGACTTAAAATTTTAAAATATATAATTTCTTTACAACTTCAACAAAGTTATCCTTATGGATTTTTCAACATCAAAATGTGATCTTTGAATATGAGTATTTACTAGTATGTATAATGCTATGTAATGCATTTTTCAATGACTATGTTGATATTCCTAAATAATTGAGACTATTTATAAGGAGATTTTAGAGTTATAGCAACTGAGATATGAAACATCACAGAGGAATGAAGCATTTACGTTCCCGTAATGGTACATCAATTTATTCAATCCATCCCCCAGACAAGAGTCTGGGAAGCTCAGGATAGTGAAATACACCGGGTTCAGGGGTGAAACCCTATCTGTCCATGCATCTATTATTGTGTGACTATAAGGGAGAGAAATGTGAAAATCTTCTTATGCAGGAAAATTATCAAAACCAGGAAGATCATAAATAAAATGTAAAACCCAAAGGACTAGGAAGAAGGGAAAATCAATAGAAGATAAAAGGAAACAGATACCAGGGAACCTGAACAGGAGAGCTGGTATTAAATACAATTTAGGAGACGGTGCTGCTCTTTATAGACAGTCCTCCAATTCATGACTGTTTGGGGAGGCAGTTATTAAGGTTATTGAACTGATTTGGACATAAGTAAAACCTTCATTAAAATCCCCTTTGTTCTACATATTAATAATGAGTATATTTGCCATTTATTGAGAGTATTTGCTACGCACTTTATGTGGGTGATTTCTTTTTATTTTGAAACAATTCTGAATTAATCATTAAAACTTTTTACATATGAGGAAACTAAGGTCCTAAAACAACTTTCCCAAATGCCTACACCAATTGTTAAAATATTTAAAGACCACCTATCTCTGTACAACCTTCTAGGCTCCAAGAAATGACGGTGAATGAGCTAGGTGCAATGTCTTCTCTTATGAAGCTTACATATTACTAGGAGAGAAGAGATGGATAATTCACAAATAATTAATAATAAAAATATCAAGTGAAAGGAATTTTAATTGCAATGTAAAGTGACTGAGGTGTTATTTTGAATCAGGTATTTAGGGAAGGTCTTTTAAGGAAGTGACATTTGACTTGAAAATGGGATGGCCAGAAGGACATAGCAATGGAAAGATGTTTAGGGGGAGCATTTCACAGACAGTAAGCTGTACCATTGTGTTTCAAGTTTAGGCTTATTTCTATCTAAATCCCATTCTCTTTCTAATTAAATTAATGTTTACTTTAATCAGACAAAATAATGTAAGGGTGTTAACACTAAATTTTGTAAATGAGTATACAGTTATTTTAAATAACAGTGAAGAGACTAGTTAGACAAAATTAAATACTAATTAGAATAAGCCAGGCGAGGTGGGGCATGCCTGTAGTCCCAGCTACTCAGGAGGCCAAGGCAGGAAGATGGCTTGAGTTTGAGACCAGTTTGAGCAACATAGTGAGACTTTATCTTGAGAACATTTAAAGAAAAACACTAAATAGAGTGAACCATAAATGGCAGAGCCATAAAAATATTTGATCATATTAAACCTGATATCAGAATTATGTATGCAATTTTGAAAAGAATTTTGTTAACTTTAATCGATACTGCTTATTAAAACTATGTGACATGAACTGTAGCGTTCATTCTCTGGTTCTATATTTCCTTCCAAGGCCAGTTTAATCCCGTGGAAAAGTGGTTTGACAATGAAGCCCATGGGGGTTTATATGGTATCTATATGAACCAAGATGGCCTTCCTGGATGTTCTCTTATACAAGGATTTACCATTTGGACATGCTGGGATTATGGAATTTATTTTCAGGTAATTATGATTAAAGATGGTGATTTTTAATTTGTTTTATGATTGTCCTTAGTATTATGTAACCTGTAAATTCTGTTGCAGACCACAGAGAGTGTGCACATTTATAATGTGACCCTGGTTGACAATGGAATGGCCATTTTTCCAATGATTTACATGCCAGCTGCTATATCACACAAAATTTCCAGTAAAAAAGTACAAATTAAGGTAAGAAATTAATACAGCCACACCATGGGGAAAAAAATAACTCAGAGAAGGGTAGAATTACTGAAGGACTAATAAGAATAATCTCCTTAACTTCTATATGTCTCACCCACACCTCCCTGCCTTTGTTCCCACTCCCCTCTGCTTAAAAAACTGTTCATTCTTATCCCTCCTCCTCCCTTCCCTCTTCTTGTTTATCACCTGCTAATCTTGCAATAGTAATTTTCACTCCCTCTATGAAGTTTTATCTGAGCCAGTTTAGGTGGTAATGACACTTCCTCCACTTTTTTGTTCCTTCTGTTCCCTGGATGTGTTTATCACAGAAACACAATATGTCCTTATATATAATTATTTACATGTCTGTCTTCCCTCTCCTATTCTCAGTGTTTTTCCAGTTGGGGTTGCAATCACACTTTTTTCATCTTTGTTTAATGAATGATCCACTTTTTGAATTTATACTTTGTGTTTTATTTACTACAGTAGAATTCAGTATTATTCATTATCATGTTTTATTTTAGTAAGAGCTATTATTAATGCTATATTGGTTGGCTTATTTCCAAACAGAGCTCATTAATTGTTGGAAGTAGCCCTGGGTTTAATTGCTCTGATGTCCTAACTAATGATGATCCCAATATTGAACTCACTGCTGCTCATCGGAGTCCTAGATCTCCATCAGGTGAAAAATTTGAAACTTTAATGTTGGTGTTCATATGAGTGCATATTCAATTTTCATTAACTTTTTTTTTGGTAAAAGGTGGGAGAAGTGGGATTTGTTGGCCTACCTTTGCTTCAGCTCATAACATGGCACCCCGAAAGCCCCATGCAGGGATCATGAGTTACAATGCCATCAGTGGCCTTTTGGACATCTCAGGCAAGTACACAATCTTTTATAAATCTTCTCAATGAATTTCTGTAAAGAATATGTAGAGGGTAACTAATAATGTTTCATTGTCAGTAAAAATGATTTAAGTGAATTTTTATAGCAATCTGCTTAATATGACAAATCAGACATTAGAGTCAATTTCGAGAATGGTTCCTTGGCAGGATTCTTATACTGTATGTTGAAGAATTGATGTTAAATTTTCCTTCTAAAACAACAACAACAAAACACTGTATTGTGATTTAATATTAATTAATTTGTATAATTTTAAAAGCCTTTTCATGTGAGTAGGATTATATATTATCATCCCCTTTTAAAATTTAAGAACCTTAAGCTCATAGAACTTTAGTGCCTGGCCGAATTCCCACAGCTATTGGCACAGCTAGGATTAGCATCAAAATCTTCTGATTCAAACTCCACTGCTCTTTCACTGAACCAGGATGGCTGCTTAGAAATGTAAAATAATTATATAGAAATTAATGTAGTAAACACATCAATTATTTTCATTTGGCCTATTAAATAACACTGTGCATTTCCTGTTGTAATGGAGCAAGTCTCCCTTCCAGGATAATTTTAACCAGTGTCTCTTTGAAGAAAGTAGTTCAATACGTTAGACATCTAAGTTTTCACAGATTCTTCCTCACAACTTTAGATCCCAGAAATGTGAAACAAATGGGCAACATTTTTAAGTGTTAATTGCAATGATGATACCCTTCCAGGAAATTGTATAACATGCTACATAGGTTGTAATTGAACATATATGGCTTTTAATAAACAATATGCTCCAGAATATTATAAATATCATGTGCCAATGAAACTGCCCTTATGAAATGAAGCCTTAAAATTGAAGTTTATGGAAAGAACACGAATAACTATTATTCTTTCATAAGATATAGTCTTTTAAAATAACATATGAAAGTTAGTTGACTTAGATTCCCTAGAAACAGCCTTAGATGAGGACTTTTATATTAGTGGCTTCTTGGAATGCCTAGTAGAAAGGGAAGAAAGAGAACAGGGCAAGGGAAGTTGCTAAGCAAGGATGTGACATGAGCTGTAGGGTAGCTTCACTTGATGCCACTGGGAAACTCTGGAATGTAAGTTAAAATTGCCACGGAGTTGATCTCACATTTGGCGAGGTGGGTGGGGGACGGTAGTCATTTGTATCCCCATGTTAGTTTTTGGTTACAGCTGCCCCTATGGGGAGGACCTTAATTTCCCAGGTATGTGGTTCCTTTTTGGCTAAGCTAATTGTCTTGGAAAAAGGACAGTTGTTAACAGCCAATTATTCGAAGAGATGAGAGATGGGTGTACCAGCCTTTACCACTTCAGTCCTCTCTTGGGATCCCTGGGATCTACTTGCTTTTTTCATTGTTACTTACATTAAGTTATTCTACCAGGACTGATTTCTCCCAAATTCTGCATGGTCACAATTTCTGGGAAAAACTTTAAGAAGTGGGTTAGTGGTCACACTGCCACAGCTGGTCCCTAAACCATAAATGATACTCATCATTTCTCTCATCCATTGCCCTTTCTAAATTTCTGTCTTCCCTCGCTAACACTTCTGCTTGTCAAGATGGCTTGCTTGGTAGAATAGCTCAGACCCTTATCCCTGTTATAAATAGGCCCCTGGTCCATGGTGGCTCATGCCTGTAATCCCAGTACTTTGGAAGGCCAAGGCAGATGAATCATGAGGTCAGGAGTTCAAGACCAGCCTGGCCAACATGGTGAAACCCCAACTCTACTAAAAATACAAAAAAATTAGCTGGGCATAATGGCGGGTGCCTGTAATCCCAGCTACTTGGGAGGCTAAGGCAGGAGAACCGTTCAAACCTGGGAGGCCGAGGTTACAGTGAGACGAGATCACACCACTATACTCCAGCCTGGGCAACAGAGTGAAACTTTGTCTGAAAAAAAAAAGTCCCTGGTTTCTGTGCCTTTATGAAGCCATGACTTCTGTACTTGCCATTTTACAACTAATAGTGGGCATATACCGTGGTGGATCACGTGAGTGCATCCTGCCATCATTCTATAGGATAGGCCTACCTCTGCATGGTGATCAGGGTCAGTTACTTCTGCCAGATGGTAAAACCTTCTTTGTCTGATGAGAAGCCTGCAGTAACCATGAGGTAGGTATAGCTTTATTTTTTTGAGTTACTTACTGTATGTCCTGCTGAAAACACGTCTCATCTGGGAACTAAGACCTCCAGACTCATAGAACCTAAAATTTTAGTATTGGAAACACAAGTTTCCCAAGTGAACTTCCAGGGATAATGGTGAAAAAAGTTACTCCTACTTCTTGCCTTTGGTACCAGCACCCACGTATTCTATATTTTTGATATTTACCACCATATAATGTCTTTTGTTTTAGGTTAATAACACATGTTTTGCAGGTTGTTATTTCCAAAGCTGACAGCTCAGCTGTGCCTTCAAGAGTCTATTCCATCAGTCTGTTGGAGTGATTCTCCAGATGCTGTATTGTATGATTGCAGCAATTCTTCCATTGTGATCCCATTGTCTTATGCTCACCCCGTACCTATTTTGTTGAACGTGAGATCTTTGGTCTAGGGTGATGTTATGCAGGAGCTCATGCCATTAGATCACTTTGTGAGTCCTAGTATGGTGGTGCTAACTGAAGCCCTATAAGAAAAAAAACTCCCACCAGGAATACATGTCAGTACTACTCAGCATGAATTGTTACCCTTTCCAGGGTGGAATAAATCCAGTGTCACTAACTTTAAGTAAATGTTTGATTTCCTGAGGAATGGTAGTATACTAAAGACTTCATTTTAATTTCTGTGCTGGGCAACTTGGGTCAGACATTAAGTAGTGGAAGTAGCTCCACTAACCTTGGAAGGAAGAAGGCCATGCTGTTGGAGCCATGCATAGCCTCCATCTCCACCAAAAAGGCTACTCAATTCATAAGCTGATTTGTAAGGGCTGGGGTGGCTGAGGACAGAGATTAACTGATATTTGTTGGACAAATCATCCTGCCCATTTGGTTTTTCAGGTACTCTTCTGTATTGAATGCTTATTGGTAGGCAATAGCGTGCCTTTGTACCCATATTGACAGATATAGCCACAAGATTTTTTCCTGAACATCCAGTCTACTTTCTTCCAGGCCCCTTACCAACTAGCTAAGCCACTCATCACTACCCAGGAGTCCATATTTATCCTTACCTTTGATAAATTCTCTCTCCACAAAAAGTAGATGATCCTGTGTACCACCCAAATTTCTCTTAATTGGAAAGATCTTCCCACACCACACCACCCCACACTCATTCAAGGCCACCTCTGAGTTGGGCTGAAATGCATTGGAATTATATAATACATCCATTTCAATATTCCCATTTTTGAGCCTTTGACCTGCATTTTTCTCACAACATGTCATGGAAATTTGGGCATTTCTACTTAATGTGTGCCATCACTATTTCCAAGCTTTTAAAAGTCATTCCGGAATAGGAACAGCTCCAGTCTCCAACTCCCAGCGCGAGCGACACAGAAGACCGGTGATTTCTGCATTTTCAACTGAGCCTCTGCTGCTGATACCCAGGCAAACAGGGTCTGGAGTGGACCTCAAGCAATCTCCAACAGACCTACAGCTGAGGGTCCTGTCTGTTAGAAGGAAAACTATCAAACAGGAAGGACACCTACACCAAAACCCCATCAGTACATCACCATCATCAAAGACCAGAGGCAGATAAAACCACAAAGATGGGGAAAAAGCAGGGCAGAAAAGCTGGAAATTCAAAAAATAAGAGCGCACCTCCCCCGGCAAAGGAGCGCAGCTCATCGCCAGCAACGGATCAAAGCTGGACGGAGAATGACTTTGACGAGATGAGAGAAGAAGGCTTCAGTCCATCAAATTTCTCAGAGCTAAAGGAGGAATTACGTACCCAGCGCAAAGAAACTAAAAATCTTGAAAAAAAAGTGGAAGAATTGATGGCTAGAGTAATTAATGCAGAGAAGGTCATAAACGAAATGAAAGAGATGAAAACCATGACACGAGAAATACGTGACAAATGCACAAGCTTCAGTAACCGACTCGATCAACTGGAAGAAAGAGTGTCAGCGATTGAGGATCAAATGAATGAAATGAAGCGAGAAGAGAAACCAAAAGAAAAAAGAAGAAAAAGAAATGAACAAAGCCTGCAAGAAGTATGGGATTATGTAAAAAGACCAAATCTATGTCTGATTGGGGTGCCTGAAAGTGAGGGGGAAAATGGAACCAAGTTGGAAAACACTCTTCAGGATATCATCCAGGAGAACTTCCCCAACCTAGTAGGGCAGGCCAACATTCAAATCCAGGAAATACAGAGAACGCCACAAAGATACTCCTCGAGAAGAGCAGCTCCAAGACACATAATTGCCAGATTCACCAAAGTTGAAATGAAGGAAAAAATCTTAAGGGCAACCAGAGAGAAAGGTCGGGTTACCCACAAAGGGAAGCCCATCAGACTAACAGCAGATCTCTCGGCAGAAACTCTACAAGCCAGAAGAGAGTGGGGGCCAATATTCCACATTCTTAAAGAAAAGAATTTTAAACCCAGAATTTTATATCCAGCCAAACTAAGTTTCATAAGTGAAGGAGAAATAAAATCCTTTACAGATAAGCAAATGCTTAGAGATTTTGTCACCACTAGGCCTGCCTTACAAGAGACCCTGAAGGAAGCACTCAACATGGAAAGGAACAACCGGTACCAGCCATTGCAAAAACATGCCAAAATGTAAAGTCCATCGAGGCTAGGAAGAAACTGCATCAACTAACGAGCAAAATAACCAGTTAATATCATAATGGCAGGATCAAGTTCACACATAACAATCTTAACCTTAAATGTAAATGGACTAAATGCTCCAATTAAAAGACACAGACTGGCAAACTGGATAAAGAGTCAAGACCCATCAGTCTGCTGTATTCAGGAGACCCATCTCACATGCAGAGACATACATAGGCTCAAAATAAAGGGATGGAGGAAGATTTACCAAGCAAATGG